TCTCCGCCGAAGCATCCGGCATCCCTCAGTGTCCCGGTCATCTCATACCGTTCCGGGCACTTGGCAGACAGTCACGAGGCTCCACGGTGCGCTTCGCCCAGGATGATTTGAGCACCTCCTATCAGTCTCGATGCATGCCAGGAGGAAGTTTGCCGTCGTTCCACCTCGCCTCACTCACAAAGAAGCAACGCCTTGGGGACTACGGAGCAAGTATTGCCATTGCGATGACGGATGTGGAGAAGGAAAAAGCACGCCAAAAGTACATGAATTAAAACAGAGGCAAGGAAAGGGTGAGGTGGGCAAGCTCGGTCTGCAGGCCAGGGCCTACCCACCGCCACCTCATTTTGATAGACGTCCTGAAGGTAGCCCTCCAAAGGATCGTGTGGAAGAGCTGCAGCGGTGACGTTATGCAGGCGTCTACTTCCTCACGTTATGTTGGTTCTTCAACGAAGGATGCAGGACCTGCTCATGCAGGGCCTTACCAGCGGGGACCATGGGGTAGACGTGCTCCTTCTGATCGATGACTACCTCACACAGTACCGGCCCTGCATCGTACTCGATGAACTCCTTCATCTTGGCCGGCAGCTCCTCGGCTGACGCAATATGGATCGCATGGCATCCCATGGACTTTGCGAGCATGCAGAAGTCCGGGTTGATCTGCTTTGTGTGCGCGTAGCGCTCCTCGTAGAAGAGGTCCTGCCATTGCACAACCATGCCCTGCCCCGAGTTGTTCAAGACGAGGAACTTGGCAGGGATGCTGAATTGTGTTGCGGTTTGCAGCTCCATTGCTGTCATGCTGAAAGAGGCATCTCCATCAATGTCAATGACGATCTTGTCTGGCGCGCCCACCTGGGCTCCGATAGCAGAGGGGGCTCCGAAACCCATGGTACCTAGTCCACCCGAAGAGACCCATGTGCGAGGATGCCTCCATCGGTAGTGCTGTGCGGCCCACATCTGATGCTGTCCCACTCCGGTGGTAATGATGACGTCCTCCTTTCGATGGGCCACGGCCTGGTCAAGGGCTTCAATGACCTCCTGGGGCTTCATCAGCTCGCCCTTCGAGGGGTCAGAGGGCTTGTAGGTGAAGGGATATAGCTTCTTCCAGTTGTCGATTGTCTGATGCCACTCCTTCCTTGAAGGACCAGCCTCAATGAACGGCAGGACCTTGGCCAGGTTCTTGACGACGTCTCCTTCGATGGCGCAAGTTGCCTGCACAACCTTGTTGATGTTCTTGGGCATGATCTCGAAGTGTACGATACCACCGCGACCTTCCAGCGCAGCAGCCCTGGCGTGAGGGGCGAACTTGTCCACGCGGCCAGTCACTCGGTCATCGAAACGAGCGCCGAGAGCGATGATCAGATCGGCATCTTGCATAGCCAAATTGGCGTATGCTGAGCCGTGCATACCCAGCATGTGCAAGGAGAGAGGGTCCAGCTCATCAAATGCTCCCAAACCTTGCAGAGTAGTGGTCACAGGGATCTGGCCGCGGTGTGACAGCTCCTTGAGGAGCTTAGGACCTTCAGGGGTCGACAAGATACCCTGACCGGCGTAGATGACCGGACGCTTGGCGGTGCTGATCAGTCGAGCAGCCTCAGTCATGGCCGGTGTGAGGGAAGTAGCGTCACCCTTGGCCTGCTGGCGCAGTGCGCCACGGATACGAGGCCTGGCAGCAGCTCGACTGGGAAGGTCAGTTGTGTTGGGCTGAGTGCTGCTAAAGGGCAGAGCTTGACGGAGGATTCCAGCAGTGACGTCCTTGGGCAGATCCACGAGAACGGGGCCTGGCCTACCGCTCGTTGCAATCTTGAAGGCCTCATTGATCCTTCGGGGCATCTCGCTGATGTCCTTCACCATGACATTCCACTTTGTGCAGCTGCGAGAGATGCCGAGCATGTCGGCTTCTTGGAAGGCGTCCGATCCAATGGCAGAGGTGGCAACCTGACCACAGAAGACGACCATGGGCGTACCATCGCTCATGGCGTCTTGCATGGGAGTCACGACATTTGTAGCGCCGGGTCCACTTGTCACCAGGACAACGCCAGGCTTGCCACTGACTCGAGCGTAGCCTTCTGCCATGTGGCCAGCTCCGTCTTCTCGGCGCGGGAGGATGAAGTCGAATTCTGAAGAGTTGTAGATGGCGTCGAACACGGGGAGAATGGCTCCTCCAGGGTAACCGAAGATGTGTCTCACGCCGTGACGCAGCATCATCTCGTGAAAGATCTGACCCCCCGACATGCCCACAAAGGAAGGGTCCAATGCAGAAGCAGAGCGGTTAGCTAGGGGGGAAGGTGTTTGCTGGAAAGCGGGAGAAGGCTCAGGACGTCTGCAAAAGGTCGAAAGTGATCAGTGGGCGTGCTAGGTAGCGGTCAGCGTCGTGGACTGGCTTCTTTCCTCTCTTGTGCTGCAGCAAACGCACGGTGATACGGCTGGCTTGGCGGCAGTAGCGGCGGCAGCTTGTTCCTTCGGTGCGTTCGAGCTGATGTTTCTCCTTGTCATCGACGAGATCTGTGATGAGACGAAGCGAGGAGCTTTCGAAGCGGTGACAAAAGATCGTGAAGGCATAGCTGAGGAAGAAGAGGAGGCCGAAGAGGAGGAAGTGGATGTCGCTCGAGCGGTGGCTACGAGAGCCCGCGAGCGGGCCAAGTGGGCTGCGAAGGCCATGGTGAGGGGCGCGTAGGAGGATGAAGTATGTGTACTGGTACTCGGCGCAGATGAGTCAGGAAGCCAGTCGTTCTTGTCGTTGTCGAGGGTAATCTGAGCCTGATGGTAGAAGGCAGAGAGGGAAGGAGTGTGGTCGAGCCTTACCGGTTGGTTGGCCCTTGACTCGAATTCATGCCCCTGCCATGCGCCGTAAATCTTCCTTGCCCGAGTCGGCAACCAAAGGCCTAACACGGGGAAAGCGCGAGCCGGGAGGCCAAGCCACACCGCGCGCTCACCTTCCCCGGAACGGAAGGGAGACGCCTCAGTCTCAAGTGGGGAGACGGACGACTGACGCTACGACCATCCTGGATCCCGAGCCATCGCAACGCCCGACCAACAACCAGCGCGATGAACAAGCTACCAAGCCAGGAAGAGTTTGAGGGTGAGTCCTGCAGCAAAAAACTCGAGCACCCCTTGAGCCTCCCGCTTACCTGTCTGTTCTTCCCATTCCGCACTCCCAGCAACCCTCGCTGCCCGCAACGAGACGCTCCGCAACAACTGGATCAAGACAATGGAGGCGAGGATCGTCAGGGAGGAGCTACAGAAGTGCCAAAAGGCAGAGGGAGTAAACCACTATGCTGTTTGCAAGCCACTTGTGGAGACGTACCTGGAGTTGTTGAAGGATGCAAAGGTGAGTGCTACAGCTAAAGATCGAGCGGAAGGACACGGCCAGTCACGAAGTTATGGCCAGAAGAGATTCAGATCGAGCAAGCGAGGTCACTGGACCAGGGTTGTTCTGGGCATTGTGGGCTACACCTGTGACGAAGTCGGCAAAACAGGGCTGCCCGGGCTCGACATGGTCGGCTCGTATGTCATCAGTAACAGCGCTGACCATGGATATTTCGGCTTCACTACAGGTCAAGGGCTACAAGATCGTCGACGAAGTGTAGAATACGTGTCACAGCTCTGCAATACACAAAAATGACGCAGTCTCTGAAAGGCCGGCCTGATTTAGCAAGGTCTCTGAACTCATCCATTGAGGCACTGTATAGAGGCTAACCGATCTATTTATAATGATAAGGGTTGCTCGCGAGAACCTACGCATCTCGCTGCTGATGACTCCTCGCTCCTTCATTACTTCTCGTCTTCCTCTAGGGTGATCTCGTCCGCATTTGTGCCTTTGTGAACAGCGATCACGCTGTCATCCTCTGCGCCAGGCACTTCCTTCGCATGACCGTTTGATGCTGTAGATTCCTTCTCATCTGCAGGTACCTCAAGGTGACGAACGTCTGCCGAAGGTTGGCAATGGCGGAAGACAGCGTCCGTACTGTGTCAGCTTGCCCAAAGACGGTACGCACAGAGCTTCAGGTCTGTCTGGCTCGCTTCGTGCACTCACCGGCCCACCGAGTCAGTGCTACACTTCGCTCGAATTGCTCCCCCTTGGCACCTGCCTCCCGAAGCAGATGCGTGGGCTTGACCTTCCAGGAGGACGCTGACGACTCTCCGTTTGAGGTTCGAGCGGCGTGTAGACGGGGCAAGAAGACGGCCATCTCCGTGATAGAGCAGTTCCATAACCGCGATGGCTGAACTCCTGGCTCCAAGAGAGCGTATGGGGTCAGGACCTCCAGTAGAGCGCTGAGGGCCGCTCCGTGACCAACGAGCAGCACGGTGCGTATGTCTCCCCTGTCTTGCTCTTCTTGAGCCTGCTTGGCCTCTCGCTCTATCAGGTCGTTCCAGAAGGAAGCAACGCGGTCCTGCAGCTCTTGCGTCTTTTCTATACCAGGTATTGTGTCTCCCTTTTTGCCCTTGTAGGACTTGCCTTCCAGGGAGCCAAATGCGCGCTCCTTGAGGCGATCGTCGGGAACGACGGCTATGGCTGCTCTAGCAGGATGCGAGCCATGAATCGCGGCAGCTGTCTACGAGAGAGAAGTGGGCAGGCGATGCGCAATTGCGGGCGAGGAGAGTGGGACAGAGGAAGTCAGCTCGCTATCAACACCCGCTTGATCGCTGGCGAGAATACCCACGTCCATTGTGCGCTGCAGTGGACTGGAGTACACTGCGTCTAGTGGAGTGTTTGCCAGAGCCCTGCCGGTCAAGAGGGCCTGCTTGCGACCGAGAGCGTTGAGAGGCGTATCCATTTGGCCTTGGATGATGCCTTGGACGTTGTAGGCCGTTTCCTGGTGGGAGGAGAAGTGGCAGAGTGAGTGATCGCGAACTTGGGAAGCTCTGTGGGACGTCTTCGCATTGTTACTCACGCCATGTCTGACCATCAGGACTCTAAGTATCGGGCGTCGACCTCCGAACTGCCCTTGACTGCCCAGCGAGCCATTGGAGTTGGCTACAAGTCCTCCCCGATATGCTTGCAGGAGGTCATGAAAGTGCTTGCCGAAGCTCAAGCTAGCATCTTGTGGGACATCTTCCCATGCTTCTGACTGAGGCATCTATGGAATCACCGACTCGGAGGGAACAGTCAACGCTTCGCAGTTCTGATAAGACTGCAAGAAGCGGATGTGGTGCGGATGGTGCTTGCTTGCGTGGGTTGTGTGTAGGCAGGCAGGGCGGAAAGCGGAAGATCCAACGCCCGATGCCAAAGTCCGCCACTGCCTCGGGCCAAAGCTCTGTTTGTCAGGCACCGAGTGAGACGAGCAGGCGTGCATCGGCCACTGCACTGCTCCACCCACGACACACCTGTCAGAAGGCACTCTGAGTCCAAGCAAAGAAGCCAGGGCGCCCGATCATTCTTGTCTCATTCTCTTCCTGCCTCTCATATCCCTCAATCCATCAGCCACGTCCATCTCGGTACCAGACTGCAGAGCAGAAGCGATCAGCAGCACATCAAGACCGCCACGCACCTTTGTTCACCTCACGCTGCTATCAGGGACCTCCCTTCTGCCACCTTTGCGTCCGAAGAAGTAGCCTGCAAAGTTCCCCCGTACACGGCAGTGGAAGCTGAGGAGCAGCATACATAGCAATGGCAGACCCTAGACTGAGGAGGGTGAACAAGGTCAGCGGCAGACTACAGAGAAGAGAATGGGCGATGCGTCTGAGCCAACAGCTCGAAGCCAACGTCTCTGACCCCCTCTTATGATCCCATGCACATCCTGTCCCCTCGTAGGAGATCCAAGACATCAAAAATGACAAGTACTCCAAGATCGAGATTGCCCTGCTCAGTGGTGAGTAGCTCGAGGCAGGCGATATCAGCCAGATCAGGGCGTCCTTTCGATACCTGGCAGCTCACATTCCTGGATCGTGCTTCCTGTCTCATCCTCTGCCCGCTCTCGCCTCTCAGACTCGCCCTTCCACCTGGTAGGCACATTCCCCGGTCCGGAAGGTTCTCCTTACGAAAAGGGGCTCTTCGATGTAGACATTCAAGTTCCAGACTCGTATCCGTTCCAGCCTCTCAAGATGAAGTTCATCACCAAAGTCTATCACCCGAACATCTCTTCTGCAAGCGGAGCTATCTGTCTGGACATCTTGAAGGATGCATGGAGCCCAGTGAGTCAATCGACTGAACGACTGAGTAGGGGAGGAGACTAAGCTCACACACCGCCGTATGCGGATCCCTCTCTCCGCATGGCAGATTCTCACTCTGAAGTCTACGTTGCTATCATTGCGGAGTCTGCTCTGCTCCCCCGAGCCGAATGACCCTCAGGACGCAGAAGTGTGAGTTGCGCTCAGAAACGGCCCTTCTCGAATTGCAACTCATCTTGCTGTGCCTCATCCTCTTCCTCATCCAGCGCAAAGCACTACCTCACAGACAAGAGCAGCTGGGAGCAGACAGCGCGTTACTGGACAGACATCTATGCCAATGGTTCGGAAAGCGCTCGTCCTCCCGAGCTCACCGGTGGGGCTGCAGGAGGTGCAGACGACGATGTGAAACGAGCCGGGTTGAAGAAGGAGCATGTAGAGCAGTTTTGCGGAATGGTGAGTAAGAAAGGCGGGGTACCCGCTATCCAAACGGGGGAAGCCTTACGAAACAGGCCTGTGCGCTAACCCATGTACCCCACTCGCCACATCAGGGCTTCGAGCGCGCAAGAGTAATCGAGACCTTGAAGAAGCTGAACTACCGAGGAGCCAAGTGAGTCCCAAAGTTTGCACCAGATTCCGTGCTAAGGCAGCACGCCCGCTGACATACCTTCTTGACGAACCCGGACCGTTCTCGCTGTCTTCCTTAGTGTTCGGAATGTGTCAGACGATACGGTGGTGAATGAGCTGATAGGAGGGTGAAGCAGCCGGACGACCAAACAAGCGCTGCAACGTGCTAGTGGCTGCCTGGACTTCCTATTCTGCGAGCGTCGCAAAGCTCATCCCAAAGCAGCGAGCTTGGAGCCAGCGTCCCGCTAGCAGACCGAGGCATATGGCCTGCCCCTTCTGCACCGGTCAGATTAAGTCAAGCCAACAGGTCTCTGAGAGCGCCCGAGCCCTCGTATACTCTACCTATCCATTCTTCCCCACCATCAGCCGCTCGCAGCACGTCCTTCCTGAACCACGAGCACCCCACAGCCATCTTCTCCGTGCGTGGCAGGCGCCCGCACATGACGTCCCACCATCTGTAAAACTTCCATGCTAGCTCACATTACGATCCACGCCCCGTCTTACATCCATGATACTTGTGTTGTGCTCCGGTATTTGTGCGAGATGTTGTGGAGATTGCGACGTCTCGGAAGATCCGACAAGGCTAAGGTCGCCGAGGACCCCGTTGTGCAGGTTTGCATGGTCCGAGCGGTGGAGTGAGCTTTTGCGTGTTGGCGGAGATGGGATTCGGGGAATTCTCGCGTGATGTGCGGGGCAGATTGGTTGCTTTCGACTCTAGCATACGTCAACCATATTGCCCTGGAGCGCCTATGGCGCACTGCTAGGAGACCGATGTCGAAGAAGGAGGGATCCTCCTGGTAGGCATTGTGAGTACAAAGCAAAGTGAAGCTCTCACGGTGTCGTGCTGTGCTGTGCTGTGCTGTGCTATGCTGGGCTATGCTGTTTCTAGAAGTGTCAAAAATCAGCCCCCGCCGCCTCGTGGGGTCAGCAGACCTACGGGACTCGAAGCGAGGTGCCAAGACGGGCAAGGTGCTACTCCCTGCGACCAGACCAGACAAGCTTCAGGGTCACCATATCTCGGCGCGAGGGTTCAGGAACCGTGCACGCAGATACTTTGGCTCGGCACAGCAAAGAAGTGAGCGATGTGGGAAAAGCTGCTGCGTCGTCGCGGGAGGGTCCTCTGCCGTAGGAACGCACTGACGGAGGTATAAGCGAGACAAGCAGCGCACGCCATTCCCGCTGAAAAATCGAGCTTTTCGGTAGCAGATGTAGAGCTGCCTTTGCGCCACTTGGCCCAGCCATCTTCTACAAGAAGCACGGGACAGCCGAGGCTACGTTGACAATCACAGAAGCTATCTCTCTTCTACCTTCTCTCCCTCCCACGACTTACTTCACGACCATCTTCCCTGTGAAGCTACGACTCGCTCCTGGTCTTACTCTTCTGCTTCCGCTTCCGCCTCCACATCCAGCACCGGTAGGATGTCATCAGTAGACAAGGCCGCTTCTGCCGCTGAACGTCCCGGCTCGTCCTCCTCCGTAAAGGATGGCGCCCCCTTCGGCGACGACGTCAAGCATCAGCTACCGTCCTCGTCATCGTCCTCCGGATCCGAGGAAGGCAATGCTGGCCAAGCCAAGGACCTCGCCCTCACCCCAGCCTACACGGGGAAGCGCTCATGGTGGAGGGCCACCTTCACGCAGGCCACCATCTTAGGTGTGTGTTCGTTCCTCAGTCCTGGTATCTGGGGAGCTATGAGTGCCACTGGAGGTGGTGGACAGTCTTCCGCTGCAGTGAGTCTCGAGAGAAAATGGCCCGGGGATCCCCGTGCACGGACACTATACTTACCGTCCGGCATACTGTTGCTTCTGCGTTAGACGGTCAATGCTGCCAATGCAATGACATTCTGCTTGATGATCGTCACCTCATACCTGACCTCATCGCTCATCAATCTTGTCAATGTCCCCATCGCTCTCGCAATCGGTACTTCTGGCTACAGCATCTATGCCGCCGGTCTCTATCTGTCCTCGAAGACCGACGGCGCGGTCACCTGGCTCGTACTTGTCGGCGCAGCCGCCTGTGGTATTTCGGCTGGTTTCTTTTGGTCCACCGAGGGAGCTGTGATTCTTTCGTACCCGGAGACTGATCGCAAGGGAAAGTACATCAGCTACTGGCTCATGTTCCGAGTCATGGGACAACTCGTCGGAGGAGCCATCAACCTTGGGCTGAATGTCAACAACAACGAGGCTGGCAGTCTTGCGCCAAACACTTTCATTGTGTTTGTGGTGCTGCAATGTCTGGCGCCCTTTATCGCGCTACTCATCTCCAAGCCGCATCAAGTACAGCGTCGCGATCGCACCCCTGTCAAGATGAACCTCACGGGTTCCGTACGCTCCGAGTGCATCGCCGTCTGGAGACTGATCACAAAGCGTGAAGTCCTTCTTCTATTGCCTATGATCTGGCAGACGACATTCAGTGAAAGCCTGATCTTCACTTACAATTCCGAATATTTTTCAGTACGCTCTCGCGCTTTAGGCTCCTTCCTCTCGGCCATCGTAGCAGTCATTGGTAATTACCTCCTTGGCTTCTTCCTCGATTGGAAGAAGGTGAGCATCAACCGTCGTGGGACCAGCGCGTTTCTGCTTGTCTACATACTCCAAGGAGCCTGGTGGATCTACTCTGTTGTCATCCTCAATGAGCTCCATCGCAACCCGCCCGCTGAGCCTTTTGACTGGTCCAGTCAAGGGCCATTTGCCCGCCACTTTGCGCTGTTCATTGTGCAAGTGCTGGGCTTCAACATGATGTACGAGTATACCTACTGGGTGATGTCCGCCCTCTCCCCTGAGAATTCGCCCGAGCTAGTCAGGCTCGCGTCCATCGTGAGGGGTGTCGAGTCGGCGGGCCAGGCCCTGTCGTATGGGATCAACGCGACATCTTGGCGCATGGATGCTGTGGCAGGTCTCAACTTTGGCTTCTATGGCCTCTGTCTGCTTCCAGCCTGGAGCGTTATCCGTCACGTAGGACTCAACGTTGACAAGAATGGACACGTGGTCGGTCAGGTCAAGGGAGTCGGAGAAGAGAGGGCGCAAACCGAGAAGGCGGTGGAGTGAGCGGAAGGGGTGCGTAGCTCGATCTGGACGCTTAGACCTCGAAGTTCAAAGTTGAACGCCTACGGATCATCGTTGTCACAAGTCTCTCGTCTATGCAATGTATTATGGTAATGTGGCGAAATGAAAGCTAAAAGTATTGTTGGCGTCGCTATGTAGCGCGCTCACATGCCGGCCTTGCGAGCCACGGCTTTGACCGCCTCCTTGATGACCCTCAGAGCCACGTTCACATCTGCCTCGGTGAGGATCAGTGCGGGAATGAGGCGCAGTACAGGGTAGATGGAGGTCGTGAGGACCAGCAAGTTTCGGTCATAGCACTCGTCCTGCACCAACTTGTTCAGGTTTGCAGGGAGTGTAGGATTTGACGATGAGGGGCTCTGGAATTCAACAGCTAGCATGAGCTATGAAGAGTGGCCAGAAGGGGCAAATTCGGTCAGTATTCTGGCTGCGCCTCCAACATGGGCAGCGCTACTCACTCCAGTACCGCGAACCTCAGCGATGATGCTGCCTCCATTCTGCGTGTCAGCAGCAATGTCCCTCAACCCTTGGGCGAGCTGCTCTCCCCTCCGCCGCACGTTGCCGAGCACGTCCATCTCCACCATATACTTCGTTGTAGCGAGCGCTGCGGCGCATGCAACAGCATTACCTGCGTATGTGCCACCGAGTGAGCCAGCAGGCATACACTCCATAATTTCCTTGCGCGTGACCACTCCTGAAAGGGGCATCCCGTTCGCAAAGCCCTTGGCAAAGGTCATGATATCGGGCACCACGTCCTTTGCGTACTCAATTGCAAAGTTGGCTCCTGTGCGTCCGAAGCCGGTCTGAATCTCATCGACGACCAGGAGAATGCCGTGTTTCGAGCAAGTCTCACGCAGCGCACGGAGGAAGGCAGGGGGTGCGGGCACGTATCCGCCTTCACCGATGACAGGCTCTACGAAGATGGCAGCTGTGTCGCTGGGCGCAGACTGCTGAGCCAAAGTCTGCTCCAGTTGATGCACAGCCATGCGCACGAGCTCCTCCTCTGGCGTATCTTGTGGCAAACCTAGAGCATGCCAGTAAGGAAAAGCCGTCGTGTAGACGCAAGGCATCAGCGGGCCCGTGCCGGCAAAGAAGCTGGTCTTGGACCTTGTGAGGGCTGCTGCGCCTGCTGTCCGCCCATGGTAGCCTCCCTGCATGACAATGATGTTGTTCCTGCGCGTCTTCGTGCGGGCAAGCTTAATGGCTGCTTCAATAGCCTCTGACCCTGACGACCAGAGGAAGAAGGAGTCTAGCGTGGGAGAAGGCATCATGGTGACCAGCTGCTCCACCAATTCCACGTAGGGCTTCGAGAGGGCGATACCGCACTGCACGTGCACGATCGAGGAGGCCTGTTCCACGATGGCAGCTGTCACCACGGGGTGCGCGTGACCGAGAGAGGTGACTCCAATGCCCGAAGTGAAGTCGAGCAGCTGGCGCCCATCAGTGGTTTGGACCTGCAGTCCACTGCCCGAGGCGAAAACATGGTTTCGTAGACGACCCACTGCGGAGGTGATGTGCTTCTCTGCGGTCGCCTGGTAGCGCTGTGTTGTTGCGGTTGCAGAAGGTACTGGAGAGGGCTTCTTGAGTACCGGAGGAGGAGGTGTCGAGAGAAGGTCTTTGAGCGGAGGCTCAGTTGAAGCAATGGAAGGAGCCATTGTTGCTAGACGGCGGTAGGCTGTGTGTGAGGCGAGGGGTCGAGTGGCGGCCGAAAGGTTGGTGGCAGAGGGCAACGTAGCTCGCAGCATTGAAATGGTGTAGACTCGATTGGACAAACTTCTGCTGCCAGCTGGGATTCGTAGCGAGCTCCTGACATTCTTATGAGGAGTTGAATGGCCGCAAGTTTTGTCTTGGCCCTCCGGCACTCCGAATTGCACTCCACAGCCCCGTATCGGAACTCTTACAACGACAACAATCTCCGAGCATGTCTGGCATCCCCAGTGCTTTGCCGTTATCACGTTGCTATCGCCCTCGGGAGCTCAGGGAGCTGTCCTCTGTGCGTATCCTTGATCGGGGCTGCTCGGGGCTGGCCTCAGAGGTCAAACAGCCGGCCATTGCCCGCTGCCAGTCTTGGCCCCCACGATAAGCACCGACGGCAACTTTCCGGGGCTGCAGGCACGCGGGCGGGGCTCCAATGCTGCATCTTCGCGCTCGGATCAGGAGCCTTTGGAATTGGCAGCGGTGATAGCCGAGGAGGAAGGTCAGGAGAATCATGGTGACTCGCTCAAAAGCCTGCCTTGCCTGACCTACTCCCCACACATCTCTTCCTTATTGCTTTTCCTCAACGTCTCAGAACCAACACATTCTCACAATGGTCAAGGCTGTAGTATGTGAGTACCTTGAGCTGAGATTCGCGCTGCGATACCAACGCTGAAAGCCTCTTCCTCTCCATCTTCCTTTGCCCGCCCACAGTCGATGTTGTGGGCACTTGCTGTGAGTACAGCGTCTCGACTCTTTGGAAGATCTGGGAAACTTTCTGACACTTACGCTGCACAATCATTGCCTACTCTCTAGTCACCTACGACAATGGTCGTGATGCACTCAAGACCCGCCTTGGTCCCAAGCTAGAGAAGGCGGGCATTTCTCCACAACTCCTGATGTACTCTTGGATCACCTCGACAGAACGCGACTACACCTACCTCTCTCTGATCCACCAGTACAAGCAATTCATTGAGATCATGCGGCATTCATTCACCCGCCTGCTGTACCAGGCTGGAGTTCCGGACCCCGAGAGCGTCTGTTCAGAAGAGGACATGAAGTTCATTCTGGCCGAATACAAGGAGCTCCGTCCGCGCGAAGGACTCGCTGAGATGATGGACATCCTGAGGAAAGGCGGCTTCGAAGTCTACTGCTGCACAGATGCAAACGTGGACCGTGTCAAGGGCTATTTCGACCGGGCTGGCATCGAAATGCCTACAGAAAGGATTCTGAGCGCCGATGAGGTGGGGGTGGGCAAGCCGGAAGCAGCTGTCTACAAATTTGCCATGGAGAAGGCAGACGCCGACGTGAACATCTTTGCAGGTGAGTGGCGAGCATTCCGTCTCTGAGCTTCCCACCACGCAGCCGATGACTGACAAGCTCGCCCTTCGCCCTCTCCTCATCCGCCTCTTCTAGCGAGCCACGCATGGGACGTAGCTGCTGCGCGTTCCGCCGGCTACGAGACCGCCTACTGCACCGCTTACGAAGGCTACCCCTGCGAGATGCTCTATGGGAAGATGGACTTGGTGGTGCCGGACTTGGTCAGCCTGGGCAACGGCATCGTCGAAAAGTGGGGTGGAAAGTGAGGCAATTACTAGCAGGGGCCATACTGTACGCTGCATTGTTAATAGTTGATCTGCAATATGAAGCATTGGCACAGAGTCACAGCGAACGGATACAAGCACGAAAGAAAACTTCTAGTTGGAAATGAGATTACAAGTGTGCACGAGCGGTCCCCTCTTCCGCGGGGGTCATTTCTGCCTCTTGGCCGCCTTGGTGGCCCATATACCCAAGAATGAGATTTTCCTTTTCGTCCAATCTCTTCTGCGTCAGGAGGTACGGCGCGGGAAGCACTTCCTCGAACGCTGCTTGTGCAGAGGCTAGCTGTCTGCCCTCGAAGTGAGCCAATGCAAGCTTGACGATAGCCGCGGAACACCCGGGGATACGGGGCATGCCGTGGCCCGTAAAGCCTGCTGAGAGGAAGATGCCCTCTGGACGAGTAGGGAGTGCACCTATGAATGGAAGCAGATCGGTGGAGTATCCGAGGACTAACAGAGACGGAAATAAACAGAGGGCATCGTGTCAGTGACTCGCTCCTTCATATCTTTCCATCTGAACAAAAGCACTCACTTCCCGTCCAAATGCGGTCGATGCTTTGGTGTCCTTGGCTCCAGCCATCAAACCTGTGGCTCATGAACTTTTCGAAATACTCCCTTGTTCCGGAAATCAGCTGGTCCTCCCTTACGTTGTTGTACCACTCCTCCGTCTTGGCCAGGAAGACCCCCTTGGCCCCACCGAGGATGATGCTTTGGTCACCAACGCCAGACAAGCCACGACCCTGACGAGGGATGAGGTAGTCTGACTCGCCGGCCCTCTTACGCATGCCGTATGTGTAGCGGAATGGACCTGGCGAGGAGCCAAGCTGGTGCGAGGGAGCAGGCGTGATGCTGCAGACTGTACCTCGGACCGGGATGATCTTCTCTGCCAGCTCAGGGAGGAGATGGGCTGTGTAGCCATTGGTTGTGATGATGATGGACTTGGCCTGGATCGTACCTCTAGGGGTATGCACGAGATGTACGCCTGAACTGGGGCTTTCGATTGACTGAACCGGCGTATGCGTGTAGAGCTGGAGCCCTCTCTGTATTTGCTTCTCAATCACTGGGAGCATCATCAGATGCATTGTCAGTATCGGTCGACCCTTCATCGATCTCCATTCTACTCAACTACTCACGCTGTGTGCAGAACTTGTACGGCCACAGATGACCAGCCGGATAATGGGCTCCCCACAGACCTCCCTTCACTCCACTCAAGCGGCAAAGCTCCTCCCGATCATACACCGCTCGAATGTCGGCATCCTGCATTGCTTGCGGGAAGAGCTCTTTCCTAGCCTCGTAGTCTAGTCTGCCCTGCTCTGCGTCCTCCGCATCAAAGAAGATGTCAAACGCCCGAGTGGCGTAAAGGTCACAGTCGAGTGACTCTTCTTGGACAATGGAGGTATAGCGTGCGAGATGCGAAGCTTCGAACACCAGAGCATCATTAGCTGCCTTGGTGCCGTGTCTCTTGGCATCTGCTCGGAAACCTAGGAAAGCCAGAGGTTTGCAATGGCCGCCTGAGACAGATGTGGCAGGAGAAAAACAGTAAAATCAGTGGTGCTGTGGAACCGTCGCTCCACTTGGCATCCATACCTCACCATTTCTGGCTGTAGCTCCCTCACACAACGCATCGGCTTCCAGCAACACCACTTTCAGCTGTCGGCTTGAGGATCCCCTTTTCTGCAATTCCTTGTACAGGTAGTGTGCGCAAGTCGCCCCTGAGATCCCTGATCCTACAATGACGATGTCTGCTTCTGTGGGTACCTCTTGTGCTGCGACGTGGTCAGTGAGGGCATGCCTCTCCTGTAGCCAAAAGGGCTGAGTGCGATTCGGCACCGGGACTTGAATCGTAGGTGTCATGTTGTGTGTAGCGATGAAGTTGATGGTTAGGACGATAAGCTTGACATCTACAACGGCCAAAAGGGGGAGTGGCCGAGCGCCTTATCACAACCTCGTACGGTATCGATCACACTTGATCAGGCACCAAGGCGTAATGCAATTGCGGCCCGCAATACTGCTCAACAGGCGATCGGTACGTCTTGATAAGCCCGTGCGCTGTGCGGGGCCACGATAGCGAGCGTTATCGGTCCCGTCGGAGATCTCGTTTGACCTGCTTGGAGCGATCAGTGTCCTGCTGCGGGGCTGCTAGGGGTGGTTGTTCTTCAGGAGATTGGGATGACAGCCCCGAAATTTGCAGACGGGATGTGACGGACACTTGCAACGGGCGATCGCAATCGGTTCCTGACGGAGACTTCGGCTGACTTGAGCTGAGCGAGCTATCGCTTGTTACGGGGCTGCTAGGAGTGTTTGCTCTTGACGATGCCGAGAGGACAGCCCCGAGAATGAAAGTCGCGGTCACGGGGAGCTACCGAGCCTACGGAAGCCACACTAAATAACAGCCCTTGCATGGCAGCCCCGAGACTTAAGCGGCACAGTGGTACAGGGCCGTAAGGCGAGGGAAATCTAATCTATCAGCCCAGCAAGTAGCCGGCAGCTCCCCGCCCTGCAGCGCTGCCATTCCCGCGCCCCGTGACCAGAAGAAGCCTTGCAGCCCCGATCAACGAAGACGACAGTGCGGCCAAGGACATTTACCGCCTTATCTCGCTTCGGCCTGACCACGGCAAAGGTCGGTCAGACACGCACCCCGCTCCACAGATCCGGAGATGCGTTGTTCCTCCCGCAAGGAACAGAGCTACTCGGGGCTGTATGCAATGGCGATGCGGTTCAGGTATACCTAGGCAACCTTGCTTGCCCCGTACCTGTGGGGGCATCCTCCACTTCCCTGCATCGTATCTGACCCATGCCGGCCTCGCCCCACACCGAGATAGCTCCCAGATACAGATACCGATACCGCTTGACCGATTCCACCCAGTGAGCTGTATAAGACCACCTCCGTCGAGGCACTCATACATCTCCCCCACCTCCGCAAGCAAACACCCTAGCCCACTCCTTTTCCCCACCCTACCCTGCCCCCCCAGTACCCAAGATGAGCCGCACTGCGTCCTTCAACTCAAAGACAGAAGACATGGGTCCATCCAACGGCAAGGGCGAGGTCACCGTCGCATCTCTCTCCAATGAGGAAGGCGCCGTGCAATCCACTCAGCCTCGAGGCTGGAAGGGCTTCTACCGCTCAACACTCTTCCAGGTCCTCGTCGTCTCTGCCCTCGCCTTCTGTGGACCAGCCATGTCCGACGCTGTCCAGAACCTGGGTGGAGGAGGTAATGCTACTCCTTGGGCTGCCAGTGAGTCACCGCGTCAGTAGCCCGGCTGGGCCCAGAATCTAGCACTGACCCACTTCCTCCTCTCACGTACTTGCCTGAATAGACGCTGCTACCGCCGCCTCGTACGTGGCAGTCTTTGCTGTCTCTCTTTTCGGTGGTCCCCTCGCGAGCCGCCTTGGTGTCCGGACTCTTCTCATCTTCGGTGCAGCTACCTTTTCCATCAATGGCTCCTCGTACTACGTCAACTTGAAGTACAAGGTGCAGTGGTGGTTCGTCCTGGGCAGGACCATCTACGGTCTTGGATTCGGTGCTTGGTACGTCGCCGAGGCTGCCATCATCTTGAGTTATCCTGAGGAGCAGAAGAGAGGACTGTGAGTAGAAGGGGCGCAGCGCCAGTAAGAGTGTGTGATCTTGAACTGACGAAACATTCCTCCCTACCATGTTCTAGATACCTGGCCATCTGGGTCATGTCTCGCAATCTGGGCCAGCTCGTCGGAGGATCCATCAACCTCTCTCGCAACATCCACAATGCCAAGGCTGGCAGTGTCAGTCTCTCGACGTACCTCATCTTCCTCATCATCGAGTGCTTGGGTTTCCCCATTTCTTTCCTCATCTCCCCCGCCAACAGGGTCAGGAAGACGAACGGAGCTGGAGTCAAGCTCGCGCCAAAGCTGTCGTGGGCCGAGGAATTCAAGCTCCTGGGTCAGGCCATGATGATGAAGAGAAACCTACTGCTAGGCGTCTACTTCTTTTACTCGTACTTCTACGGTGGTGTGCTGGGCACCTACCTTTCCACTCACTTTTCTGTCCGAGCTCGAAGCTTGTCCACCCTCTTGGTCCCTCTGGGCGTCATCGTCGTCGTCTTCCTCCTCGGTCAGTTGCTGGACATGCAGCGCATCAACCAGCGCAGGAGGGCGCAGATCGGCTTGGCGGTTGTGATGCTTCCCACCCTCGCCGCCTTCATCTGGATCACCATCAACCAGTCCATCTACAGCAAGCACCCCACTGGCTCACTCGACTGGACCTCTTCAGGATGGGCCAATGCTTACCTTCCCTACTACATCCTTCAGCTCACCGGCTACATGTGTCAGACCTACATCTACTGGCTCATCTCCTGCTGGTCTTCAGACGTCACAGCCAATGCTCGTCAGGGAGGTCTCTTCCGAGCAGTCGAAGCCGCAGGTCAGGCCGTCTCCTACGGTCTGAACTCAAAGGTCAAGAATCTCTCCATCACTCTCGGAATCAACTTTGGGCTCTGTGTACTCGCACTTCCTGGCGTTCTCATGGTGGCCATGTCCGTTCCTCTCTACAGATCCGACGCCCAACAGGTCGCTGATGGCCAGGTAGAGGGTACGGAATTGGAGCGAGAGGACGGTGACAAGTGAAGAGGTGGTGGTGCCCAAGAAGCGTCTCTGTTCTGTTGCGTTGCATCTCTCTGTGTACTAGTCCTTGTATGTTATAGTGTTCATTGTCCTGAAATTGTTGAAAGTTATAATGTTCGTCATCTCTACCAAGGGGAAAGAACAGTGGCTGAAGCGCGATGTGCGTCGATGTGAGCAGGCGACCGACACTTCGAGTTGGGCCTTGTTGTCTCGGATCGACAGATCGACACCTTTGACCAAGCAGCCGACGACGGCAGGAGCGTCAGCACCAATACATCGACAAATGCACGGGACGGAGAAGGCAACAATGCATTGAACGTGAAAAGAAATGTGGGGAATGGCGATGACGACGGAGAGGTATGTTGCGGATTGCATGATGAAACGAAGGAGAGTATGCCGCATATGTGATAGAGAAATAGAAGGCCAAGACAAAGGAATATCGCATGTACATTGTGTGATCTGTGTTGCGTAAGTCGCAGTGCTGTATATGAAGATGAAGCAAGAGAAAGGATTCTATATAGAGGAAGACGTCGAGAGAAAGAAAAAGGAACGGGGGTATCTGTGGCCAAAGTAGCGCTTGAGATTTGAAAAACGTGCATGTGGCGATCTTGGTTGGTGTATCCACCCCTTCCCTAGAAGCGAAGCTGTGTAGTGTCGACGGTTCTACCAGCAATCGTGGCCGTCGTCTTGGACGCAGCCGCGGAGGCAGATTGAGACACTTCTTCGGCTGTTCCCTTGGCAGGTATGCCAAGTGAGGCACACATCAGCTTGTACCTGGCCCTGATTCTTTCTAGTAAAGTAGCCATATCCATCTGAGCAAGCTGTTCGTCGGTAGCGTCCGCAAGCTCTGAAGCGTCCTCGGCGGCCCCTGCATCGCTCGCATCGCCTTCATCAACTGTCTCTAGAGAGCCAGGCGGCGCAGATGGCAGTGCCTCCCCAGACTTGTTCTTCATAGGGAAAGCTGATATCAGGCGTTCCAAAGCGTCAATATGGCCAAGTTGCTTGGTCACCTTTCGCGTCGCCTTGTCGCCGCTCGTCATCAAGACGCCTTTCCAGAATTTGGCAGTCCCTTGGTAAAAGCCAACTTCATCCCAGATCTCAAAGCCCTTCTCGCGGCCCAGCTGGCGGCCTTCAAATAGACCGTGCAGACGGCCGTGGGATGAGCCTGCAGAGAAGCCTTGAGAGTAGGACAGGTCTTCGAGATTGTTTGCAGAATCCAGGGGATCATCGCGCTGAGGGAGCCCATGAGGAAGACATCTCCAATTCAGCGCCCGCGAATTTCTTGATTGGTGACCCTCCAGCGTCAGGACGTCGCAGCACTCACAAGACTCTCCCCCGCTTTCCCAAGACTGGACAGCCCCTGTCCGATCGGCGTCTGTTCGGCAGGCGAATGAGGCGATGTACTGTTTGTCGACGACGACCCCGTGCTGTGACTGTCCTTTCTGAACAGAGGATTTTTGCTGAAGCTCAGCCTCAAGCCCCCGTTCTTGACCATGCCATCCATCGTGTCGCCGTTGACTTCGCTCAAGGCCCGCGCAGCGTTCTGCACGGTGTCGAACTCTACAAAGCACATAGGGCCGTTGTTCTTGAGTCGATACGAAAGCTGACGATAGCCTAGGCGTGAGCTGAAGCGGATGCGGAGCTGCTTCTCCAAGGAGGCAGACAGAGACGGGGTGACACTAGCAGGGAGATTGCCGACGAAGAGAGTATTGCCGGGTGGGTTTTGATCAATTGAGAATGAACGGGATGTGGGTGAGGTAGGCAGATCGGGCATCGTAGGTGACTTTGAGGCCCTCGAGGTAGGTGACGTGGTAGTTGATGCATCAGGCGCGACAGTGGACCGAGTGGACTGTTCTTCGACCTGTTTGGGGGAAGAGCTTTGAGCACCGTCATTGCAGTCTTCCGTTCTGGGTGGTGAAGATGGGTTTGTGATAGTGTTCGGGGAGTCGAGACGCAGGCTTCCAAATCGAGCAGCAAAGGCAGACGAAGCATTGCCAGGTCCTCGAGGAGATCGAGAGGTAGAAGAAGGAGCGAGAGTGGGCATGTCACTAGGAGATGTTACTTTGCTGCTAGTGCTATCACCCTCCCGTTCGCTCTCCTTCGTCGTCGAGCTCATCGTCGACTCCCCCTGGCCAAAATCCTCCTCGGATTGTGGCTTCTTTGCTGAAGAGGCAGAGGTCGTCTGAGGCACGAATGGAGCCGCCGTGGATGAGACGCTTGGCCTGTCTTTGCTGCTTGCAAAAGGTCGCGCGCTCGCGAACAGGCCTCCACCACCCGCGCTGGGAGGAGATCCAATTGCGCTCCAGTCCGGTCCGCGAGGCGCGGAACTTCCGCTTCCGAGGCCAGGGTTGACCGAGGATTGGGATTGGGAGTGGGGTCGAATGGTGACGGCAGGCGAACCACCGGCCTTCGATTCGAGAGTAGCCTGCCTTTGGCGAGTAGCTTGCATACCTTGAGGCTGCGACTCTACTTCAGCGGGAGGACCGAAGTAGTCAAGAGGTCCCATGGAAGACCACTTCGCACCTTCTCCTCCGCTGCCTTTCGGACCCGTGCTGCTGCTGTCGCCGCTACTGCCAGACCTAGCATTCGCACTCATCCCACTGCCTGTCCCTGTGCCCCTGAGGAAATCCGCTCCAAAAGGGTCGTTCTGACCCTGAGGTGAGATCATTCCGCTCAGCGCGGACAATGTTGAGGAAGGTGGGCCGCCTGCTCGGGCAAATGCGTCAAAGGACCCTGGTCCGCCGTTGGAGGCGAATGAGGAAGGATAGGCAGAAGAAACGCTTGCTCCGGCTGAGCGGGGACCTTCTACACCATACGAAGCGTTTCCGCCATCTCCAGAACCAGGCGGGCCTTGCCCAATGCCAGACAGCACGGGCCTTTGCTTGGTGTGCAAATTTTTCTTAGCCATCTCCGTCTTGAGGACGCAGCCCCTCTCGCTGTCGATCTTCTTGCCATTGAGCGCATCGCGAGCTTCGAGCGCTTCTCCCCTGCTCCGGAACTTGGCAAATCCAATGATCTGTTTGATCTTGCCAGCGCCTGCTACATTTGAGGGACCACCCCGGCCGCCGTTGTCGCCCAGATTGAGAGCGTTCATACCGAAGCTTGAATCATTCGTCTGTCGCCCCAAAGCCATGTTCAGGCTGTGCTCGTCCCAGCCGCCATTGGACGCCAGGTCGAAGTGATTCGCGCCAGGCATGACGGCCTGATAGGGCCCACCCGGTCCTCCGCTGCCATCGCCCCTACCTACACTCCGACTGCCATCGCCGCCCGGCGTGGGCAATGGACCTCCGCCAGGGACCTTTAATGTTGACGCCTCGAAGCCTCGTGCAAACAGGAACATATTTGAGAACTCCCGCTCGGTCATATCGTCAGGGAATCCGACAATGAAAATGGTGGTAATCTCTTCTGCCGGCTGGCCAGAGTTGCTCATCAGCCCCGATCCGAGGTTGGTGGCCGGCATTGGCACAGATTGGGACCCTTGTAGGTGCTGAGAGGACAGAGGCGGTTGTTGCTGAGATTGTCGGTAATGCTGTTGTTGCTGAATTCGCTGCTGTTGTTGCTGGTGGTACTGCATAAGGCTACGCGGGCTCATGCTGCCCGAAGGCATCTGACCGTGAGCCGCATTGCCAAAGCCCTGGTCGTATCCGCCGTAGGGCATGTCTCGGAATCCATGGCCAGGATCAAACTGAACGTCATGAGGCATCTCGTCCGCAGAGTATCCTCCTGCTCCTCGTTCGTGTCCGTAAGGTGGGTATTGTTGATCGGCATTGCCAGAATACCGAGCATCAAGTTGCGGCGGCATTGGGCCCTGCTGTTGAATGGGGTTCTGCATCTGGCTAATGCTGGCCCACCGCTCACGCTGATCAGGCGCAGAATACTTTTGCGGACCACTGCGTTTCGTTGGCGATGATGGTCTGCCAGTCCGATCGACTGGCTGTGGAGAAGTATATCGTTGTGGGTACGGAGGCATAGTGCGTGTCTGTCCGTTTGTGATGTTGTCTGCGATGGGTTCAGAGATCTAGGCAACAGCTGAGCATTTCTCTCTACCGCTAATCTGGCCCGCTGATCGTCCGTACTCACCTACTACTTGTTGGTTGGACGGTCTGCCTCCGCCTCCCCCAAATGAGGACCCCGGCGTCGCGGACCTTGGAGTGAACGCTGATGCTCCGCCAGAATCTCCCGCTCCAACGCTGTACTGTTGACCAATCAGACTAGGCCCTGCTGTGCCTCTCGAGCCCCCGTTGTGAGATGGATGCTGGGGCTGACCACTACTCGTAGCCATCAAAGGGCTGCAATGGGATACTGACAGGAGAGCTTGGGAGCAGTCGTCGAGCTGAGCCAGTCAAGCGGACCTCGGGAAGAAAGAGTGATGCCGTAAAGGATCAGCGATGTCGGATGCGTCGAAGTGCGGTGCTGATGATGATGATGGTGGTGGTGGTGCGGATGCTATCTAGGAAAGTTCTTGAAGGGACGCCTAGAGTAACTGACGGGCGAGGAAGACCCGATGAGCAGCGTGTCGATGAGCTAGGGACGATGCCAATGAAGCAGTCTTTCACCGCTAACTGGAGTCGCAAAGTCTGATGTGACGTTCAGAGCGGGTTCGCTGAGTATGGAGTCCGGTGGTACTTGGGTCGATTTGCGGAGACTCGACGCGCTACCGTGTCCAGAGAAAAGGGCCCGTGCCAGGGAGTAGAGGCGGAGGAAGGACGCTGCAAGGCCAGAAATGCTATCGGAGAGGGTGCGCAACAGCGGCAAGGGGTATTGCAGACGTTGTTGGTCTGTTGACGCCGCGCTCGCCTTGGTATAGAGGATGTAGGATAGGGGACGATGGTATGGGCGGATGGGGGTTGGGTGGGGGGGTGGGTGGGGGGAGGGGCGACGAGTGGATGCGGGACGTGTAGATTGGGCACAGGGCCAGTATGCGCGTCCAGGGCGGCCAGGCACAGGAGCAGAGGCGTCTGCCCCCCGCGTGAATCCCAATGGGACCCTTTACTCACGCCTTTCCGAGGGGCGTGGTAGCAGTGTACTCGCAGCTGCCGTGCTCAGCGCCCATGGCTCGGATACGCAGCCGCTTCAGCTCAAACGGAGTTGCCATGGCGGCTTCTGGAGGGGAGTACCCTCGACTGTCTTTCACTCCTCCTCGCGTCTGCCTCGCCAACAATGCGCCTGAGCCTGGACCGGTCCCAGTGGCTCTACTTTCTGTGTTGCGTTCCCTGCCTGAGGGGGCTTGAAAGTCCAGTCGCGTAGACTTTGACGGTCATGCACCAAGTAGAGCTTGCTGACGACTCCAGTGGTCTTGTCAAGGAGCGAAGCTGGCAATCCGTGACGACGAGAGGGCATGGCAAGTCTCGCTACGCTAGCTAAGGGGCAGGGCATGACTGCTGGTCATTCAGACCATACCCTTGTGTGTCTGCCCCTTCAGCTGGTGAGCTTGGCCATCGAAGAGAGCGGGCCATAGTGAGGTCGCCCAAAAGATGAAACCATCGAGGCGGATTGTTGCAGAGCAGCGAGGTGTGGACACGAAATACGAATTACGCATCAGTGGGGCAGAAGGCGAGCTGAAGAGCGACAATAGACCACTGCATTGCTCGTTACGGAGCATTACCCGTGTGTAGCAGAGGTCATGGCTGGTGGTGGTGATGATGGTGGTAAAGATTGGATGAGATGCAGATCCATGTATGCTGTGTGTGCAAGTGTTGATCTACCGGGCTGTGAAGGCAGTGGTGACTCTATTGCCCCGATTCCGGTCTGGTCTGGGTCCAGCGCGGGTCCAGCCCCCCCTTCTACACCTCCCTCGGGCCAGTCTACCCACCTCCACCAGCGCAGACGGGTCTAGAAGAAGGTGCAATGTCGTAGCCACTTTGTCAGATACGCCATGCGACAGAATGATCATGAAGCAATGGGGTTCAGGTCTCATCGGGAACAAGCGGACGCAAGAAAAGGTGCCCACGGTCTAGCTCAATGGTGCATGGTGTGCGGCCAGGAGGGGCGAGACAGGGCAATGGACGCGGGGAAAAGCAGTATAGTCTCCTCTTCCGGTCCTCCATCGGCGTGCTGCATCGTTCCCTAGCAGCCTCTACTGATCACACCATCCAGTGGGACTGTGTGCGGTATGGCAGGGAAGGCTGTCCGAGTATGCGCTTTCCATTGAGAGGTGATGCTTAGCCTGCTGTGCGCGGCACGCAAGGCGCGGTGCCTGGCTGCCCTTTCTCGAGTCAGTCACTGTGACTCGCACCCGTTAGACAGCTTCGCCCGTATCACCCCTTTCCAGCTTCCTTTACGTCTTCCATCCTTGATCACATCTTCCAACATGACCCACCCAGCCTCCACCACGGCTCCATCGGGTGGTAACCCGCTTCAGGAGGTCACCGATGGAGCACAACAGCTCGCCATCAACCAGGAGCAGCAGAAGCCTCAGGATGCAGCACAGAAGCAGCCAAAGGCACAACAGGCAAAGAAGGAAAAGAAGCAGAAAGCCGGCGGCGCAGCAGGCGAGGGATCGAGGCCTCTCGAAGTGAGCATACTTTGACAATGAGCTCTTGAGCGTATATACTGACCAGCAGCGCATATGCTGCTCCTCTTGGCTACCAGATGACACCAGTGCCGGACTTCTTCGAGCATCGTATGCGCATCTTCGACAAGCTTAAAGCAGAGCAAGACGCTGAGAGAGCGTCGAAGTCTCGCGAGGAGATCACAATTACCCTACCAGATGGCTCCTCGCGCACAGGTACCGCATGGGAGACCTCCCCCTTTGATGTAGCTCGTGAGATCTCAAAGTCCCTCTCGGAAAGAGTGGTCATCTCGAAGGTGGACGATGCTCTGTGGGATCTGCCCCGCCCCCTCGAGAAGAGCTGCAAGCTCGAATTCTTCGACTTTGAGACGCCAGAGGGAAAGAGGGTCTTCTGGCATTCCTCCGCTCACGTCTTGGGCGAGGCAGCAGAGCGTCACTTTGGCTGTCATTTGTGCATCGGTCCTCCTACAGAAGATGGCTTCTTCTATGAGATGGCAATGGGCAAGAGTGAAGGACAGTGAGTATCTCCTCGCCCAAGTCTGGTGCGAGTACTAGTACAAAGCTGATTCCGTGGTCCATCCTCGCCTGTTCTTTCCAAGCAACGTCACACCGGACGATTACATCCCCCTCGAAACGCTCATCAATTCGGTGATCAAGGAGAAGCAGAGCTTCGACCGCCTCGTCGTGCCCAAGGCAGATCTGCTCGAGATGTTCAAATACAACAAGTACAAGCAGCATATCATTTCCTCCAAGATTCCAGATGGTACATCTACCACAGTATACCGATGTGGACCAATGATCGACCTTTGTGTAGGCCCTCACATCGTCAATACTGGTAGAATCAAGGCAATGTCTGTGATGAAGGCTTCGGCTTCCTATTTCCTGGGTAACCAGGCCAATGATTCTTTGCAGCGCCTCTACGGTATCTCTTTCCCCGATAAAAAGCAGATGACAGAGTACAAGCAATTTCTTCTCGAGGCTGCCAAGCGAGACCACCGGAGGATTGGTAAGGACCAAGAATTGTTCCTTTTCAATGAGTTTAGCCCGGGCTGTTGCTTCTGGCTACCGCATGGTACCAGAATTTACAACACTTTGACCGAATTCATCAGGGTGAGTTTCGGGGATGACGGTTCGCCTACAGGCCGAGTGGTCATTCACCTTTGCGATCCGTCGTCTATCTCGCCATTGTCACCACGCAGTCAGAGTACCGTCAGCGAGGCTTCGATGAAGTCATCTCTCCCAACATGTTCAACTCCAAGCTGTGGGAAACCTCCGGCCACTCGGCCAACTACAAGGACGGCATGTTCTCATTGGCTGTGGAGAAGGAGACCTTCGGTCTGAAGCCTATGAATTGCCCAGGTCACTGTCTCATGTTTGGCGCGCGTGAGAGGACCTACAAAGAGCTTCCTCTTCGATATGCCGAATTTGGCGTCATCCATCGCAACGAAGCTAGCGGAGCCCTCAGTGGATTGACCCGGGTTAGGAGATTTGTGCAAGACGATGCTCACATCTTCTGCATGGCATCGCAGATTGAAGACGAGGTCACCGCAGCTTTCGATTTCCTCGATTCCGTGTATGGCAAGTTCGGCTTCGACTTCAAGCTGGAGCTGAGCACCAGGCCAGAGAAGTTCTTGGGAGACATTGAGACATGGGACCTAGCCGAGCAGGTGAGAGCGTACGAGAGCGTAGCGAGAAGCACGACACATCTACTGATCCTCTAAGGAATGTTTGCCATTCTTCAGCGCCTCGAGTCTGCTCTGAACAAGTTTATGCCCGGCAGGTGGGAAATGAATCCCGGAGATGGTGCTTTCTACGGCCCAAAGATCGACATTACCATTTCCGACGCGATGAAGAGGCAATTCCAATGTGCCACCATCCAGCTGGATTTCCAGCTTCCTCAGAGGTTCGGGCTGCAGTTCAGGAAGCCTACGGGTGGCAGGGCTGCCGGCGAGGACGCTTCTGCTTCAGCTGCCGTTCCTGCAGGCATTGGCGCTGGCGAATTTGCAGGAGCTCAGTTGCCCGCCACGGGCACATCGGTCACCACCACTCAGGCCAGCACCGGTCCCTCTGCCACTCCCGCCTCGGCAGACTTCGAGCGTCCGGTCATGATCCACCGGGCCGTCCTGGGTTCTCTAGAGCGCTTCATTGCCATTCTCACCGAGCACTTTGCCGGTAAATGGCCCTTCTGGGTCTCCCCCCGCCAGGTAATGATCGTTCCAATTGCTATTCCGGGAGTGTACGAGTACGCTCAATCCCTCAAGGATCTCCTTTGGTCAAAGGGCTTCTACGTTGAAGTGGACCAAGGACCAGACACGCTCAACAAGAAGATTCGAAATGCCGAAATTGCCCAGTGGAACTTCATCTTTGTCGTGGGAGCCACCGAGATGGAAACCAACAGTGTCAATGTTAGGAATCGTGATCAGGTGGGAGAAAAGGTTAGAAATGACGAGACGGTCAAGGTGGATGTGGTGCTGGAGCAGTTGAGCAAGCTGCGTGAGGAGAGGAGGATCGAGAATAAGCTCATCTAGATGTAAAAGAAGCGAAGTCACAGTCGCTGAAAATGCTGCTGCTGCTAGTGCTGCGGGTGCAAGTACAGTAATACATCGAGGATGTCCGGAGTCCTATCGTCTTTCTCCCTGCCCCTCACTGGACTGTAGCTATAGCTTTTCCCACTGGATCCCGCCCCCCTTGCCATACCTTCCCGGCGCTTCAAGCCAGTCATTTGCCTTTTTGAAATGCCCATTCCCTAGGAAACCCCGGTGGGCAGAGAGAGGGGAGGGGTGTGGAGATTTGAGCAGGAGGATGTTGGATGAGGTTTTCTGTTCAGGAAAAGAGGAGAGAGAGAGAGAGAGAAAGCGGGAGGCATGGTCAGTGAGACAGAGCAAGGAGCAAGAGGTCCACCAGCTCGAATCGATTCCAGTCTCGACTCACCTCTGTGATCCCAGCTTCCGCAAGTGTCTTTGCGGCCGGTAGACCCCATGCGAGGAACACCACCCCCTTACTGCTAGAAGATGCCCCCGCCGCCACCGCCCCCGCTGGTGCCTCGCCCGAAGCCATCTCCTTCGTCTCCTTCTCCGGCTTTTCGTTCCCCTCCTTGGGCTTGGGCTTGGCAGGAGGCTCCTCCAGCTTCGCACCCTGCTTCTTGAACATTCCCATCAGCTTGGAGCTCTGCGCTGATGCTCCTCCGCCACTTCCTGTTGCAGCTGCTCCTCCTCCTCCACCACCACTCCCTGTCCCTCGTAGGGCTTCGTCCTTGACGAGCTGAAGTATGGCTTTCGTAAAGGGCTCCCAGCCTTTGCCATGGTGCGAGGCGGCTTGCCCAGCACGGACTGTGAGGGAGGCATTGAGGAGGAGTACGCCTTGGGAGGCCCATGACTCCAGGTTGCTGGTGCGGCCGAGGTAAGATCAAAGGTATCAGTGAATGTCAAAATAGCCTTCAGAAGAGGGCGGACAGACCTGCTGTGTACTCACCCGTGCTTGGGAGCAATAAATTTGCCCGGATACTCGTCGGAGAGCTCCTTGTAGATGTTCTTCAGACTGCCTGGCACCGGCACACCTTTGGGCACAGAGAAGGACATCCCTGTACACATCAGAGGCAAGTAGTAGAAATTGAGTGTTGTGTGCTCAGTGATTGCATAGACCCTCTCCACCTTTCTCCCAACTCCACTCACCGCACGCCTGCCCCGGTCCGTGATAAGGGTCCTGCCCCACCACGACCACCTTGACCTTATCCAATGGCGTCAGCCTACTCCAATTATGTATGAGCTTCTCAGGTGGGTACACCGTCTGTCTTTGCTTCTTTTCTGCTTCTAGGAAATTCTTGAGGGAACGGAAGGTAGGTTTGTGCATCTCGGGCTCTAGGCGGGAGAACCAGAGGGGATCCATTGTGGAGCGCTCCAGGGCGAATGGGTCATTTGAAGAGGTAGTGGATGATGAGGAGGAGGTAGTGGGAAATGCTGGCGGTTTCGCTGCCGTGGAGCTGGATGTACCATTCTTGGCCGGGGCTGCTGGACGAGCGTCGAGGTTCTCGGCTGCCTCTGCTGCTGCTATCAGAGCTTCCGCCTCTCCGTCTAGGTCATCGAAGGAGTCGGCCGTTTCCAGGGGACGCCGAGGAGGTGGAGCAAGGCTGTCTTTGGAAGCTGATGCGGCGGTACCCTTGACTTCGTCGGCATCCTGGTCCGTCTTCTCTGCCTGCTCTGCCTTGTCATCCTCTGCAAGCTTGGGGCGTTTAGCATTGGGTGAAGCTTGTGGCCCGGCGGAATAGAAGGTGGCAGCTGGAGCTGCGGCTAGCGATGGCGAGGCACTTCTTTTTGTGCCTGCTGCAGAAGCGGAGGGAGACGACCGCGGAGACGACATGACGCTGAGGGTGTGTCGAAGAGGGAGAACGGGGGATCTGAACACAGAGAGGAGGGTGCGGATGTCAGCCAAGCGCAGAAGAGAAGTTTTGGAGAGGTGTTGAGGGATGCATACTCACCTAGTGAACAGGTACAAGAGCATGCAAGGGACCCGAGATGAGTGTAGACGTAGCTGCGGTAATTGTCCAGGTATTTGAACGGTGATGGCGGTCAGGCTTGGCTACCAAGTCGCGGGTGGGTGGTGACTTCTTCGCGTCATCCTCGCGTTGTCCTCGATGGAGCGCATGGGCCAGTTCCATTTCCCTCGATGGACTGGCTGGGAGAGGCGCGCGGTTGTGTCCCTCAGCCTCAGCCACGGCGGCGGCTCCACTCAGCCTCGACGCCCCGCCCCGCTCGCAGCCACGCCGCCCCCTGGAGATTATTATGGTCACTGCTACTGCTACCATCGTCACCATCTCCATCACCACCATCACACTCGCATACCCTCACCCCCTCACTCAACATGGATGAACACTACGATGTCATCATTCTCGGGTGCGTAGCAGCACGGCATCCCACTTCAGACTACACGGATCACTCACTGCCACTCCACCCCTCTCCTATCACCTTGCAGCACCGGCGTCACAGAGTGCGTCCTGTCCGCACTTCTCTCCGTAGACGGCAAGAAGGTCCTACACATGGACAGGAACCAGTAGTGAGTATTCAGACGGCATTGTGATGCCTCCCCGGCCGCTACTCAGTCGCCGCAATGTCCCCCCACTCGTCCCCACTCCCCTCTCCCAGCTACGGAGGTGAAGGCGCATCTCTCAATCTCACACAGCTCTGGGAGAAGTTCCGCCCTGGACAGCCCATCCCCACAGACATCGGCCGCGACAGGGACTACGCAGTGGATCTCATCCCAAAGTTCCTCATGGCCAATGGTGAACTCACAAAGATGCTCGTACACACAGACGTGACCCGTTACCTCGAGTTCAAGCAGATTGCCGCATCCTATGTATACCGTGATGGAAGGATCGCAAAGGTACCCGCTACTGAGATGGAGGCAGTACGAAGTCAGCTTATGGGACTCTTTGAGAAGAGGAGGGCAAAGAAGTTCTTTGAGTTCATTCAGAATTGGAGGGATGACAACCCAACCACTCATTTTGGTGAGGCAGAAAACTCATAAGCTCCCATCCCCCATGCTCTCCGCTTATCCACCTCCCCCTCCCTTTTTGCAATCCAGGCCTCGACCTAGACGCAATGCCAATGACCAAGATCTTTGAGTACTTTGGCCTCGAGCCAGGTACCCGAGACTTCGTCGGCCACGCAATGGCCCTCCACCTAGACGACTCGTACATGACTCGTCCAGCACGGGAGACCTACGAGCGCATCCTCCTCTACACCTCTTCCGTGGCACGATACGGAAAGTCGCCATACATTTACCCTCTGTACGGTCTGGGAGAACTGCCTCAGGGATTCGCTCGTCTGTCTGCCATCTACGGAGGTACCTACATGCTTGATAAGACCATCGACGAGATTGTCACCGACGACGATGGCAAATTCGTCGGTGTCCGCTCCGGCGACGAGACTGTCAAGGCAGATGCCCTCATTGGTGACCCGACCTACTTCCAGCAGAGTGTCAAGGGCAAGGAGCTCACTAGGGAGACGGCCAAGCTGGTTCGCGCCATTTGCCTCCTCAAGCACCCCATTCCCAACACGGACAATGCAGACAGTGTGCAGCTGATCATCCCCCAGAACCAGGTGGGAAGGAGACACGGTGAGTGGTCGTCTAGGAAGCAAGCGCTGAGCATTGTCTAAAAGCAATGTACTTATCGTACCTCCCCATTGTTCCCCTAGACATCTACGTTGCTGCCCTCTCGCACAACCACAATGTCCTCCCCAAGGACATGTACCTCGCCACCGTCTCCACCATCGTCGAATCAGACAAGCCCGAGCTGGAGCTCCGTCCCGGCTTGGACCTCCTCGGGCCCATCCACGAAAAGTTCATCTCCATCTCCTCGCTGTATGAGCCCGTGGGCCAGGGGAAAGAGGAGAAGATTTTCATCACCAGGAGTGGAGATGCGACGAGTCATGTGGAGACGATTGTGGAGGATGTGCACGATGTTTGGAGGAGGGTGACGGATGGGAAAAAGTTGGAATTGAAGAAGAGGGAGGAGGGAGAGGGTGCACAGGTGCAGGGATGAAGAGGGGGAGGGGCGGAGGTGATTTTGTCCCTCTGGCTTTGCAGGGGTGAGAGCGTGTGAGTGGATGAATGAGAGGAAGCAATGTTCGAGACTCGCTCTGGGTCTAGCTCTGGATCGTGATCGTGATTGTGATCGGATACTTTAACTGCCACGAAATACGAGAGAGAATCATAGAATTGAAAGAAGAGAAGAAAAGAAAAGAGGAAGAGGAAAAGAGTCGTGGTGACGTCTTGCACTTTGAAGTTTGCGTATTGTTGTTGTCGTTGTGATTGGGGTTATTGCGCTTTCCTTCTTACTTCGTTTTGCTTTTTTGGTTTGGTCCTTCGAAGACGAGAGGACGAGAGGACTAGGACGAGAGGGCGAGGGCGAGAGCTCGGCGCACAATCGTCCTGTCTTGTCCTATCCTCGCTCCGCCTCGCTTCGGTTCGTTTCCACCTTTTGCTCATTGACTGATTCATTGACTGATTCATTGCCTTGTCCCTTTCAGGCTTTGCCGCTGAACTGCTCGATGAGGGGAATCAATCGACGTGGCGAGTGAGGTGGAGTGAGATGTGATGCGGTGCGGTGCGAGGCGAGGCGAGGAGGAGGGAGGAGCACATCGCGTGATGGGTAGGGAGGAGGAGGAGGAGGAGGAGAGAGAAGGGGAGGGGTGGAGTGTCAGTACATTCTCGTCAAGTCAAGTTGGCAATACGGAGACGATGCTGGGCGTGACGGGGTGAGGTGGGGCGGGGTGGGCCGGGGCAGAACAAGGCAGAGCTTGATAGTGACTGCATTCTATTGCTTTGCCTTTGGCCCAGGCAATGAGCTGCGCCTTGTAGCTAGCCCTTGCCCGTTGCCCGCAGTCGTGAGCCCTCTGTTACCCTCTCTCAGCCCAACGTCCCTCCTTTGCCCGACTGGCGCTGGCGCTGGCGCTGGGTACTCGTATCCCTTCGCACCACCCCACCCTGCACCTCTCACTTCTGCCCACGCGCAACACATCACTCATTGGGACTAGCCTTCTTTGCAGTCTCCTCTTGGAGCTCCTTGGGACCCTTGTTGCTCTTGTGAGCATGGGCCACGTCTTCTGACTCTGTGGGTGCATCCTGTAGAGGGAGGGAAAAGTAAAGGAGATGGACATGGGTCAGTTGCTAGTCCTCCCATGGCAAAGCTGGCTTCCCTGGCTACGCAGACAGGCTTGCTCCACTTGTCTTTCAGTCAGCCTCTCCTCTCCTCCCCCAATCACTCAATCACTCACATTAGGCGAAGCAGTGTGCTTATCCGCCCTCCTCCCCTCTGCATGATCAGCCAGAGTTTCCTTCTGCATCTGTTCCTTGTCGTGATGCTTGTGGTGCTTGTCCGCCTTGGCAGCCTCTTCGGACGTCGTTGGTCCAGAGTAGAATCGAATGCTGCCTGAAGCAGACGAGGAGGAGGAGGAAGAGGAGGCTTGAGCCACGCGCGAGGCGAGGGAAGAACGGGCGAGACGGAGGGAGAACATGGTTGATGTGCTGTGAGGGTAGAGTAGAGTGGAGAATGCGGAGATAGGTGCAAGACAGTGGTCAGTTGGCGTGATGGTGAGCCTCGGCGAAGCGTAGAACTGTCGGTGTAGTCTTCTTACTCACATCAGAAGAAGGGAGAGCGAAGAGTGAGTGTAGAAGGTGTGGATACTGACGACAGGAAGGAAAGGATCAGATGCGTCGTGTTACTTGTGCGGGTAGCCAGCCCTGCCCGCTCCGGCTTGCTCCACTGCCCGGCTGGTGGGATTAGCAACGCCTTGCACCCGTCTCATCCGCCCGCCTCCTTCCCAAGCCACACGTGGGGCGCGCCGGCATTACGTCACCCGACGCATGTACTACATACGCTAGTGTATGATATCGACGCTTCTTAGAGGCAGCAAGCAAGGCAACAAGGAATTGCAGAAAAGAAAGAAACATGGGGTACATGCTACAATAGGTTTGGCCGTCGTTGAGACTATATACATAGGTGAGGGGCCAAACAAAAGCGAAGGCTGATCAGCGTCATATCCGCTTGTCCATGGGCGAGGGGGCCAATTGCAGGCAATGCTCCTGCAAGCTGGGCAGAGCCGAAGACGTTGCAGCACCAGATGTCTCTCCACCTTTATTCCCCTTCTCGCCAGAGTTGACCCCATTTCCACCTCCAGCTCCACCGCCGCCGCTTCCACTACCACTTCGACTCATCCCCAGTCTCTCAGCTGCCAGCGCCTCTCCCACCGCAATCAGCTGCTGCGCCAACGTGACCGTCTCTCCTCCACTACCGGCTGGTGCTGCGCCCTGCGAGGCGAACTGATCGGCATACCTCAGAAGCAAGTCCTGGTGAGCTTCGACGGATAGGGAATCCTGGGTCGCACCGCGAGAGGACATGGGTTGACTGGTGAAGTGGGGCTCTGGCCCTATCGAATGAGGTGTAGAATACGAACGACGTTCTTTGGTGAGGGGTCGATCTGCTGCTAAGCTCAAGGCAGCCAGCCTCTCCTCGGTATGAGGAGTTTGAAGCGGAGAGGGAGGCGACAAGGGCGGTACAGAAGCACGCGTCGTCAGAGGCGACGATTCCGACGTCGAGTCGCCTCCAGGAAGATCCTCCATGAAGGAGCTAGGGTCGCGACGCAGAGGGCTGGGCGGCACGGATCGCAAGGCTACCTCGTGATCACTTTGCGCTTCCCCATTGGTGGAACTGGCCATGCCCTTTTCCCTCTGCGATAATCTGCGCAAGAGGTTTCCTGAAAGACTGGCGCTACTATTCGCCCTTCTTCTACTCCCCGATGGGTCTGCATCGTCTTCATAATTAATTTTCCTGCGCGAGAAGACGCTAGGAGTCGGCGAGGAGCCCTTTCTGACAGCAAAGGCTGAGACTGGCGGGGTATGATGATGCGAGAATGACGCCCGGCTAGTACGAACTTGCGGTGCCCCACTCGCATCGATGGAGCTGATCGAGGCACTGGAGATTGAGCTGGAGGAGCGCCGGCGATTGTCAATCTTTGCTGCCCCATTAGTCAATCCATTGGCTGCTTTTCGGAGCAAATTCGAAACGCTCTTCTTTGCACCTAGTCGTCGGGGTGTAGCCGAGCTCGAGCTTGGGACTTCGCTCCCGCTGCCATTGTCTGCAAGCCAATCATCCCCTCCGCCGCCCGCGCCGGCACCAATTTGAAGCTGTCCATTCGAAGAAGGGGTCTTGGTCCTGAAGACGTGAGGGGAGAAATTGGCATTGCGGACCAATGCCGCTTTGATGGAGCTGGCAGGGTTTGCGCTTCTGGCCTTGTCGAACAGATGTGGGAGAGAGGGACGTCGTAGACCTTCACTGCTCGCACCGTGACCGGATGAAGCTGTACCTTTCGCGGGAGTCTTTGTAAGCGGAGAAATATCGGGGATAGCAGTCCTCTCAGCAGGGAGGACTGGTGAAGAAGACAAGGGCGACATAGGCGCTGGAATTGCTATCGAATCCAGACCTTGACCGAGGACAGGAGACTGAGGGAGAGCAGCGGCGCTGCTATTGAGTCTGGGCGGGGGTGGTAGCATTGCCAGGTGAGGGAAGGAGTCTTCGGCCTCGTCTTGTATGCGTGAGTGGGAGCGACCCCTTCGTCTGGACGAGCTCCTATCTGGTGCTACATCATGGTCGTCTAGGTCGTTCACCCCAGAATGCCGCCGTGTCAGAGGGTCTATCGTTCCATCTAGGGTCTCCGTAGTGGGAGGAGGAAACATCAGTCCGGGCGTCATCGAGGGCAGTAGCAGAGGTGCTGATCCGTATGTACGATGCCTACAACCTCAATGGCTGCTGTATCGCAGGCGATAGGCGCAGGCAATAGGTACGGCTGCGAGTCCGTCGAGCAGAGAAGAGGACGCTGCCCTTTGCTTACCAAAGCCGGCAGGTACGAGGCTCAGCAACGCCAGGAAGCGGGATCATGTTCGTCCGAGGAGCAAGTGAGGGTCCAATATATCTTGCGGATAGCAAGACTGGTGGGGGCCGCCGATATCACCCGGGAAGGGAATGGATGGCTCAACGGGGATTTGCGGCGACAGAAAAGGGCCCGTGGAGGATGGCCATGGTTGCTGCGTTGCGTGGGAGCAAAAGTGGCGTGTTCCGTCTGTGCGCCTCCACGCCCGCCGCCGGCGCCCTGATCGATCGGATGACGACCCCACACAGGCTGGGGCCGTGCACGAACACAGGCACAGCCACGAACCTCGGCCATTCACCGCCGTCGCTGCAAAAGGAAGACGGAAGTGACGCCAATCGCCAATCGCATCTTCAACACCGGACATTCAACGGAGACGAACACCTGAGTCTATCACTGTGTGCCTTCCAACACTAGACTCGCATCCCATTACTACTGCTACTGCGACGACGACGACGACGACGACGAGGGCCTCATCACACTCGCATAGCGCTTGATCGTCTGCAATGGCCGAGGAAAGCCCTCGCGCAGAGGGCTCTTCCTCGCGAGCCACAGCATCTGTCACTGCTCCCATCCCAAGCAAGGCCAGCGGAATCTCGGCCTCCGGCATCAAGGCAAGGTTTGCCCAGTATGGCAGATCAGGGAACAAGAACAGCACATACTCGGTCCACGGCAGACAACCCTCGGCGACAGGTAAGGACGGCAGCAATGAGCCCCCCACGCCGCCGCGCCCGGGTCCTGGGGAAAGAGCAACGTCTGGACTCAGATCATCAGGTGACGAGGCTTACAACGTCCCCGAGGGGACAACCTCTGCGACTGGAGCCACAGCCAGTATACCGGGAAACCCCCTTGCGCCCCACATCAACCTCATCATCATCAGTCTTGTAGCAACGGCGTTGATCTCCCTCTTCCTTTCCAGTATTCATTGGTCCCTCGGAGTTGTTACTATAGGCACTGGCTCCTACATCCTCTCTAAGGCCCTCGTGTCGCGGGGGGAGGATGTAGCCTATGCCACCCGCATCGCAGACAACGAGGCCAAATGGAACAAAGCCGAGAAGACCGAGTCCGTGGAATGGATCAACCACATCCTCGGTCTTGTATGGCCTCTCATCACAGTGGACATCTTTATGCCTTTCATCGACTTGCTTGAGGATGCTCTGCAACTCCAAGTCCCAGGGATCGTCCACGCCGTCAGAGTGGAAGATCTGGATCAGGGAGTCATCCCGCTCAAGATTCAGAGGTTCAAGGTTCTTGGTAGAGGAGAACAGGACTTTCTGCGAGATCGTCATGACACCCAGATCGAAGAGCAGCCCGGCGGGGTGGAGGACAGCGTAGACCTCGGAGAGCATGTGAGTTGCGGTCGGACAGACATTGGAGCTGTGTATTCGTGAACATTCTGCACTAACACACTCTTTCGCGCATGACCAGGTAAACCTGGAAGTAGATTTCTTCTACAGAGCACCTCCGCAGACCCGAAAGGGATTCACAGTCATGACCGCACACGCTGTGGAGGAAGGGATCGGTCCCGAAGGCGAAGATGGAACCAAGACTCCAGAGACCCCCTCAAGAAGGCCATCACTAGAGGAGGAAGGAGAGACACCACCAGAGATGATCCATCTCCTACTCTACCTCTCTATCGGCTTACAGAAGATCGCAGCTGTGGAGGTTCCCGTTTGGTGTGAAGTACTGGGTATCGAAGGCAAAATGAGGCTCAGACTACAGCTCGTACCTAACGCCCCTTTTGTCAAGCACGTAGGCTTCACCTTGATGGGACAGCCCAAGCTCGAGATCAAAGCCAAGCCGCTCGGCAGAAAAATGGGTGAGTGAAAGGCGAGAGAGAGATATCATTGCGACTTTGCTGACGCTTGATGCTGCTTCTTGCCTCGCGTGGCCGATCTTGGTAGTCATTGATGCCATGCAGCTACCGTTCTTATCCACCTATGTCCTCAAGTCGATACAAACGACCGTTGCTCCCTTTGTCTCGCCCGGCTCATATACGATTGACGTGGCAGCGCTTCTCGGTGCAGGAGCTGGGCCAAGGAACACCTATTCGGTAGGAGTGATCTGTCTGATCCTCCATCAGGCCTCAGACCTACCTGCAGCCGACACAAATGGCTATTCGGACCCTTTTGTATCCGTCTCGTTCGCTAGAGCGGGTAAGCCGCTCTTCAGAAGCCGAGTCTTGCGGAGAACGCTGAGACCGACATGGCAAGAGGTCGTGTTTGTTCCAGTATCGCCCGACGAGGTCAGAGACCACGAAAAACTCAGAATCACCGTCTTCGACGCCGACCGCTTCTCCGCTGACGACCCACTGGGTAAGATCGAAATCTCTGTTGATCACCTGATCCAGCGAGCACTGAAACGCTCAAAGGATTTCAAGAGCTCCACGATGATGGAGACTCGGACAGACAATCTTCAGCCCGTCAGAAGAGGTGGACAAGCGCAGGGACAGCTGAAGTACTCAATTGTGTTCAGCAGACTGGTCCAGCCAGAGGGCGGTGACGGGGTGGCTAACACCCCTCGGCGAGCTCAGATGATGCAACAGACTGCCCAACGGGCCAGGACAATGGGTGAGAAGCGGACCGACGATGTCAAAGCGGAAGAAAGAAGTGGAGAGACAGATGCCTTCCTGAAGGAGCAAGAACGCAACAACGGGGATCTCGGCGAGTCTCCTCAGGCCAGGCCGGAAGAGCCCGAATGCCTCGATCAGTATGAGACTGGCTTCGATCGGTGAGTATATGAAAGCTGTATCAATATAGTAGTGACGCGGTACTGATCGGTCTTTCTTTCCTTGACGCGTTTTAGCTTTGTCCGCTCACTCGGCCTCCCAATGGATCAGCATCTTCTCCAAGCTCGTAAGGCACGCCATGACAGAGTGCGGAAGCTGGTCGGAATGCTATCGGGCGAGCAGGCAGCGATTCTTGAGCCGCCTGACCCCGCTTGGCCAACTGGAATCCTCGCTTTCCACGTCCACTCCATACAGCAGCTTGAGGTCAGTCACACCCAGCGCAGCTACAAATCTGCCAACCTTTCGGGATCAGGAAGCGCGGAAGCGGCCAGCTCAAGCGGCGGCGGTAGTGACGGTGTATCTCCTGCCGCCCAGAGGATGCCATCGAGCTACGTCCAGCTTTTCCTCAATGACGAGCCGCTGCTGAAAACGAGGACAAAAACGTATAATTCGCGTCCGTACATCAATGCAGGCAGTGAGCGTGTTGTTGGTGACTACCGTACAGCTCGTATGGACTTTGTCGTCAGAGACTCTCGACAGCGGGAGGGAGATCCAATTATCGGTGTCGTGGGCTTCAAGATTGCGGACGTACTGAAGGAGTCGGCAAGGAAGACTAACTGGTACACCCTCACTGGTGGGCTTGGCTACGGTAAGATGCAGATCACCTTGCTCTGGAGATCTATCCAGCTGCAGGTACCTGCCTCCCTACGAGGATGGAACATTGGAGTGCTAGAGATCACGAAGCTTCAAGCGAGCGTCGGGCAGATGTTCGAGGGAAAAGATGGCTACTTCTACTTGCAGACGCCCGGCGGCAGGAAAGAACTCTCGGCTATCTCTGCCAAGCGCGAGTCTGATCAACCTGACTCGGCCTCCGGTCCTAGCAATCGTTACCGGTATGATGTGGACCTCTCCTCGCGAACAATACGCCTGCCTGTCCGACAGCGCTACCCTGGTCAGCTGGTTATCGAGCTCAAAGCAGGGACAAGGACGCCGGGCCGTCGTCGTCCGCAAGCCGTCATGTGCATACCCCTGAGTCGCCTAGTCGATAATGCCGAAGCATCCTTGAGGGTGCCATTGTGGGTGTCTCAGGACTGGTACCAAGTCGAGCAAGGTGTCCTCAAGGCTACTTCTGCAGACGAGCAGCTTTTCGAGGGCGGAAGGGATCAACACCTCAAAGAAGGCAACGAGAGCGGAGAACGCGTATCAGCGCTAGAGGAGCTCTGCCACGGCTCGGCTGCCGACTTACCAGAGGAATTGCCGTACGATGGAGGCAAGATGGTACGTGCTGGCTTCATTGACCTTACGCTGCACTTCTTCAGTGGTCTAGGAGAAGAGCACAAGTCGTCCCTTGCGGGGGATCACGAGTTGCGTTTCGCACACGAGGCATGGCAGACCATGGTCGATTGTAAAGAGCGAGCTTTACCTAGGCGGGCTGGCAACGGCAGCATGGCTAGGGGCAGGAGCGCTAGTAGTGCGAGCGCTGCTGGGTCTACGGGCCTGTATGAGCCCTCCATCATTGATCTTCATGGCGACGATGATGAGGTTGCCGGGGACGAGGTAGACTCAGACGAAGAGCGACTGCTGAGAAAGAGGAGTGAGTACGACTTCAGCTGTGAAAGTTTGTTTCGAGGTACAATACTGACCGTGAATCAATGCTTCGCCACGATTCCAGTCCTGCACCGTCAAGAAAGAGGCGCTGCGCAGATCAAGGGCTTCCGCACGGCCAGCTGGCTCAAGCAGAACCTCAACGATGGAATCGGTCGAGCCAAGCGGCTGGCCGGGGAACAAAGCAAACGACTCAGCAAGATGGAGGACGAGGGCGTCTCGAGCATTTGAATGGGGAAGGCCCACACGTTGGGACACTCATAAATAGGAGGAGGTGGTGCTGTATTTGTTTCCTTAGCTCTTCCCTCTGTAATAGTAAGATTAGCTACAGCCATGCGCTGGGTATATTCATCATGCACTTTGCCCATCGCTCCAAACGACCTTGCTCCTCGGGTGCAATGAGGGGCAGAAGCCTCTGACCTCCTCCACCCGGTCTCGGGTCTAGCTCCTCCAGTCTTCTCGAGTCCAGCGAAGGCATCAGCGAGGCGCTGCTTCGCGGAGCCGAAGATCTCCCCCACCCTTCCCCTTCCTCTTCATAGTCGCTGAAGCGACGTCCATCACCGTCTCCGCCTCCCCTACCACCGCCTCCACTGGCTGAACGCTGCTCCTCATCGAGGAGTACACTGCGCATTTCTTCCTCTGTGGCACTTGTGCTCAATCTCCTCTCTCCACTCATAGAGCTTAACCTCTCTTCTGCATCACACCAGAACATGGCCCAATTTCTTCCCTTTTGCAATTCTTCCTCGGTCTTCCCAGCACGCTCTGCCTCTGTACGAGGGTTGAGATCGATCTTGGCAAAACCATTGGAACGCTCGTAGTACCACTTATTGACTGGATTGTCCCCTCTGGATTTCCAGACTAGATCGCGTCCTTTGCCAAAACCACCTTTACCGCCATTGTCGTTTAGGGCGTCTAGAAGTCCCAGACCCTGCACTTCATCGCGTAGCGCACCCCAGAGGAAATCGACTGTGCCGCTTCCTTGTAGCGAAGGGAGGACGGCGAATTTGTCCAGGTAGGCCATGGGCTCTACACCGGGAGGATCGTCGGCAGAGGTTTCGAGGGTGACGATGGCTGCGCCTTGGTAGTCGCCACTGACAATGACGAAATCGCAACTCTTCCTCAAGCGCTCATAGTAGGCTTCGGCGTTGAGCTTGCGCTTGAAGGAGGCTTCGAGCAGAGCGGTGAGCTTGGTCTGGTCCACCTGCGAAAAGTCGTAGATGACATTGATGGAGAGTCCTGGACGAATAATCGTGGGCGTATGGCGAAGATCGCGCTTGTAGGATCGAAGCAACGCAGGTGGAAGACTGGGCGAATGGGCCGCCTTGTTGGTGATGAGGTTTGCGATGAGAGACCGGGGCGAACGATGCGAGACGACGATACCAGAGGAGGTGTGGGGCATGTATGACAAGCAGTCGTGAACCATTCGAAGATTCTCCATGGCTGTTGGATGCGACTCTTTCCAGACGAATGAGTTGAGGATATGAGAATACTCTGAAGCTAAATTGATGGCCAAGTGCGGATTACCGCCTCGCGCATGGGAGGGTATACCACCTTCTCGATTGATGACCATGAGCCGTAGGGGCGTCATGTCCACATGTGAGGCCATCAGTCCATGTAGGTCTTCAGATCCAGATTCCTCCATTTCAAGGAGATACTCCTCGGCTTCCCTGCCAGCAATAGCCATGTCCCTGGCCAGAGCGACGAGAACATCATCTGCCTTGACCGGTGTCGAAGTCTCGCCCCCGTCCGCCTCGGGGTCCGAATATAGAGCAAGAGGGGCAATGACGGGTATATGGTCCGTAGCCAACGCTGACCTGAGGGAAGATAGACCATCATCAGATACAAGGGGAGAACGAGAAGCAGAGGCCTGCATCTGTCGGTAGCCAAAAGCCCTGACTTGAGGATGCGAGAGTGGAGTAGCAGTCGTAGCCACATCTTTGTTCTGCAGAGCCGTGGCCGCACTAGATCCACTCGAAGAGTTAGGATCTGCAACATTCCCCGCCCCTGGAAAGTGCCGCGGCGCTAACAGTTCTGCATCTCTTGCAAGTTCGGCATCGACTTTGAACAGAGGGGAAAGAAAAGGTCTCGCGGGGGCTCCTCGACTGTGTAGGAGGTCGGCCAAGGCATTGACATCGTTGAGCATGGCTCTACGTAAAGTCGCTCTACGCATCTTGCTCAGCTGTCTTCTGCGTTCCTTTTTCTCTTCGGTAAGGTTGCGACCGATCCACGCTGCTAGCTCATTATCCTCCTTGTCCTCCTCGGCCTGCTCCATCCGTATGCCATCGGAGGAGAACTCAGAAGTGTAACCAGGAAGAGACCATTCCTCTCCATCGACGACGATGACAGAGACAAGACCGAGCTTCTTGAGATAGATCATACCATCAGCGATACTCTCTAGCTGCCTGCGCGTGAAAGGCCCTTGTACTTTGACCAAAGCGGTATGCTGCTGCACCGCTAAGCCTTCTGCCTCGCTAGTGCTGTGAGGACTAGCCGATGTCGAGCTTGCCCCCTCTCTTGAGCCCTGCGCAGTCGTCTCAGCATTCTTGGGAATCTTTGAATTCGAAGTCGAGGCAATCTGCGAATCTGGATGACTGTGAGATTCCTCGCGAAGATGATCCTGATTACGATGAGGCAGTCCATCTTGAGACGAGCCATCTGCTGCTTTTGCTCTGATGCCAACTGGTAGCCTTGCGGCGCTCCCAGGCGAGAGCAGTTGACTTCGAGCAGCCGCCCGCGCTGATGGTCCAGCAAGACCTTGTCTGGTCTTCAACCGCTGCTGAGCAACTGGCCCTCTGCTATCGACTCCTGTCTGGCCTGGAGGGGAAGACCTAGAGGCCCTGGGACCAAAAGTCTTGAGGTAACCCTTGCTGTCCCTGAGCGATGGCTGGGCGTTGAGCACCTCGAGGATGAGGTTCTGCATTCTTGACTTTGCCATCTTGACTCGCAGCAGGGAGGGCTCGGGAGTGACGAGATGATGAGCTCACACGAGGTAGCGTTGAGTATGGAAGAGAGGGGGGAAAGTGTAGAGGATGATGTTGGGTACGGCGATGCAGCCTCTCCTCTGCTCCGTCTTTGCCCTGTGCCCGCTTCGCAGCCGGAAGGGTAGCGCAGGAGGGGAGTCGGGGGACCCTAGGAAGCAGAGTGTCCCGCCCCGATATCTGCCTGAGACTGCAGTGGGCTACGGTATACCGTCGAACAGACGCCGTAAGGATGAGGATGACGAGAAGGACCACGCAGCAATGAAGCAATGGCTGCCAACGTCGGGTCTTTGTTGGTATCTCCCCAGAGTCCCTCGAGAGTCACACCTCACCATCGGAAGCGTCGGCGCGAGAAGAATTCAACGTGCCTCGTGCGGACTTTGATTCAACAGAATCGTCGAAGCGGACCGGCCTCCACCCAGACGGCCAAGCCCTTACTTACTTACCTCGCTGAAAGGGACATCGATTACAGTAAGAGACGCGGGCAAACACTACCCTTACAGTCTGAAAAGTCAGCAACAGCAATGAAATATCAAATTCAAATTCAATGAGAGTCCACTTGTAATATTCTTAATAATAGCAATATATACAGTAAGAAACGCAGCAAAAAGCCGAGCCAAGGCGAGACGAGGCCCATAGACGCAAGTGACGACTTCCCCGAAACCGGAGCCAACAAGGAGGGGAGCTGACTGGTTCAAGGATCGCACGACTTTACGTCTCAGGCCCGGCATAAAGTGGGGGAAAACAGGAAGGGTCCAATAGGATAGGAGGTTGAGCAAAGTAGGAGGGGGGCAGCGTCGGCTCGTGGGATGAGTCCTCGAGGCATCATACTCAGCCAGTGACGACACAGATGCCAGCCACAAAAGTGAATAGCACAGCACCCAGAAGAGCCAGACCCGAGTTGAGAGCAGCAGCCGTTTGGGCGCCACTGCTGCTGCTGCTGCCACTGCTACTGCTGCTGCTACTACTCTTACTCGTGCTCTTACTCTTGCTGCCCGACGAGGTAGTGGTGCTACCACTCTCGCTAGAGCTCGTGACCGCAGTCGTGTTCCTAGCGTCATTGAGGCCATCGACGAACAGCCACATCTGAGTAGAAGGATCAATGTACATCTCTTCGTCCACGTGGGTAGCATTGGCCACCACAGCAGTGTGATGGTTGGGAGCATTGAGGGTGGCTAGCGCTGCCCATAGATTCTCCCCACGAGTAATGTGCGAGTCACCCTGGTATTGGGCCTGGCAATGGGTATCTCCCGGTCCGTTATCATCTTGTCCCACAGAGTAGAGGAACCTTCGGTTCAGGTAGTCGGTCAGGATCTGATCCTTCTGACCTGCCTCGAACCTAGACCGTGCGTAGATGTTCATGGTGCTAGAATCGTTGGCGTCAATCCCATAGGGCCACTCGTTCTTGATAGCATCACAAGCCGCATCGACTGTGCAGGAGGCGTCGTCGGTCTTGCAAGTCGTTGCAGTCGTTGGATCCGGCACCGGTCGAGCGTCGACGGGCCAAACGTAAGAGCCGGCATTGGCGACCCACCACTTCATGTTCAGGTCTTCATTCGGGACGTTCTCCCTAAGCATAGCGTAACGCTGAGTGAAGAGTCCTCCAGCCGAGTGACCTCCAATGACGACGGAAGTGAGGGCGGGATAAGCAGTTTGGTTGAAGAAGGAAGTGACAAGGGAGTCCATGGCTTTAAAAGACGTGTAAGAGGAGTTATCCGGACCCTTGGTGATAGATCCAGTCGCCCATTGACTGCCGCTCCAGACGAGTTGATTGGAAGAGGCACCTCCAGCACTGAGATCATCGGTGTTCCAAAGGAGTGGGGCAGCCACGGCATAGTCTTCGAAGTTGACGTCGTAGTCCGCATTGGAGACGGCACACAGGCCGGTGTATCTCGCCAAGTTTGCGTACCTCCAGGTGTCGCGCGGTGCGCCCTGCAAGACGACGACCATTCTTTTGATCTTTGTCAAGTCTTTGCGCTCCAGGTAGAATGGCAGAACTGCACCGTCGTCCAGAGGAAGATCGACAATGTCAAAGTCGACGACCTGTGCCTTCGATTGCCATCCAGTCGTGTCCTCCCCGCCAACGGCGGATCCTCCGATGAAAGCAATGGGGCACGACGAGACAGGCGAGTTGTTGTCTGTGCCGTTGGCACCTCCGATGATCACCGTCTGTCCAGCGGTGTCTCCGGAGATGTATTCAGGTGGTTGGGCTCCATTGGTATAAGAGCTGGCGTACCACAGAGAGGTAAAGGTAGCATTGGTGGAATCGGAACCTCGGCGATCGAGGGCGTGAGGCTCTGAGCGTGAAGGAGGAGGGCGATGACGACGGGTCAGTCCTGAGGGGGACTGGTGGGCAGCGGCGTCAGCAGTGACGGCCAGGAAGGCCGCCGTGGTAGCCAGGACTGCGGAGATGCTGAGAACTGAGGAAGAGGCAAGCATGGTGGGCAGGGTGGTTGGAAGAGGTGAAGGTTGCAGATCCAAAAAAAAGCTAATGAGGTAAGGTCCGTTGATAGAGCACTGGTATAGGATAGTCGGCGGATGTCTCAGATCTCGAGCTGCTTTCGGCGAGAAGAAGAGGAAGGATTGATCGGGTAAGCTAAGGAGGATTCGTGACCCGCACGATGGCAGCCGAGAGTTGAAGAAAGGGCGACGTAGAGAGAGTGTTTTGGAGTACTAGAGACTAATGGTCAAAATAGAAAGACTAAAAGGAACAGAAGGAGAAAGGCAAAGTGGAAGCAGTGATTCATGAGAGATTGAGGAAAGGGGAAGGAGCCCCAAGGAAAGGGTTCTGCCGTCGAAGGGCCTCGCCTGTCGGCCGTCCGCCGCCGGCAGGTCGCCGTGATCCCGATGCTCAGCGGCTGTGCCGAAGATCAGCCACGCCCTGCGTTTCCGCGCCTGCATCGGCCCCGCCCACGCCACACGTCCAACGGGCCCTTCCGCTCAGCCAATTCACACGACCAGATCTCGGCATACAGCGGGCATTGGCAGCTGGCGTGCGTAGAGTGCTTGACGTGCCGAATCAGGGGCATTGACCAGTCGCAGAGGCGGTCGGCATCGTTGCAACAGTGAGCAAGCCACTGCCACAACTACCCCGCAAGCCTTGCCCCATGTGCAGGTGTTGACCATGCAGCCCATGAGAGAACGATAGGACCAAACAATCGTTGCTCTAGCTGTCGCAAGCAAGGGACACGTCCGGCTGCCGTATGTTGCGCTATACGCGGTGGTTCCGGCCCTGGTATCGAGCCCATCCGACGTGCAATCAGAGAGGTCACTTTCAGCTGCAAGACATTCTGGGAAGGTGATGGCGCTCTGAAAGAAGATGCACCGCATGCCTGGCGGTCCTGGCTTAGCAACACGGTCCTCATCTAGCCGCCGGTAGTCTGCCGGTGAGCCAGCCATCGCTGATAGTGAAGCCATGACTTGGGGGATCAAAGAGATACTGGACAGCCACGGCAAAGGCCCTTGCCCTTTGAGTGACACTGGAATGTCAACCCGGCGCTCAAACGGCACGATGCCGAGCTCTGTCTCGTCATCGGAGGCTTCGCGCGGCCGGAGAGACAGACTATGATTTTGCCCTCCCGTTGATGTTATTCGCAGAGACCACGCTTTGGGCATCGGCTACTGCGAAGGCGCAAAGCATGGCCCTTTCCTGCCGATACACCAGGCGGCCGCGCGGCAGCTATTTTTGGTGTGGGGGCACGGCACGCCATAGTGGTGCACAGCATGGTCATAGCGATGAACGGTACGGCTATGAGGTACGAGACTGCGAGGCTAGACCCCGAGGCAAGCCCGCTGTGCGATTGAGTGCCACGGTCAGCTCGACTTCGGGACGCTAGTCGCGATGCGTATCCTCGTCTGGCCAGAATCTGCTGGGCTGCAGTATCCTTAGGGGTGTTTCTCCTATGCTACTAGACTGCTCGAGCACAACGAGAGCTTGCATCACACCACAGTCGCCAACACAGAGCAGCGTCAAATCCTGTCCCTGGACCACTTGCGGCATTTCTGGAGCACGCGAACCCCCTTGACGCCCCACCGCCCCGGCCATGCTCAAAGACAGAAGAAAGACCTCGATATTCTCTGTCATGCCAAGTCACGATGTGTGTCAGGGTGATAGCAGAAGGAGAGATGGCCGCATTCACATTGTAGCCTCTGCGAGCAGCCTCAAGGTGGGTGCGCCCATGTCTCATCTCAAGAGGAACCCGGGTGTAGCAGCGTGTTTCCATGTCTCACAGAAGAGGCGCATAGGATCCGCCTTCCAAACCTGAAGATTGCCTTGCACCCACCAAGACTACTTGTCTCGCCTAGAGATTGCGATGATCACATGCAGCCACGCCCGCACACCGTCGTCTGGCCTCTCTGTCTCCTCATAGCCACCGCCCTCGCCGCCTGCCTCAATTGGTAGCTCAACCTCTTGCTTGCGGCTTTGCTTGTTCTGTGCACGTCGCAGTGCAGGTCTCATCGGTAACTCGCTTACCTCATCTTCTCTGACGCCTCGCCCCTGCGTCGGCCTTCAAGCAGCGACCCCCTGACAGAACGCCTTGTCTGCGTCTGCCTAGCGAAAGAGAGCAGTGCTCTTTCCGCCCTGTCTGGGCGTTGGCCCGCATAGATTCGCGTTTCGCCCTGGGCCTGCTGCAGAGGCAGTTTCAGAGCCCCTTACGGACAGGACGGGTGGTTCAGACCGTCCTCTGTCTGCCCTGCAGAATCGCACTGCAGTACAGGCCTCTCATCTCACGTCTCTTCGCAGCGCCCAGTCACGGCGCAGACCCCGGCGTTTTCTGTAGTAGGGATAGGTGCCTTTCTTGCCTGCGCTAGCGCCCGGCCGGCCGCGGAGCAGGCAAGCCGGTGCGCCTACGCCCAGTCGTCTCAGAGTGTGGGAAGAATTTTCTGCGAAGAGCAGAGCAAGGGGCAGCTCCGAGCGCCCGCACCAGAGTCAGTCCACATCGTCGCTCAAGGTCTGCGATGCTGCGCCCTGCCCTGACTTAGAACAGTCACAACTCCAGAGGGTAAATTGGCGAACAAAGGCGATGTAGAAGTTGCTGCAGGTCGCAGTCGCCGTCGTGGGTTTCAGACTGGCTGAATTCTAAGGTATCGCTTCGCCCGGCGATGCGAAGTGGGGGTGCAGGGTACCCCCCTTCCGTGGGACATAGGCACTAGAGGGCACAAGGGCGGCTCTCGCGGGGAAAGGTGGCGGTTGAGCTTATTCCCACTTTTGGACTCTCACGAGTGGGGATTTGTTAGGCTCCGGGCCTTGGGGCTTGTTTGCTTGCTTGCAGGCGGCGGGCGGCCCAGGCAAGTGGGCGGGCGTGCAGGCGCGCGTGCGTGAGTGCGTGCGTGCGTGCGTGCGCCCCTAACAAAGGTGATCGGTCTTCTAGCAAATGGGCGCAGTGGGGGCCCTCGAGGGAAGGCGGTGCTCCAAACCTGGTGGCTTGTCGCAGCAGAGTCCAGGCGAGGGCGGAGAATCGAGTGAGCCATGGGCCCGAAAGAATAGGCAACCGAGGTCCAGGTAGCGAGGCGATAGAAGGACAGAGGAAAGCGGGGGGTCCTCTGCCTCAGGTCTGACCCTTTGGGACCTGAGGCCGAGGAGCTGGGGACAGAGCTTCAATCTGACAGATCAGAGCGCCTCATGTCAAGCAACCCACCTGTGTCAGAATGCGGGATTCGATCGCACAGGAGTTGCTCCTGCCGCCGACGCCCACGCACTCTCCCCTATCCCCTCTTCGACGGCGCATCCTCAGGGGGATGAGGGGCCGGCCAGGTCAGTCGAAGGGGGCGCACCATATATAACATCGCAACAGCTCGGAGTCCGCCGCCAGCTCCTGCTCCTCCTGTAGCTTCAACTCCCTCCATCGTCCTCCTTCTGGTGAGCGCTTCGGTCTCACTCCTCACCTCCTCTTCCTTCACCACCCTCCTTCTGTTCACTCTCATTCTCAAGATGCGGTCGACTTCCTTCCTTACCGCCGCCACCCTCCTGGCCGTCTTCAATGCCCTGCTCGCTCTTTCTGCCCCTTCTTTCAGTGGTGACTCTGCATACGAGCTCAGGCTAGCTGCTCGCAGGCAGCAGGACATTGATTTGGCCCGACGAGGGACCACCCACGACGCCAAGGCCTTTGCCTCGAAGAGCTACGACTACATCGTTGTAGGAGGCGGTACCGCCGGTCTAGCTGTCGCTGCCAGGCTCAGTGAGAGCGGAAAGTACACCGTCGGTGTCCTCGAGGCTGGTCTCGACGGCTACGGTGACCCGCTCAATGACATTCCAGGTGAGCATCTAGAGGTCCAGCAGAACTCTGTTGAACTCGGGCAGTTTGATTGTTCGAATACTGACTGACATGTCCTCTCGCGCGCGCTGTCCTCTGCCACTCCTGATTGTCAGGTGAATTCGGAGCCAACCTCGGTACCAAGTACGACTACAACTACACTACCGAGGCCAATAGCGAGACCGGCGTTGGCGCTCTCGGCTGGCCCCGTGGACGAGTCGTCGGAGGAAGCTCTGCTCTGAACTTCCTCGTGTGGGATGCTGCCTCTACGCACGAGTACGATGCTTGGGAGGAGCTGGGCAACCCCGGATGGAACTGGGAGACCATGGACAAGTACATGCGCAAAGCAGAGAACTTCACTGCTCCTACAGCCCGAGTCGAAAAACTTCTCGACACTGAAGTCGTAGAGTCCAACTACGGAAGCAACGGTCCCACCCAAGTGTCCTTCACCCGATATGTCAGCAAGCAGGTGCAAAACTGGATCCCTGCCCTCAAGACTCTGGGTATCGCTGGCAACGATGAGCCCCTCGCTGGTAAGAACGTGGGCGCCAGTGTTCAGCCTGCCAACATCAACGCTCGCAACTTCACAAGGTCCTACTCCGCTCCAGCCTACTACTACCCCAACCAAGGCCGAAAGAACCTCGCTCTGCTGCCCAATGCCGTCGTTCAGCACTTGAACTGGGCTACTAGCGGCAAGAGCAAGAGTGACCAGAAGACTGCTACTGGTGTCACCTTTGAGAACGGCGGAAAGTATTACAATGTCACTGCCAAGAAGGAGGTGATCATTTCCGGTGGTGCTGTCAACTCGCCTCAGATTCTCGAGCTGTCTGGTGTGGGCAAGAAGTCCGTACTCAAGGCTGCTGGTATCACTCCCGTCATCGAGAATGACAATGTCGGAGAGAATCTGCAGGACCACACCTATTCTTACGTCACCTTGAAGGTTGAGAGTGGCACCACCACCCTTGACTCGCTGAAGTGGAACACTACCTTTGCCTCTCAGCAGGCGGCTCTGTACGCTGCTGGCAAGGTCTCTATCCTCGACGAGACTGTGCCCTCGATTGCCTACATCAGCGCCAAGACTCTTCTGGGCAACAAGACGGACGCTGCCATCAAGAAGGCTGTTTCGTACGTCAAGACTGTCGATGCTCCTTACAAGGCCACTCTGCAGAAGCAGATTGACTTCCTGCAAAAGTACCCCGACACAATCTCCCAGATGGAGCTCATCGGAGTAGACGGCTACTTTGCTGGTGTCGCTTCTGGTTTCGAGGCTGGCAACAACTACATTACCTTCCTTTCTGCCTCTCAGCATCTCCTCGCTCGAGGATCGGTCCACATCAACTCGAAGAACCCCTCTGTGCAACCCACAATTCAGCCCAACTACTACAACAATGAATTCGACTCTACCGTTGCCATCGAGGCTATTCGCATGCTACGAAAGATTGGTAACACCAAGGAGTACGATTACGCCAATGGAGGCGAAATCGTCCCTGGTTCCGACGTGCAGACGGATGCAGAGATCCTGGCCTTCCTCAAGGGTACGGGAGGAACGACTACCGAGTACCATCCTTGTGCCTCGGTATCCATGCTGCCACAGAACAAGGGAGGTGTGGTGAGCCCGAAGCTGGTGGTGTACGGCACTAAGAATGTGCGCGTCATCGATGCATCCATCATTCCTTTGCACGTCTCTGCACACATTCAGAGGACGACTTTGGGTGTGGCAGAGTATGGATCTAAGCTTGTTCTGGACGATGCTTAGAGTGAAGGGATTCAATCGAAGGCCTTGCGGCCATTGTCACTCAAAACGGACTCTTTCTTTTCTCGCTTTTGACTCCTCTCAATATAAACACCTTTTCTCAGCGTTTCCCTCTTCTTGTGCACCTGAGTGAATGGGAGACCACCCCTTTGCGGTTGTGTAGCCACTCGACGCGCCCCTCATGAGACCCCTTACTGATCGCCCTTCTTTGTCATTCGAGTGCCGCTCAAAGCGCCGCCTTGTTTCGAAGAAGCTTCAGGGGCGCACGATTGTGTTTGAGATTGCAGAGGTTGATGCATCACTGGTGTTGCTTCACGGGGGCGGAACTTACCAACCTCGTCAGTCGCAAGGCGGATGAGCAGGGTCAAGCCAAGCCCGCGACTTTGGGTCGTTGGAAGTCCGATGCAGGCGATTTACGCAGCAGTAGATGGCGGACGCAAGGAGGCGGGCGGCCAGGGTCAGGCGAGTGGAAAAAGGAACCCTCGGGCACTCAGAGGCAGCAAGCATTTCAGGACTTGCATCCATCGGGGTCCAGGGCCGAAGAGGAAAAAAAGAAGGGAAACAGAGGAGAGGGCCGGGCTCGAAGGGTTGCAGCCTTGGCTTCCCCACAGTGCAACAGTCAGCGCCGGCGGCAGGAGACGAGCGGAGGCCAGCCACTCCCTGCTCTCCTTTCCTCCGGCGAACATTCAACGTCTGCTCCCACGCTCCACGCTCACCTCGCCCCCAGCGCACTCCACTGCTCATTCACACCCCCCTGGCACCAGCATCAGCAGCAGCAACAACATCGGCAAGGACCTCTTATTCCTCCTCGTTCATCTCTCTTTTCCCTCTTCACCGCCCTTCACCACGGCCCATCCTGGCGTCTCTCCCCTCTACACCTCCCTCGCACCCATCTGTTGCCTCGCATCTAGAAGCCCAAGAGACAAGACCACACTCACAAGAGGAGCAGCAGCAGCAGCAGGACTCACAGGACTCACAGCAGGCCAGTCCCGGTGGTGTGGATCATCAGCCCACCCTGGTCGAGGCGACGAGATCCGCCAGTCCACCAGAGAGCCATCGAAGTGGCCAAGATAGCAATCGCAATCGCACTCTAGCATCGCAGCCTCCTCTCACCGCCGACGCCACATCCCCACCATCAGCCCAGCTCAGACGGCGACCTGGCAGACAGACCCAAGGGGGAGATGAGCAGTCGTCCTCTGCAACTTCCACCGCCACTTCTTCTCGCAATCTAGATTCGACAACGCTCACGACAAGCATACACGAGTCGCCTACAGACGATCACGGCTGGGAAACGACGTCGTCTTCTTCCTCTTCCTCTTCCATCTCTTCTTCTTCTTCCTCCTCCTATTCTTCAGTTTCCTCTCCCTCTTCCGCTCTTATACCACCAACATCCAAGATGGTCGCTCGCAATACCTCCTCTTATCTCCCACTGGCGGGATCCTCCTCTTCCTCCCCTTCTTCCTCACGCTCTGCATCAGGAAGGATGTGTGGACCCTCGAGCAGCGCCCTCTCTTCACTCGCACGCAAGCTAAAGAGGATTCTCCTCGTCCTAGTAGCATTCGTCATACTGCTGCAGCTACTAGTCTTGCTACCTTACTTTGCGGGAGAGGAGAGAATGAAGGGATGGGGTCTTGAAAGTGAGTCGCGTGAGAGGGAGACTGCAGAACGTTGCACATGGTTCGATGGCTGATAACCCATTACTCTCCACTCTGATTCAGGCGTACCTCATCCTGCACCGCCGCAATGGATGCAGCCCGGCAGTTGGGCGACAGGGCCACCTGGACCGCCCGGTCATGGTCCTCCTGGTCATGGTCCACCCGGAAGGCCGGACGATCATCCTCCGTGGGACGACGGAGAAGATCACTTCACAGGTGGAGCTACTCCCATCGATGCTTCCATAGCATTCCCTCCACCATACCATAAAACATTTCAAACCTTTGACTATGCCCACAACTCCGATGCCAACCCTCACTTGGGTCAGATTCCCGCTCTGCATCTCAACGTACTCAACTCGGTACCAGTACTTGTCGCGCCGCCTTTTCCGCCAAAAGCTCCCGAGATCAACTCGTCCGTTTACAATCTGAGACCTTGGGACAAGGAGCTGAAGGGGTCGAACACGACATGGCAGGACTCTTTCAAGGCCCATCTTCAGCCCATGGAGGAAGACCCTCGCTCGGCGCCCTTCAGCGGCTGGAAACCCCCTCTTGCTATGCTCGATACATCAAAGCCCCCTGCCGAAAAGCTGGGCAAGGTCCAGTTTGCCTTCACAGACCCTACACGGCGGTCTGGCAAACAGGGCGATGAAGCGCGAGAGAAGCTCCTTGCAGAACGTCAACGGTTGGTACGCAATGCCTTTCTGCATGCTTGGTCTGGCTACAAGCGTCTAGCTTGGGGCCATGATGAACTGCGTCCCGTCAGCGAGAAGGCGCAGGACAATTTCAATGGATGGGGGGCCACCATTGTAGATGCTCTTGACACGCTTCTGGTCATGGACCTTCCCGGCGAGTACGACCTCGCGCGTAGTCACGTCAGGGACATTGACTTTGCCTTGATTGGTGGTGAGCGCTCGGCGTACGGCTCTTCTGACGGTCGCCTGCCCGTCTTTGAGACGGCAATTCGTTATCTCGGCGGTATGCTCGCGGCCTACGACCTCAGTGGAGATGAGCTGATGAAAGATAGGGCAGAGGAGCTAGCGCAGCGACTCGAAGCCGCATTCGACACCAGGAGCGGGGTGCCCGTGGGCAGAATCAGATTAGCAGAGGACATCAACCAGCCGAGACCCGGCAGGGGCAGCTTTGGATCGACTCACAGCTTCTCCTCGGTTGTGCTTTCGGAAGCGGGATCTATGCTGCTCGAGTATACACGTCTTTGGCAAGCGACGGGGAATCGAGCTTATTATGACCGCGTACAGAGGGTGACGGATTGGTTCGACAGGAACATGACTGAAGGAGCAGGACAGGGTGGATTGCTGTACAACATCATCTTCCCAGAGCAGCACACCGGCTCAGGGTCTCTGTCCTTTGGCGGAATGTCTGACTCGTACTACGAGTACCTCATCAAGGAGCACCAGCTACTTGGCGGGCGTGTGCCGCAATACGGACGCATGTACTCGGCAGCCATGGAGACTGCTCGAGGTTTCATCATCAGAGACGTCCACTCCGTCCCCAATACCTCTCTCCTCGTTCCAGGGTCATTCGAGCACAAGACTTGGCACGCCAAGTTGGAACATCTGGCTTGCTTCACGGGAGCTATGGCTGGTCTAGGAGCCAAATTAATGCCCAAGGAGAGGGGCAAAGACTATGCTGTTGCCCAGAGAATCTCCGAGACGTGTTGGTGGGCGTACAACTCTACCAATACCGGTATCGGACCAGAGTACACCATCTTTTACGAAGAGTACAAGCCGCATCGCGGTAAGAATGGAAAGAATGTTGGAAAGTATGGCCAAAATGCTAAACCCTCTGGCTGGCCGATCGAGGGTATCCGTGGTCAGCTTCCGGACTATAGAGGCCGACCTGAGACGATTGAGAGCGTCTTCTACATGTGGCGCATTACAGGTGATCCAGTCTGGCAGGAGAGGGGTTGGCAGATGTTCTCAAGCTGGGTCACACACTCGATGACCAATGTGGGATTCGCCAATATACAGGACGTGAATAAAGTGCCGGCACCACTGACGGATAGCATGGAGAGCTTCGTATTTGCTGAGACCTTCAAGGTGAGTCGTGAGATCATCAGCCCCAAGCATGATCCCGATTGTACGCTGACACCTTGAGTCTTTCCCTCCCGCCAGTATTACTATCTGCTCTTCTCGCCACCGGACCTCATTTCGCTGGATGACTATGTCCTGACCACTGAAGCACACCCCCTGCTTGTGCCTCAAAACGGCAAGTGGGCGCAGCCAGGTAAAGGACCTCGCTCCTTCTGGTCTGGGCCCGCGAGCTCCGCGAACGCAAAGATCACAACAGGCACAAGCAGTACCTACACGGGTGGAGAAGCCTCCAATACTGCGCCAGGTCTTCTGACAAACGCACAGAAGCACAGCGTGTACAAGGCGTGGGCGGAGCGTGTGGCCGAGAAGGAGAAGAAAGAAGCGGCAGCACAGGCCAGGATGGCACTGAATACGGCGGTGCAGATGGCTAAAGAGAGGGGAGAAGATGCCGTCTCTGCACTCGTTGCGAGGATGAAGGGCTGGGTGGGAAGCAGTGAGGAAGAGACTACGGAACTGCAGAAGCGGAGCTCCACTCTGGAGGGGAGCGAAGAAAGGGCTACTTCCTCGGCGGTTGTTGACGGGGCTTCAGTCTATGCGGAAGCAAGCTCAGCCCCTACAGACGAGGCGCTGATGAGTAGGGTTAAGAGCGAGCTCAATGCGCTCATCAATCTAGCCTTGAGCAACATGGAAGAGGACGCTACCTTGGAGGATAGTGGCTCCCCGCAAGCCTCTCCAGTGGCACATCCCTCCTCTTCGGCAGTTCCAGGAGAGTACATCACATCAGACTCTGCCGCTCAAGATCCAGCAGCAGATGAGAGCCTGCTCTCTAGCAGCAGCAGCACCACCACCTCTCCAGCCCTCCTAGAGGGGTACGTCTCCATTCTCGTCGAGACGGACGTTGAGGTTCCCGTCGAAGTCCGTTTCCTCCCGCAAGCCTTTGCACACATGGAGATGACCGATGAGGATTTGGCAAGATGGCTTGCGAGGGAGAATACGGCGCCTGCGAGGACGATTAGCTCGTGGGAGCTGCTAGAGGGAGGAGCAAGGCAGGTCCACTTTAGTGCTGGGGGTACGACTGGAGAGCAGAAGGAGCAACATGCAGAACAAGAGGTGCATTCTGCACCCACTGCTGTGGAGGGCGAGATGGCCGAAGCTACACACGAAGCACAAGCACAAGGAGAGGAGAAGGGAGAAGAGGGCCTTCTCTCCCTCGAGGACGTCTCGGCAATGGGCGTCGATGTGCTCCGCGCCGCTCTCAAGTCCATGGAACGCCACTTTGCCATCTCCTCTTCCCTCTCTTCCTCTCCATCTTCGGTTGCCGCTGCACCTACCACTACTGTTGAACCGAAGCAGAGCGAAAGTGAAGGTGCAAGCGCAAGTGATCTGACAAGCAGCACGAGCACAAGCACGGGCACACAAGACTTCTCCTCTCTTTCTTCTTCTTCTTCTCCACAAGCACCGCCCCCTCCAGCGCCGCCTGCACCAGCCCCCGCACCTCAGCAAGCCGATCGTGAGCTCGGTGCGGATTCTTCACGCGGGGGCGCTCCGCGGCAGGCCATGGGCTTTGGTGGACGGATGATGTATCGCGCTCAGGCTGGACAGAGGCAGAGGGAGGAGCAGGAGGAGGCACTTCGGCGACGGGAGCGGGAGGAGAGGGAGAGGAGAAGTGCCAGTGGGAGTGCAAGTGGAAGTGCAAGTGCAAGTGGCAGTGGAAGTGGAGAGATTTTACGGAGAGGGAGAGTGGAGGAGGGTGGAGAATAGGCGAGCAAAGGAAGGAGTGCGAGTGCTCGATCTCCAGATTCCTGCTAGACAGACAGACGGACGGACGGACAAGCGGACAGACATTTTTGGGCGGTCTTGGAGTCACCCCGGGCTTTCTTCTTCTCTCTTCAATGGACGTGATCTGAAATCAAATGACGTGACGTAATGTGACAAGAATCGATATGGCTTGCAATCTGCAGTGTGCGGCTGGATGATCAGACGACTTCGAATGAATGAATCAGATATCGGTAAGGTATCAGGATCGGGTCAAGATCAGGTGCAGGTGCAGGTCAGGTCAAATCGTCAGACGGTCATGGGTTACCGTGAATTCGTGGTGGGAAAATATGAGGACAATGTACAAGGCTGAGGAGAAGAATGTGGACGAGTCAGTGGGAAACGGGAACGGGAATGGGAACGGGAATTGGGAATGGGCATGGGAATAGGAACCTGAGGGGGAAAAGAAAATACAAAGGACGAGTATGAAGGTGAGGACGAAGACGAAGGGATGGGGAAAGAAACAGCAGCAGCAGTAAAGTATGGATCGAGCAAGTCTAGAGAAATGTCCATGTCTATCCCTCCCTCACCCCCTCCCTCCTCTGGCTCATCAAGTAAGCCTCCCTCACCCCGGCACTCGCTTAGGATCTCCCCGCTCGATTCCTCCTGGCATGATCCGGATTAGCGACAAACAGCTGTGGTTTGGGTACAAGTCCATGGCTCACTTTTCCCATCAGCGGTGTTCCCGTAACACTCACTCCAGGATTGGGTGTAGCACTGTAGACCTCTTGCTGCTCGTAACCCATCTCTGTGAGAGAGGGCGAGGCAGGGAGGGAACCTCCAGTGGACCCGGACCCAGATCCGGCAGTAGCGGCTGCTAGGAGCTCGGATTTCCTCCGCTCAATTGCCTCGACACGGTCCTTGACGCTGCCCACCAAGGGCGGTGCTTGTGGATTCTTCGGCAGAGGGTTGGAAGGATTGGTCAGACGGGGGTTGGCACGCGCCCGCTTCGTCGTCAGTGGCGTGATCGAGGGCACTTCGGATGCTGAGCGTGGCAGGAGGGAGCGACGGGAGGGCTCTTTGCGCGAGGCGTACCGGTCGTCGAAGGGCGAGGGGGAAGAGAAGTCTCCTGCGAGATCCCGTGATTCGTCTGCGCCGAGGCCGTCGCTCTCGCTGATCGCGGAGAGGGAGAGGTCTGCGAGTACCTCGCCACCCGCAGCTGTATCGTCTGCGTCTGCGCCGACGCTGGCGTGGGAGACGTCACCGATCTCGTACCTTGGTGCGTGAGCTTGACTAGCATAGGAAGAATCCCTACGCCTGGCATCGTCACCCATCACATCGACAGGCTGCGGGAGGCCAACACTGCTCGTACCCCGCGATGTGGCCGATGAGTTGTTCGTGCGTCGAGTCTTCTTCGTCGAGACGGTCATGTCCGAGCCGCTGCCCGTGCGTGTTCGTTGAGCAACGTCCATATCCCTCAATTGCGCTTCGAGCTGGGAAGATGTTCCGCTCTGCAGACTCGACTGGGAACGACCGTGCCCATCTGCGAGCATCATCTCGCCCACACGGCCAGCCTTGCGCTTGTGCCCGTTGTTGTCGATGGCTCTTACGGTGGGCTGCACGGTGTGAGGGCCATCAAAGGTACTGCGATCTTCGCTAGGATCCACACTGCGAGGCGACTCCTTGATGGCCGTCAGCGTACTGAGTGAAGGCGGTAGAGCAGGATCTCTGATGGGGTCTCTAGCGCTTGGAAGCACAGCGAGACGTCCAGATGAGGTCCTATCTAGGATGGAACTACCGCTCATGACCCGATCCCACCACGAGCTGGAGCGCTTCATCGATGAAGACCCTTCGAGGGTGTGCTGCGAGTGCTGACCGATGGAATTACGGCGATTGCTGCTCTTCTCGGGGAGAGACGTAAAGCCATCGATGATCGAGTCTCGGATAGAGCTAGGGCGAGTACCTCTGTTTGATTTTCTGACTGTAGACTGGTAAGAGAGCTCCGAGCCAACAGCTTCGTTGCGGGCGTAGGTGCCGTACTTCTCGTCGTATGGCTCATTCGCAACGTAATCCTCTTCTTCAGTCGGTAGACGTTGATGAGCATGTTGCCTGTGGGAACCGCTTACAGTCCTCACTGCCGCCATGAATCCTGCAGCTGCACCGCTGACAGAGCGCACACCAGTAGATTGACCGTGGTAGGCTCCTTGCTCAGAATCGTATGGAAGACCTTCCGGGCTGTAGGCATTGTCGTAATCATCATACCCATCATGCACGTCGTCCTTCTGATAGTCGTAACCGCCAGTGTAGCCCCCGACGTCACCTGCAACGTCTTCGCTGTTTCCATAGTGGTGCATCGAGGATCGGTTATCGTGTGCTCCATATGCTGCCTCTGCGTCTTCATCTGCCAGCATGTCGAAGCGCTGTTGGTGTCCATGCTGTGACCAGCCATTGAGACCTGTCAGCATGGCCAGCTTCTCACGAACACCCGGTCCTGAGCCTTCCGTAGCGTGCGAATGGTGCGACGCATAGACACCTCCGCTGACGCTCACTGGAGCGGCGTCTCTGCCAATATTGCCGTACACGTGCAGAGGTGCAAGTCCTTCTGGCTTCTTGGACCTGACCGAGCCGAAGACGGAGGGGAAGAGAGCTGTAGGTGGTGACCAGCTGCCATCATTGTGGCCTTGTGAGGACGGAGGGGCGGGGTAGTGGTCCTTCTCATCACCCGCGTAGCCACCCTCCTCATAGCCCATCGCAGCAGCACCACCGAGCAATCCAGCTCCTCCACCTGCACCACTCGCTCCGTAGCCATCTTCTCCACCAGGCTTGCCGTATTGCCACATGGCAAGCCTCTTCTTCTGCTTCCGACGATTGTAGAGAACATAGCCGGCTGCGACCACCAGCCCCACACCCAGGAGAACTCCGATAGCAGCTCCTGCCTTGGCTCCGGCACTGCTTCCCTTGCTACCATCGTCAGAAGTTAAATCTTGACTCTTGGAGTTGTCATCAGGAGCAGCAGGTGTCGGTGTCTTGGTAGAGCTGATGGCGCCTGCAGTCGAAGTTTTTGCAGAACTGGACGTTTTGTGCCCAGCCTTTGCCGAGGAGGAGGATGGACTCGAAGAGGTTGAAGAGCTTGCAGACGAGCTGCTGGACGTAGTGCTCGCAGAACCACTGCTCCTGTCACTGCCTTTCTTTGGGGTCCCACCAGAAGATGTCGAAGATCCATTACCTCCGACATTATTTGCGGTTGAGCCGCTGCTGGTCGTACTGTCACCGCTTGTGACTGTTTGTCCCGTAGTTGTGTCAGTCGTTGCGACTACCGTGGCATCCGGGGTGTACCAGCTGATCCAGGATCCTCCAGACCACGTGCCATCGCTGCCTGCTACCATAGTGCTAGCATCAAAGGCGTACACTGCAACATCAGCAGGCGCTGTACCTGCCCAACCTAGCGTCATGAGGACTTTGCTGCCATAGGCCACTGCCGAGTGACCGAAGCGAGCTGTAGGTGCAATGTTCGAGAAGGGGATCTGAGTCCAACGAGGTGTGCTCACGCTCCAATCGAGGATCCATGCGTCATCGAGCGGCGTCGTCAGATCAGCGGTGGACGAACCTCCGTGAAGGAAGATTCTTTGGTTGGGGAGTGATACGGCAACGTGACCTCGGCGCGGGACGGGGACGGCGGATGAGGAGCCGTTGACGCCGCGAGTCCGTAGGGAAGACCAGCTGTTTGATGTGGTATCATATGTGACAACTGAGTCGAACGCCTGCAGAGCACCGGTGGAGTCCTCGCCTCCGAGGAAGAGGATTGTATCATCGCTCAGCAGCGTTGCAGTTGCTCCCACAAGGCTTCCTGTAGGAGCGGCAAGGGAGTTGAAAAGGGGAGAGCTGGACGAGTGGTTGAAAGTCCAAGCCTCATCCAAGGCTGCGCTGGAGCTGTCTTCCCTTTGTCCACCCATGATCCATACTCCACCACGACCATCGCTCTCCATACTCTGGTATATCCGCCGTGTTGGCTGGGACCATGCAGCAGGTGCCAGCTCCCAGGTAGCAGAATAGGTAGCATCATCCGCTTCGATGAGCTGGAAGGTATATGTCGAGTCAGTGCCAGTCTGAACGGCAGCAGCAGAGGCACTGCCGCCAAAGAGGAGCACTTGTCGGTGTGTTAGAGGAGCGAGCGAACCAAATGCAACTGTCGGTGCAGTGGTACGAGACCCCTCTGCATTGACTAGTGCGGACGTATCACCTAATGCAACGGTCTGCCACGGAGCAGGGCTACCAATGCCGACAGAGAAGGACGAGTTTAGATCGAGCAGCAGAAGATCTGCTGACAAAGTGCCTGAAGTGTACGAAGAGGCAGTCCCAGAAGTGTCCGCTGTCTGTCCTCCGTAGACGACGAAGAGGGACGAGAGCAGTGCAGATGCTTGGCCCCATCTGTGTGATAGAGAGAGGGGCGCACATGAGAAGAAGCGTGACTGACATTCTGCATGCTGCAACTCACCTTGCTACTGCTGTCGTGGTCTGAGCCTGCGCTGTCTGGCAAGCGGCGATGGCGAAGCCGCCCACAAGCAATGCTGTACCCCAGGTGCCCAGCCTGGCCCTCCCTCGTTTCCGCCGCCCATCGCGATGTTGCGATGGAGATAATGCTAGTAGCATCTTTTACTGTTGGTGAAGCAAGAGCGAGGATCTGAAGAAAGTTGTGCCAATGGGTTATGGGATGCTATAGGAATAAGGAAAGCCTCGGCAAAGGCTTCAGCTCGGATGTCGGCAGCGAAGGACTGTTGTGTCGCGTCGGTCTTGCTAACGGGATGGTAGTTTCAAGGGTCAAAGGGTATCCAGATTGTTCGGTCCGTGATCGATATGGGAGGTGGGCGCGGCAGTAGATGTGTTGAGAAGGGGAGGCCTGAGAGGGGGATAGGGGCTAATTGCTGGAGGGGTAGCAGTGGGTATTTTTGATGTGACTCGCGAGTCTATGGCGGTGTCCGTGGTACTTGAGGCCGTGGGTATCGTATGCTACGGTGGTGGTGGTATCAATGATGGAGGACTCGGTGTGGAAAAGATGGCCAGGCTGACGATGCTGTCACTGCGTCTGCCAAGTGTTGGAGTGTTGGTCCATTGACCTTCTAACCATCGGAATCGGAAAGGAAGCAAGTCGCCGCCAATCGCATGACACGCGCCGCCCAACTCCGCCTCTGCTCCACTTGCCCGATTTCCACAGCCACGCAGACAGAGACAGTCAAATTCTCCGACTTGGCTCACTTGATAGTGGCGGCTAGTAGCGGCCAAATGGTTGTACCAAAGGCAGAGTCATACCAGGTCGCGATTCAAGTCCAGGCAAGGATGCTCTCCTGACTGCTACGGATCACGGTGACAGCCAAGACAGAAGCAAGTGTGATCATTCTCAATGTGCATCACCACCGGCATCTGAAGCCAATTGATTGGCGAGGACCAAGCGTCCGCACGGGCGTCGATCCTCGCCCCTTGGAGAATATACGTCAGAGGCGTCCCGCTTGGCCGCCATCGTCCGTCCGTCGTCCGTCGTCCGTCGTCCGTACGATTTTGCCGACTGCTAGGGGCTTCTTGACCAGTCTCCGTCCCCTCTCTCCCCCCTCCTTTCCACACTCTCCCCTCTCTTCGATCAGGTCATTCCTCACCTCTTCCACTGCAGACATCCATCGCACATCCACGTACCTCTCGTACACCCCACAACACATACACACACGCACCTCCTGTCTCCTTCGGGCTTGTAACGTCTGCACTTACCAAAACATCACACCTGTCAATTAACAGCACAGCCTGCTGTAGGGCTCTCGGCTCAGCACTTTTCAGGATTGTTGCATCAGTGGTGAGTACTAGCGGCACGGGGTGGTGTGCCGATCTTCTTCCTCGGCTTCGTCCCAGCCGGGTCAGCGGGCTATAGCCCCTGAGACGGGTTGTGCGTCACCGATGCTGGAGGAAATACCGCACACCTTCTTACGGCTGTTGATACGCCGTAGGGGTCTGGCCGAGTCAGTCAGTGTCGGCCACAATCGATTCCGGCAGTCCTCAAAAGCAACGTCAGGAACAAAGGTCAATCTAGTCTCGGACTCCCATCACCCATTACGCCCTGATTCCAAATTGACCACGATTGCCATCGGAGCAATTCCGATCGTCGCGACGCATAATCAAGTGCCGAGCAGCACACCCTTCATCCGCAACTGATCCCACTCCGCTTCTCTTCCTTTCGCTTCCATACGACATCACCATGTCAGCTTCGCAGCTCTTTCCTTCGCCCACTCAGTACGACGAGACCCTCAAGCCTAGAACGACCTTGCAACAGCACACTACTGAGCTGCGTAACGTCTTTGACCTTTCCAACTCCTCGTACAGACCTCCTTTGCAAGCAACTTGCAGGACCAATCGACAGCCAACCAAGACCACAAGACCACCCCCAGCCCCTCTAGCACCCCACACCTCTACCCCAGCTCGTACCCAAAGAGCCGGTGGGCAAGAAAATCGAGCGACTACCTATACCCAGAAGCAGCGTCGGCTAATCGAGTCTGCAATGGACCGATTTGACGTCATCAACTTTGACGACCTCACTGGGCCTGCAGGAGGAAAGTGGATCAAGATCGGCGGAGGGTCCTTCGGTGTCGTCTTCAAGGGTGAATATCTTGGCACACCCGTCGCTATCAAGGAAGTGCTGCCCAACAACACATACGATGTTGAAAAGTATTTCGAGAGAGAATGTGTGCTCATGAAGGAGGCGAGACATCCCAACATTGTACAGTACATCGGTCTGACCAAGAGTCCTGGCCAGGATGGGAGGATCTACATCATCTCTGAGTTCGTTGGCGGTAATATGCGCAACTACATTGCAGATGTGAGTATCAGGGGGAGAATGCTCTCATAGTTGAGGAGCTCATGCTGAAATTTCCTCCTGCCCCGCTCTTGCGCAACAGAAGTCCAAGCCCTTTCCATGGCGGATGCGCATCTCCTTTGCCACCGACGTTGCCCGAGCCGTTGCTTATCTTCACGTACGCAAATGCCTCCATCGAGATCTGAAGGGTGAGAACTTGCTCATCACAGCCAACGATCGCGTCAAGATCTGCGACTTCGGCTTCGCTCGTATCGCTGCTCGCAACGAGGATGAAATGAGAAGGATGTCTTACTGCGGAACAGACGGTTACATGTCACCCGAGATCCTGCTAGGCTTGGACTTCTCACTACCTTCCGACGTCTTCTCCCTTGGGGTCATCTTTTGTGAGATAGCAGCTCGTCACCTCGTCGATGCCACCGTCTTTGCACGACAAATGCCCGACTTCGGTCTAGAGGAGAGCGAGATTCGAGACATGGCTTCACCTGGCTGTCCTGGTGACTTCATTCAGCTCTGCATTGACTGTGTCAACACCGATCCCCTCAAGAGGCCTGACATGAGGGAAGTAGTGAGCCGTCTCCGAGACATCGAGCTTGAAGTAACCGCTCAAGAAGAGACAGCAAGCAAAGGCACCGTCAAGGCAGTCGGTAGTGTCCGAGGTAGCTCCTTGCACGTCATTATGGGCGGCTCCAAGTTCAGCAAGAGGAACCAAGCTAGGGCAATGCCATCCTTCAACTGTTCGGATGACACTGCCGCCAACGGCTCTACGGCTACCCTTACCTGCTCTCAGCATCGCGGACACGGCGGCGGTAGCTCATCCGAGGAAGAGGATCTTGAGATTGCCCTAGCTCAACTCGAAGGGCTGAGGATGACAGCTGACCCTCAGGACATGTTGTCCCACAATGGTACAATGCAAGACACCTTCAAACCTGCTGGACACGGCAATCCCTGGTGGAGCGACAGCAGCGGGAGCACACAGTCTTCCATTTCGAACCTCTACGCAGACTGGCAGACGAATATGCCAGAGCCAACTCCTCCTCTCGCTAGTCCGGCTATCACGTTCAGCTCTCTCTTGCCCAGCACTACTGAAAGATCCGCTGATGTCGACCTCAATGCGACCCCGACTGCATCTGTGGTGGGAGAGCAAGGTGACGCCGTCACTGACTGCATGGCTGCCTCGACGTTGACCGTCAAGGAGGACAGTAACGACAAGAAGCCCGTTCTCGAAGCGTCTATCGAGGAAGACATTTCCGTGCCTGAGGAAAAGAGCCCAGCTTCTGCTCCGTGCAGCTTCATCTCAGCGTCCAGTCGCTTTTCAAATGCGTCTGGACAAGAGGATGCCGAGCGAGGAGAAGCCGAAGCCAATGACGGCTCTGACCTCGAATCACTTGCAGCCTCCTCAGTCTATCCTCCGCTACACCACCGCTTCACCCTCATTCGCAATGGCACTCGTCGAGTCACGATGTCCAAAGCGAAGGAGGGCTTCACGACGCCCTCCTCTCCGGCAACCTCACCTCTGCTACCAACTTCGAGCGCAGGACTGCTGCCTCCAGCTCTGATGCTCACGCAGGCACTCGCTAGGTGCCACGTCTGTAGCAAGCGCATCGGTTGGCGTCCCTTTCTGGACTGCGACGACTGTCCTTACCGATGCCATGTGGCCTGCGGAGAGGTCGCTGAGCCATCCTGCCGAGAAATAGATATGCCTCAGGCTGCGAAGGACGCACAGAACAAGCAGTCTGACGTGGAGGGCCACGATGATGGCCAGAATGCTGAGGGGGTCAAGAAGACGCCCAAGAAATCGCACGGTGCAGTCTGCACTGGTTCAAACGCTCCCCTCTTGACCGTCGTCAATGCCGAGAGACGGGTCTTTAACATCGACGAGCTCAACGAAGTCGCTCTTATTGGCCAGACCCTCACCAAGAGTGGCAAAGACAAAACTTCGGGGTCCGGAAGCGAGGAAGAAGGAAGATCAGCCCCTCCGAGTCCGCTTCGTGGAAGTATCTTGGCAGGAGCGGGAGGAGCGGCCGCCAGGCTCAAGAGGTGGAGTAGGGGAGGGTCGACTGCCGCTTCTGCTGGTGCCGCTGGTGCTGCTGGCCGCGGAGTCGTCAAGACTTGAAGGAGATGCCAAGGGTCTCTTGACGAGTCAGCATATACGCATTCATCGAAAGAGCAGAGAACGCCTTCCTCAAGTTGCTACAGCCCGACGTGTATGGACACTATCTTGTCTCCGCCTATGAGCTGATCATCCCATTCCTCTCCCTCGTAGTAGTCCTCCTCCGGCTCAGATCCTTCCCGAATTACCCTGTCGCTCCATTCCCTTCACCCTTCTGCTCGATCCACCACTCATGGTTCTTCTAATGACATATCTTGCTTGCTTTCTGTCGACACACTACTTGTCTGATTTGACAAGTGAAGCTAGCAGTAAAGCATCGCCAGGGTAGACCAGACCCTAGTAGGCCTGCGCGCCCCCACCCTCGGACGCGCCCATGGGATGTGTGCCCTTCCGTTCCGATCAATTTCTCCACGGAATGCTCAGACTGAGAATTTTTGAGCTCCTTCCTTGGAGGGCTGGAAGCAAGAGGGTGGGTGGTACCCATCTTCCCCCCTCTGCCTCTACATCGCTCATCGCACAAGGAGCTCGTATCCCATTGTGCTAGTCTCCTCACCAGTCCCTCTCTCTATATCCACACTACCGCCCAAAGTCTGTGCCCGAGGACTGCACCTGGATCCTCCCACCTCCTACCTCCTTCGATCCGCGAATCCTCCCACTCTCTGGCAACGAGATGCCCGCACCCACAAGGAAGTCTACCGCCGTCAAGACGCGCGGCGGGCCAGTCGCTCCTGTGATGATCAAGGGCGACGGAGCTTCAAAGAAGTCTGCTGCTGCTGCTGGTTCTGTTGCTTCCAAGAAGGGCAAGGGTCAGAGTAAGAGTAAGGTGGTGCCTGTTGCTCAAGAAGAGGAAGAAGACGAAGACGAAGATGATGAGATGGACGAAGATTTCGAGGATGAAGACTCTGAGGATGAGGGAATGGACGAAGACGAGGACGATGATGACGATGACGATGCTTCGATCTCGGACGCTTCTGATGCATCTGCTGAGGGTACCTCTGAGCGTGGGCTCAAGCGGTTGATTGAGGCCCTTGGCGAAGATGGATTGGATGAGGATGAGCTGGCTGAATTGGCTGCCTTGCAGGATGGAGAGGACAGTGAGGATGAGGATGAGGAGGACGAAGAGGAGGATGAGGACGAGGACGCTGCTGTGCCCACCAACGGTTCAGGCTCAAAAGACACCCTAGCAGCCAGTCTAGCTCGCAGTGGTCTCATTCCTCAAGCAGTCGATGACGATGACGACGAGGAGGACGAAGAAGACGAAGAGGACGAGGACGAGGACCCAGACGCTTCTGCAATCCCTCTGGACTCTCTGGACGATGCCGCCTACGCCTCCCTCCCAGACGCTGTCCGCTCCTCTCGCTTCCATCGCGAGAAGATCAACAATCGTCCAGCCCTGACTGCCGTACGGGACCTCATTGCCCTGGACGGACCTTCGACCTCTGCATCAGGCTCCTCGCAGAAGAAGATGGACTGGATCGAGCACATGTCCCTCTCTTGGGACCACTCTGTCGCCTCTGAGCTAGAAGAGCAAGGAGCAGCAGCCGACGATGACCTCAAGCGTGAGCTAGTCTTCTACAAGCAAGCCCTCTCGGCAGCTCAGCTCGGTCGACAGAAGGTGCTAGCAGCAGGCATGCCCTTCAGTCGCCCCGACGACTTCTTTGCCGAAATGGTCAAGAGCGATTCGCACATGGAGCGAGTCAGACAGACGCTCCTTGATGAGCGGGCAGGGATCAAGGCTAGTGAAGAGGCAAAGAGGCAGAGGGAACTCAAGAAGTTTGGAAAGAAGGTACAGGTGCAGAAGGGATTGGAGAGGCAGAAGAACAAGAAGGAGATGGAGGAGAAGATTGAAGGTCTCAAGAGGAGTGAGTATGAGATTGAAGAGACGGGAGGCGGGAAAATGCTACGTTGTAGCCTGACATTAACATCATGCTGACCTTGTACCTTTCACCTACTTTGATTTCCTGTCTCAGAACGAGGCGGTGTCGCTACAGCAGGCGACGACGATGGCGACGACGCCTTCGACATCCGCATCGAAAACGCCCTGCAATCCGCCGCCTCTTCCTCCTCTTCTTCAGCTCGTGGTGGTCGTAGTCGTGGTCGAGGACGCGGAGCAGGAGGTGGAGGAGGAGCCAAGATGCCCCGTACTGCTCGAGATGACAAGTTTGGTTTTGGTGGCAAGAAGCGTTTTAGCAAGAGTAACACTAGGGAGAGTACCGAGGCGGGGTATGGCAAGTATGAAGGTGCTGGGAGGGGAGGTGGTGCTGGGAGAGGGGGTAGGGGTGGTGCTCGTGGTGGGAGGGGAGGACGTGGTGGTGGTGGAAGAGGTGGATCGACTAGGTTGGGGAAGAGCAAGAGGAAGTAGACTGGAGAGGACCCTTTGTACAAGCGGATCCAGCTACACGCCTTTCAGAGATTGCTCGAATCACATCTACAGTCATTAGAGAAACAGTGTGATATTAACACGCTTGCTGTACCGTGAGAGGGGGGCCGTCGCTTTCGCCTAGACTTCGACCTGTGAGACGTCTACTTCAACCACTTTTATCCACATGAGCAAACGATTCTGTAACGCGGCAACGCTTCAGAGCGGCTGCCCTTAGAAGGACTGCGTGGCGTCAATCTCAATGGCAGGCACGATGCTGGCCATGAACTTGAGAAAGACGAGGAGGTACTGGTCCACGCGTAAGCCCTCGATGTCCGTCTCGACACCTCCTGCTTCCCCTCCAAGTACGTCTGCCCCGCCTTCAGCAGTCGCGCCTCCCTCTGTCCCAGCAGCAGCAGCAGCGGTGGAGGAAGACTTGCCCGCGACCTTCTTCATCGCTCCTCCTACCAGACCCCACTTCTTCTTCTTCTTCTTGTCCGCTACCGCCGCTCCTCCTGCGACCCCTTCATCTGGCGTACCGCCACTGCTACCCCCGCCAGCTCGTAGTCTCTTCTGCTCCTCGATGACACCTTGGTCCATACGCTCAATGACCTTTTTCATCACACTGGCATGCTTGCAAGGATGCACGCTGGCGGTGCTCAGACCACTCTTGTGTGGGAAGGGCTCGATGGTGACTGTCTTTTGGGCATAGTCGGAGGAGATGTCCTCGAAAATCTCCGAGGGCTTGAGAGGAGAGCCGGACTCGTCGTAGCCGATGAGCCACATCCGGGGAGTTTGGTAGTATTTGTCGTAGGTGATGAGACAGTCGTAGGTCCTCACTGAGAGCAGGTTGTTCGAAGAAGAGGCGGACTCGGTGGAAGCGTTGGCTGCTGCTGTTGATGGCGGTGGGGCGAGAGTGGCAGGATCGTCGTGCTCTACCACGCCTGCTCCCATGCCACCCAGCCCGTCTTCGTCGTCATCCTCATCGTCCATGTCAGGTATGTCCCCCACCTCCGCATCGTCGCCGTCGCCATCCTCCCCTGCTGCTGTTGATAGTGAGGTACCAGCCACTTGAGAAGCCAAGGCGTCTTCTTCACCCGGCGTCAGGGAGGCTGCACCTGCTGGAGGGTCATTATCTGGTATGTCTGCTATTTCGCCGACCTCTTCCAGCTGTTGCTGATCTATAAGGCAGAGAGGAACAGTGGGGAGATGCAAAGATGTCAGATGCTGTTATGCTTGCGAACCTGCTAGCTCACTGAGTTCCCCACTCACCATCGAGGTGCGTTGCCAGCCAGTCCTCTTCACCCCCAGTCCCTTCTACCCCATCCTGACCCTCTGCAAAGCTGAGCATCTTCTCATCTCCAGCTACACCTCCGCCTGCTCTCCCTTTGCCCTTCTTCCCACCTAGAGCTGCGCTCTCAATTTGGCTGACTCTGCGCAGACAAGGTACGCCGCGGGAGATGAGGTACTGCTTGTCCTTGGGTAGGAACTCGCGCGTCTTGGAGGGTTCGCCGGCGGACCAGGACCAGGTGGGAAACTTGTATGACAGAAAATCGCCAGCGGCCACAAATTCCTCTGTCGTACGGAGAGTGGATGAGGACAGTGAACTTTGGCGTCAGTCTCAGTGAGCTTGGCGCCATCTACCTCTGAGGGAGGAACAGATTCACTCACCGGGGGTGATACGACCATGCTCCTTGAACTTGGATTCGCGCAAAACGGGTGCAAGGTAATCTCTCACTGCCCAAAAGTGAGTCTGTGAATGCGTACAGAATGAAGAGGGATGAGGTCAGCCCAGATCTTCCCTGCTCGCGCTTCAGATAGGGGGCACATGGGTGCTTGAGCTCCATTGCGTGGCATGCCTTTTTGAGCTACTCACCTGAATGGCGTTCATGGTTGCCGTTGTAGGGGAACAGTCCTTCACTCGAAGATGAGGTGGATGTATGCGTATGTGTATCGGTGGGATGGCGAGGTGACGTGGAATGTGATTGGTAGCGAACAAAGGCGAGGCCGTGGTAGCAATCTATGCCTGGCGCAACACTCAGCATCCTCGTCACCCCCTTGGCAGTGCACGGACGACGCAGGCACAGACACGTCGGAACGGGTGGCGTGGCCCACAGGCGCTTGCATCCTTGCTGCTTCCGCCGCCGGATACGACTTCGCCTCTACTCCCATCAGAAGATCATCCTGGAGATCAGTTTGCAGCACAACATGGAAGCAGAGTGAGTATATCTTGCAACAGACACCCATACATCTGCTCACGGCACCTGCTCACATATCATACATCCACCACCTCTCCCACAGACTTCAGACATACGAGTATCAACTCGGCCAAGTATCCGAGGCACTGCAAGCAGATCCTGCAAACGAGGAGCTCACAACCCTCAAGGCAGAGCTCGAGAATCTCATTTCTCTCACTCGCTCCCTCATCGGAGATCAAGGAGAGACTTCTGCGGCTGGCGGATCTTCAACAGCTGGGTCCAACAAACCAGCTGCTGCTGATGCCTCTCGTCCGGTCGAAGGCGACACTAAGACTGCTACAGCTCAGAGTGGAGCTGGTGGAGAGAACAAGAAGGCGGCTCTGAGCGCAGGAGATGACTGTCTAGCCAAGTATAAGGTGAGAGGAAGACAATGACCCTGCGCCAAGGTGGCTATATGCATAAGCTTCTGTTACTGGCGCTGAACTTCTTCCCTCCTCCTCTTGCAGGCCGACAATCGCTACTATCCTGCCAGGATCACATCCGTAGGAGGGTCGAAAGATGATCCTGTCTACTCCATCGTATTCAGAGGGTATAACAACTCAGAGATGGTCCGGTCTTGGGAAATCAAGCCGCTTAAAACTTCATCCTCCCACCATACCGCTTCCTCTTCCTCCTCCTCCTCCCCTCACGCCTCCTCGAGTCCACACTCGACTCCCGGCCCTTCTTCCTCTCCGCACCCGCCCAGCGGCGAACGCAAGCGGCCATCACATCCAGCCTTGACGCCTGAAGAAGAGGCAGAGCGTGAGAGGAAAAAGAAGCGTAGCGAAAAGAAGTCGGAGAGGCATGAGACCAAGACGCAGGTGGCCCAGGAAAAGGCAAGCAGTTGGCAGAAGTTTGCAAGTAAGAAGAAGGTGGCAAAGAAGACGGGTGGGCAGGGATCCATGTTCAGGACACCTGAAGATCCTCTGGCAAAGGGTGAGTAGATTGTGGATAGCGGCTGACGACGGCTGTGGTAGACTGTCTTGCTGATACGGCATCTGTTCTTCTCATCGACAGTTGGAGTAGTGGGAGCAGGCAAAGGAATGACCGCATACCAAGACCGGAGCAAGCACGTCTACGATTCTTAGGCCGGATCAGTGAAGAGCGATTCATGACGCGACTTGTCTGCGCCTGACTCTGACCACTACATCTATGCCCTTCGACTTTCAGAAGCTAGTGACTACCAGCGGGTCCTTACACCACCGACGACACCGTCGTTCCACTGGCACCAGCCAGAGATAGCGCGAGGGTAACAGTAGGATATGTCAAGCACTTGTCATTGACCTTGGTCAGAGTACTGACGGAATATCTACTCCATCGCGGCAGATCTTTGTCGATTGAACGTGTTGTATGCTCGTCTTTGGCATCATGTGAGACGAGACGATGTGCTGCAATGCCAAAAGATATAGACAAGACGAAGTAGACTGAATAAAGGACGATGCCTTGGCTGAGACTGTTTCGTACGCTGCTCGGTAAAGACCTCCCTCCCTCTATCGCGTCAGGATGATGTATAGGGAAAGCGTTCTGAAATGGCCCGCCCCTCTTCGCAACATGAGCAAAGTGCCGACTGCGAGGGGCCAATCGCACGAAGGTTAGCCTCTCTCTGACTTCCGTCTGGGTGAGATCCCTCGAGGGCTCGAGGAAGCTAAACGCCTTTGCTCTCCCACGTGGTTCTTTGAGACGACTATCATATACCAGATCCGAGACTCGGCATAAACACCTTGAGTCCAAGTGCCAAGCCCAGGATGGTATCCCGACGAAGAATCCCCCCAGCTGTTTTGATTCGGCCGCCGGCTTCAATGGGCCGAAGCTCGCCCGGGGAAAAAATTTAAGCGTGCTAGGACAGGGGCAGGTGTGGTGAGTGGAGCCTATCATTCGCCGAGAGCGAAGGGCACCTGAACGGGTGTGTGGTATCCGCGTGGCATGGGCATTCAGGTACCGTCGGCGTCGGCGTTGGCCTCCGCTGCCGGATGCCAAGTGGTTGGCCGTCTTCGATCGTCACGTCTGAGATGTAAGGGCGGTCAGGCGAAGCGCAACTCCCGCTCGGGGACAGGCGGAGTGCTGCACAGAGGTGATTTTCTCCATGTCCACTAGCACAGGAAAGAGAGGCCGCTGTGGATCGAGAGACATTCGTCATTCTCACTCCGCACAGCCTCACCAGGCAGTAGAGGAGTCTTGTACAGACTTGACCCACGCGGACTCGGGCTGACAGGACCCTTGTTGTGGTTTATGCATCTCTCGGCCTGAGGAGTGCCGTGACAGAAGGTGCATATTCCCGCACCGCAAATCTCTCTCCCCCCCCCCCCTTCAGCTCCGTCATGGCCGTGTCCCGTCAGCTTGGGACGGACCACACTATAGCCTATTGGGAAATTACCTAGTTGCGAGGGGAGCAAGTGTGAATCTTACCAGACGAGGCTGAGCTCTATCACTTTGCCCTTTGCACTCCATCATCAACATTGCCATTCTACTATCCTTGATCATCCATCTCGACGCCCATCTTTGCTTCTCTCTCGACACAGCTGCATCGCTGCAGCACCTCGTCTCTTATCGGACACTGTCAGCTTTCGCCACACAGCGCCTGATCAATTGGCACCTACCTTACAGCAAGCACATCCAGTCCACCTCACTCGAGGCAGCACCTTTGCCACTCACCTCACCCACTCACTTCTCACTCACAACAATGGCTACAGTGAATACTCTACGCCCCGGTGGCGGAGATGCCCACAATCACCACGCAAGAGGAGCATCTTCCTCGCACACCTCTCCTCCCGTCTCACCATCCGTGACGACTGCAAATCTTCATCATTACCCAATGCCATCATCTACCTTTCGCCAAGGACCCTCCGAGAGGGTCAAGAGGGCTCTTGCTCTTGAAGAGGCACAAAGGAGTGGTAGTGCTAGTGGGACTGGAAGTGCAATGCGTCCTACCAAGTCTGATACGGGATTGGATCCTACCAGTCTAGATGTGGACATGGATACAAGACGACCTTCTGTTCCTGCCCTCTTTACTCGTCTTTCTTCTGAGCCCAGCTCACCTAGCAGTGAGAGGGGTAGCTCGGGCAAGACCACGCCCTCGATGGCTAGTATGACTTCGACTTCCTCCTCTGCCACTACGGCCACCGCCACCACCTCTTCGTCTTCGTCAGGCAATGACGACGAGGAGGCTCTCGCCGAGGGTGAAGATCCTCTCATCCAATTGGTATACACCTCCTCTGCCAAGATCCGCTATCTGCCCCGCTCCGAGCTAGAGGGTATTCTAGCCAGCTCGCGCAAGACGAATGCCCGCAATGATATTACCGGTCTGCTAATGTACCGAGATGGTTCTTTTGCTCAATTCCTCGAAGGACCCCGCTCTGCCGTCCTGGACACCTTTGCACGTATCAGGGCAGACAGACGTCACCGTGGTGTCATCGTCGTGCTAAAGCGACCTGTAGAGAAGCGAGACTTTGCAGAGTGGAGAATGGGATTTAGAGACATGGATGCTGAACTTCCTGCTGGGGGAAATACGAATGAGCACAAGGGAGAAGTAGGCAAGAGTGCTTTGGAGCAAGAGGGGAGAGATGCAGTATTGGATTTGGCGAGTGTGAATGTTGCGGATCTCTCGCATGCGGAGATGTCTAGGGCGATTCGGACGTTGATCAAGGTCTTTCATCAGTCGTTGGCGAGACCTGCCTAGAGTAGACTTGAGCAGCTAGGATGTTCCTGCTGCTGCTGGCTACCATCTGTCACCTATACCCAGTTCTTGGACCCTACTTTTGTACTTTTATCATTGTTGATCTAGTCAGTCATCATGCGGATGACCTCTGCCTCTTCCTCTTTTTCACGCACATATACACGACAAGGAACGTCTCTTTTTCATTTTCAATCAATTCTCACTACTGTACGTTTTTTAGGAATGTAGACTGAAGTGTGCGACCGTAGATACTTGACAGCGAGTAAAAGTCATGTCGTCTTGAGTGAGTGAGGGCAAGTGATGAAGCTGCCCTGGTGTGCCATTCACGTCGTCCGCCCTCTGAGCCCTTTTCCCGTTGGTTTCCCCCGCCTTGTGAAGCAGAAGCCGGGCATAGGCGGGCGGGGGGGAGTCGAGCAGTGGGGGCGGGGGGGGGGGGCGGAGTCTGAAGCCTCGTCCGTCGTCGTCGTCGTGGAGGGAAGCGCGGATCGGATGCGATGCGCCTGGAGTCCGGCTTCTTCTTCTTCCTCCTCTTCGCCCGGACTGAGGCGCAGGCGCATGGCGGAGGCGAGGTGGGGCAGAGGGACTCGCTTGACTGACAAGTGTTGCATGGAAAGGACAATCCTTCCTTCCTTCCTTCCTTCCTTCCTTCCTTCCTTCACTCCTCTTGGTAGACTTGTTCACTTCCCCCTCCTTGTTAGGCTCACTACACTCTGCGGACACTACACTGTCACTGTTCCCTTGTCTTGACAACCCACCCCCCTTTGGACACTCGCTCGCTCCCTCGCACGACATTGCACTTCCCTAGCTCCAACCGCTTGCGACTCCACGTAGCAACTCACTCCCTACCTTCCTTTCTTACTCAACAAGTCTCCACGGCACACAAAAAGGTCACCAGCACGATTCGATTTCCCATCTCCCACAAGCAAGTATGACTATCAGCACTCCCACTACCGCTCCCACTACTACTACTACTCCCACTGGAGGTAAAGCAAAATACTCTGCCCATCTCTCCAATGGTGATCCCACCATCCTCTCTACCTCCTACATCCCTACCCATCCTCATCTCTTCCTCGTCCACTTCTCTCCTGGAGACTACAACTCTTCTCTTGTTACTCAACGTCCCTTTGCTAGAGGAGAGACATTGGCTTATATGGATTCGGCAGAGCGGGCACCACTTAAGAGGTACTCGACGGTGCAAGTAGGAGAGGAGAGTCATATTGAACTCAATAGCGATTTGCTCTACATCAACCATTCGTGCGATCCGTCAGTTAGATTTGAAGTTGGAGAAGAGAGGAAGATGTGGAGGGCAGTTGCGGAGAGGGACATCCAAAAGGGGGAAGCATTGAGCTTCTGTGAGTAGGCAACGAGAAGCGAGAAGCGAGAAGTGAGAAGCAGGCAGCAGGCAAGGAAAGAGTTCAACTGACCTACTCTCCTTCATCTCCACTTGACACCTTCCCAGTCTACCCATCGACAGAGTGGAGCATGGCTCAACCCTTCAAGTGCAACTGCAATTCCTCTAGATGTCTTGGCACCATTTCCGGCGCAAAGGACATTGATGCCCAGACGCTCCTCGAGGGCTACTTTGTCAACGAACACATTAGACGGTTGAAGGAGGCGCAAAGCAAGGAGGAAATCAAGTAGAGGAGGCGAGGAAGAAGAAGAAAGGATGGGAGAAGTTGGGAAAGAAGAGAAGTAGCAAGGGTGGGGATCTGGTGATGGAAAGCGAGCAACCAAAAGCCTATTGCAGGGGCACCCCATGTTCAGTAGCATCATCGAAAGGCATATATGATTCATCGACGAATGGCATAAGATGCCTATCAGCCCATGCCGGTACTCCTCTTTCTCACCGTCTCTTCTTTCCATGTGAAGCGACGGCCTTCTCAAACCGGTTCCCACCTCCCGTACTACTACCTCCTCCTCTCTTCTTCCCACCACCACCACCTCCGCGTCTCCCCTCCGACTCTCCAGCAGGAGCCGTTGCCTTCCTCCTCTTAGTCGTAAGCTCATCCCATTCCCTTCTACTCTGTCCCTTGCCACCTCTCCTCTCTCCACCCCGAAGTAAATCTCCAAATTCCTCTTCTAGTCCAGCTCCCACTTTGGATCCACCCCTGGAGGAGGAAGATAAACCAGCAGTGGTGACGCCACCGAGTACGACGTCCTCTTCGTCTCTGCGACGCTTGCGTTCGTCTTTCTTGCTCAGGACTAAACGGGTGAAATTGTTCTCTTCGTATTCGTCCATTTCCTTCAATCTGCGCGCACGGGCGGAGGTGTGGGGATCAGAGGCAGAGAGGGATGTGAGGCCAGTAGAAGAGGTGCTGTAAGGATTCGAGGAGAGGGAGGTGCTCAGATCTGGCAAGAGGTGGGCATTGAGTGGGCGTCCACCTCCTCCGCGACGAGAGCGAGAGTCGTCACGCTCGTCATCAGAGGACCCATCGCCACGACGACCCTTGGAACGAGGACGGTCCGAGTAGGGTACGGGGGCCAGCTTGGGCGGACGATACACGCCGGAGCGAGAAGAGGCGGCTTGCTCCTCGTCTGACTCCTCGGCAGTGCGGGCGCCTTTGGCCTTGCGGGAAGAAGAGGACGAGGAAGTAGCGGCAGCAGTGGACTTCTTCTTTGCGGCAGAAGAAGAATCGAGCAGAGCCGACGGGTTGGGCCGGAAGGACAGTGGGTCTGCCATCATATGGAAGAGCCAGTCGCAGCGGTCAGCAAGACGATGTCTCTTCTCGTCCTGACCCCAAAGTTGTGTGCCTGTACTCACCCAGTTCCGCATCCTCTTCATCTGCCTCGTCTTGACCCTCGCCCTCCTCATCACTTCCATCAGCCTGGCTCTTCCCTGATGTCGTAGCATTCTGTGCTGCTCTGACCAGCCTCTCCCACTTTGGCTTCAATCGCGCCTCTAGCGTCTTCATCTTGTCCAGCGTGACCCTAATCCGCACAAGTCTCTCCACGACTTCCTTCCCTTCGCCCTCCTGGATGGAAAGACCAAGTGCTCTATGCGAGGAGAGGAGAAAGAGGTGTTGCGTGTAGGAGAGTAGGAGAGTGGACTTGAGTGTGAGAAAGAAGTCTGCTGAGCTCTCATCCTGGGAGGAGGAGAGAGAGGAGGAGGGTGACGAGGGTAGGTGTGAAGGAAGGAGAGAGGTGCTGCTGCTGAAGAGGGAGGAGCAGTCCGTGGAGAGGGAGCGGATCAAGGTGGAGAAGGCGGACACATCTGCCGCAAGGACGCTGGTAACTGCAGCTACGGACGTCATGGCTATGATGACGATGATGGTGAGGTGATGGCAAGGTATCACACACACACACTGATGGTGATGGTGGTGGTGGAAGGTGGTCAGTAGCCATCTACGGCCCTTTGACGGAAAGGGAGTCGAGGCAGATTTTTTGGGCCAAAACTCCGCGCGCAGACGGAGACAGTCACGCCAGAAATTTGTCCAGACGCAACCAGGCAGCACAGACAGTCATTCATTCGTACGGACGGGCAAAGGCACAACCTTGTCATCCTATACACCACATCCATACACTCACAACCATGGCACCCACTGCCACCTCGTCCGCCTCGGCCGCAGCCACAGGCAGCAACGCCTCATCCAACTTCCAGTACGACCACGGCCTCCTCTCCGTCACAAATGTATCCAGCACCAGCACTGCTTCCAAGCCCACCTCTTCCTGGCTGCAGGCCCAAACTCAAAAGGGCGTCTCTGCCCTCCTCTCCAACCTCATCGCCACTCTCCCCCTCAAAGTCCACCCAGACCATGGACCTATCCTAACGCTACCCCTTCCAACCACGATTTTGCCCAGGGCAAAACCACTACCCAAACCAAAGCCATTGACTAAATGGCAAGAGTTTGCAAAGAAGAAGGGAATCGCTGATACAAAGAAGAAGGAAGGAAAGCTGGTGTACGACGAGGCGACGCAGGAGTGGGTTCCAAAGTGGGGATACAAGGGAAACAATAAAAAGGAGGAGGAACAGTGGATTCATGAGGTGCCGTTTGGTAAAGGTGAGTTGGCGAACAATGAGAGGGGAGGGAGAGCCCTCGGCCGCGTTGTAAGAGCCAAGTCCTGACCACATCCTTGATGTTTCTCCCTCAGATGACGATTACGACCCCTCCAAGGCAATGAAGGCCGAGCGCAAGAAGCGTCGTCTACACAATGACGCCCAACGGCTTCGCAACCTCGCCCGCGCTTCTGCCGCCAGCTCCTCCAACAGCAAAACATCCTCTTCTGCCCTCAAATCCGACCCTCTGACCACCCGTACTCTCAGAAAAGGTGATCTGGACGCTACTACGCTCCGCATGAGAGGCTCAACAGCCTCCATGGGCAAGTTCGATCGGGTGCTACCTGGAGAGGATATCAAGACTCGTGGGGTGAAGCGCTCTTTTGATCCCAATGAGCGGGATGCAGGAGAGGAGAAGAAGAGGAGTATGGCCATTCTCGGTGGATTGGATGGATCTGGATCTGGAGCAAGTAGGAGAAGAGAAAAGGGAGACGTGGTTAATGCGAGAAAGGCGGTGAGGTTTGAAAGTAAGGGAGAAGGAGCATTGGCGCTTGCTAGGAGGGGAGAGGGGGGAAAGAAGGGTGGCTCGGGCGGGAGGGGAGGAAAGAGGAGGGGATGAAGGGAAAAGAGGGACGTACTTAGGATGTTCTCTGCCTGAGGTAGGTCAGGCGGAATCGACCTCATCCTGCCTCAATCCATTGCCCTTTCTTTGCCAGACTAGACCATCGCATGACGCCAAGCAGAGGTAGATGGATCGCGCTGCGATTCGTAGGGAAAACAAGAAGACCGAAAGGGCCAAGCCAGAGAGTGGGAGAGGCAAAAATGAGGAATGGGCGGACGAATGACAGAGAGACAAGGCCGTGTTACAACTCCTTCACTCTACCTCCTCCTTCTTCTTCTCCCCATTCCCCTTCCCCTCCCCCTTCCCCTCCTCTCGCTTCTTCCTATACTCCCACACCCTCGACAAGTACGAGTCATACTCGCTCATCTCGTCCAGAGGTCCTCCACGGAACCTGTGCGCACGGAGCAGCACGCGGTAGCGTCCTTCGGGGAGGGAGAAGGGGGTGGAGGAGGGAGTGGTGGAGCTGGGATCGCCTTTGGGTTGGAGAGGAGGAAGGTCCAGCGTGGCAGTCTATTTGGTGGAGTCGATGGGGACAGAGAGAGATGATTAGAAGGGGGGATCTAGAGGTGACGAGGTACAATAGGATAAAGCAAGACGTACCAGTGGCCAGGTCTGGAAACTGCACCAGAGCCAGGAGTGAAAGGAATAGAGGAGAGGAGCTTGTCGTCAGCTTGAGCGGGAAAAGCAGTGGGGTACGCTGGCGCTATCGCTACTACTGCACTCCCAGTACTCACCTTCCACCTGGCAGGAGCGTATTCGAGTATTGGTCGCGCCCCGTAATGTCATCGTCGGTCATTCGGCCTACGATGGGCACCTCGTCGAACTTGGTCCAGCGCATCCCTGTCACCTTTCCCGAAGTCGTCTCCGGGACCGTAATGTTTGCACCATCCTCGCGCAGCGCGAGGGACGCCAAGTCTCTTCGCTCTGGCCCCTCGGTGGGCAGTGTGGAATTGCAGCACTCTGCATCGTCCACAATAGGGATTGTAGCTTGAAAATCGATGTCCGCGTCGACGATATCGATTACGAGCCTCTCGGTGGGCGTCTGCGTCATGTACACCAGGTTCGGACTAGATGTTGGGTCCTCCGGGTCCAATGCCCAGACGGTCGAGTCATTCCTGATCTGTTCCTTGTTCCCCGGCTCAAACAGAGCAGGGAGCTTCGTTGAGAATGGGTTTGCTCCGGTCACTAGTGAAGGAATGGTTCGCAGCGAGCCTGCCATGCCAGTATAGGGGACGTTGGCCGTTCCGCTCGGGTCGTTGAGGCAGACGACGGAGATGCGACCGGAGTACATGATGATCCGTGGATGGTCGGGAGGTGGGTCGATACGGAATTCGAAATTGTAGGTCTTGCCGGGCTCTGATGAAGGAGAAGGGTAGGAATAAGAGAAGTCAGCTCATGGTAACAGAAAAGAGGTAGGCAATAGTGCGTGAGCGCTCACCTAGATCAAAGACATTCTGGTACAAGGACATCGTCGCCGTCGCATCCGCGTTCTGAGGGATGGCACTGATCATCGACGAATTGACCGTGAGTCTCTTCTCAGGCGCCCCTTCCTCAAGAAGGTACACCGCTTGCGCAGGGATATGCGCGACGTTATAGCTCTGCTTCTTTGTGCCCACATTTCTGATGATGAGCTGCTTGTGGTACTCAGTGATGGGACTTGCACCAAAGTTGAAATCGATTGGGTCTGCCTCGGTCGTGAGGTCAATGGCGGCAGTGATATTGACGAGTCCAGCGCCAGCCCAGAAGAGGCTCTCATCACCGCCACCGTCTCTTCGCTTGACTCGCGTTGCTGTATGCTTCAAGGCTCTTCGGACTGAGGCGCTCGAGACGTTACGACCGTGTACCGACTTGTACAGAGCCACAGCGCCCGATACGGTAGGTGTAGAGAAGGAATTACCAGCCGTGATTGCATATCTCACAGGGAGAGGAACAGCTCCCAGCGTATCACTCCCAATCCCCACTACGTCTGGCTTGACGAGCTTGAGCTCGTTGTCTGGGCCCCATGATGAGAAGTAGCTCATCAGTCCTGCGCTGGGATGAGGGTAGTCGGTCAATACGTCAAAGGCGCCTCCGGGAGAGAAAGTTGCTTGGATGGAAGGATTCTTCTTGTAGGCCTCGTAGAGAGCCAATCCCATGTCTGTAGGTAGCATTGCCATCGTCACCGTTGCGTTGTTGTGAGTGCCTTTGACCTCCGTCGGGTACGAGACCAGGAAGCTGGGGAGTGGGCAGCAGAGGCATAGTAACCACGTCAAAAGCCCGTGGGTAGCAGTGACGAAGCCGTCTCCCGAAATTCACTTACAAGTCTTTCGACACTATCCTGAGAAGATACTTCACATCCTTGTCAGCGATGTTGTCGATCTGCTTCTGGAACCCACAAGCGGAGGCCTGAAAAACGACAAGGATATAGTCCTCACCGCCTACAACGTCGTCGCCAAGTGGTGAGCAGCCTCTGCGAAGAGGGTCAAGGCAGAGGTCAACTTCAGACACCACGTTTCTCATACCGCCGGCTCGAAACTCACTCGTCCTTGATGTCGGGGTCTGCCAACGCAGCTTTGCTGAAGCGAATGGGCAATTTGGGCACGGTACGATTGTAATTCCAGCTCGTGTCAGTGAACACCCTGAGGGTCGAAGTGCCATCAGGAAGAGGAGGATCAATCGCCAATGCCCAACCAGGAAGAATCGCGTTCGAGACTGATCCTACTGCAATGACCTCCTCGCCTAGAGCGGGTGATCCCATCAAGAAAGGTCCACTGTCCCCATTATTGGCAGCAGAGTATACCAGAGTGACTCCCTGTTGAGCAAGGCGGGAGGCGACCAGCGTGTCGGCTTCTTGCCAGCCTCTTGTGGCGCTCAGAGGCCCGCAGAGGACGTCGCACTTATCCTTGTAGGCGCGGTCGTAGATGTCGAAAGCATCTGCTACAGTGGTGCCCCCTGAAGAAGTGTTGAAGGATTTGAAGGAACAGGAAAAGACGCCATATGTGCGCAGCTTGGCATCGGGCGCAATGCCTAAAATTCGCCCGTCTGGATCTCGACCTGCTACGATGCTTGCTACTTGGGTTGCATGGCCACTGGAGGTTGCAAGGGTGATGCTGTCAATCTCAAGTCCAATGCGAGAGTCCCTTTATGTCACCGCTACTTACCAAGCATTCTTGCTCTTTGGAGGACCAGGGTGGCGATGGACCAAGTCGAAGTCTGGGCCTACATAGTCATAGCCGCCCTGTACGGGACAATCACCGCCCATACAGTCAACACCTGCAGGTCTACCACCGTTGAGTACTGGATGGGAAAAATCGACGATGCCGTCGACGACGCACACAGTGACACCTTTGCCGAGGTTTCCTCTCTTGTGCTGGAGATCAACGCCCATCATGGCGTGCATTGCATGGGATGCGTCGATGCTGCTGTGAGTTCCCTTGCCAAGGTCGCGAGCGTGAGCTCGGGCTTTAGGCTGCTCGAGTCGGTCGAGTGCAGCTTGCTGTAAGTTGCTTTCGCCAGCACCGATAGAGGAGCCTCGGTCGTGCACGCTTGCCGGAGGCTGTAAGTACTGATTCTTCGTCACTCGCTGTACTGCAGGAGAGCTTTTGAGAGCATGTATGATCTCCCTTCGACCAGCGTCCGAAAGGGACCAGTCCATGGTGGTCTTTGAGGCAGGCTGCAATTGTATCGCCGCTCCTAGATGGATCTCCGGCGATTCATAGGTGTGGGTAACGATGATCTCCATGGACAGTCTGTGTGACACATCAGCCACATATGCGGAGAGTGCATCCTGAGAAGCCAGAGGAGAGCAAGTCTTTAGTACCATTGATCACCCAAAGCTACAGGAAGTATTTATCGGTACGTACCTCCCAGGCATTTGCGGCGACTTGATCAGGGTCAAATTGAACGATGAAGCTATTGGGTACGTACTGAGGGCTTTGATCTTGCACCTCCACGCCCCTAAGACTCTTGCCCTCAACGGCTACCGTAAAAAGGAGCAGAGTTAAAGCCGCTGTCCAAGCTGCGAGCTGTCGCCATTGCATCTTGCCAAGCATGAAGGGAAGGAGGGGGTAACGGAGAGGAGCGAGCTTCACCCTACCCTTGACTGGCAATGACAGGGACCTTATACTTCTCGAGACCAAAGCAGCCTCACTCGCTCCCCGAACGAACCCTGCCGTGATTAGCGGTAGCCCTGACTCGGGGGTTCTCGAACCTTGCATCTGCCCTGAATCTAGCCCCTCATGAATTCGCCCTCGGTGCGCCCCTCGCCGACGGAACAAAGTACCTCGGCAGATCTTGTTCCGGGGCCTGGCAGGTCATCGTACCTTGGCCACCGAGGAAGAGAGTAATCGAGTTGAGACTACCCCTGGTGAATGGATATGTGCCTATTCGCTGGACCGCCGGCTTGGGCTTCACCATGCCTCCACCCCCGCTCTCCTTTCCGCTTTCGCATGAACTTCCGCTCATGGAGGGAATACATCTGCTCTACCCCTTCATGTATACACCAAGAGTGACACTCGGGGACTTCTCTTAGCCTACCTTGACTAGCCTACCATATCTGTTGAGCCAACAGACTACTACAGCAAGGCGGCAGAGACCGTCCGACCCCTCATCGACCATCACCCGCCTCCTCCACCTCAGAAGTGCCGTGGGCCCCTGCACCCTTCCGTTTAGCACGCCTACACTAAGCACCACTCCCCATCTTCGAAGCACCACCTCAATAGCTCGCAACGCAGCTCTCCATTCGTCAGCTAGAGTTATGGCGCCCGCCACACAAGAGTTCTTCTCGTCGAAGACATTCGCTATTGCTGGTGCTAGCAAGGATCCGAGCAAGTATGGGGTGAGTAGCGGGAAGGGGAGGGAAGGGATGCTTTGCTGAGCAGGAGATGGAACATTGACTGACGAACCGGCTGTTCCTTCTATTCCTCTGATTCTGCGATTGCATCATAGAACAAGGTGAGCAACCCGATCCGAGATGATAGCACACCTCCAGGAGGGAGCTAAACAAGCATTGCAATTTCCCACCTCTACCCATTTCCCCTCCCCTTCTCCTCCCCTCCCACCTCCGGAAGGTTGTCCGCTGGTACAAGGACAACGACCTCCCTGCCATTCCCATCAACCCAAAAGAAAGCAGTATCGAGGACCTCCCTAGCATCTCCTCCGTCTCTGAGCTCAAGGATGCAAAGCAGACGAGCTTATCGGTGATTACGCCCCCGCATGTCAGCTTGCAGATTGTCAAGACGGGATTATTGGAGGTGAGTAGGAGAGGAGACCGAGGGAATGAGGAGGTACTGATTCGAAGAGTACTGATGTACGAGCTTTGCGCAATGTGAAAATTCCCAGCTGGGAATACCTTGGATCTGGCTGCAGCCAGGAGCAGAGGACAAGGCTCTTCGTGAGTTCCCTTTGACATTCTCCGTCGCAGTGCATACTCATACTCGCTGACACTACCTCTCCACGCCTACGTCCCTCTGCTTACAGGCGACTGGGTGGAATCACTCCCTGACGAAGACCTCAAGCGACGAGTCATCTACGGTGGACCCTGCATCCTCGTCGAAGGCAGGAGACTGGCAAAGGCAGAGGGGAAACTGTAGCCGTAGGCGAGTCCTTGAGTATACCAATGGAACACAGTCATCTAGCGCTCTTCTTTCTCACAAAATAGATTGGGTGACGACTCAGATTGAAAACGATTCCAAATGGTGACATTAGAGAGTACAGTGCGTGTGAATGGGTGTATGTATATACATGCAAGATGGGCTAAAATTTGGGAATTTGTGCGCAGAAACGGTCAAGTAAAGTCGAAATCGAAGTCTAGAACCCCCCCTTCCCCCCTTTTTTGTATCAGCGTCATCTTGATTTGACAGGAAGACTGACCGATGATGGAAGAGCGTCATGTCGCATCGTGTCAGATTGTGATCGTTTCACAAGTGTGCGCGCCCCTTTCTTCACCCTCAACAAGCAAACTCACAGGTCTGACCAGCCAATAGCAATCTGTGTCGTAGCCCACTTCGTCGTCGTCGTCGTCGCGCTGGAGAGCTTAGCAGAAGACTGGGTCGAGGTCGAGCAGCCTGCCTTGGTCCCTGTCCCTACTACTGTGACAGTGACCGTCGTCGTCACGACCGTCTTTGTCGCGCTCGTCGTGCTAGTAGCCCGAGACGTCGAGCTGCTGGTGGATGTGCTGGATGCGGGCTTGGTGGTACTGCTTGGCTTTGTGCTTGAAGTTGAGGTTGAGCTTGGTGTCGTCTTGGAGGTACTTGTCGCTTGGGTAGTGGATGCCTTGCTAGTAGTGGTCGCCTTCGCCGTCGTCGTCGTCGTCGTCTTTGCAGAGGCAGCTGCCATCCTCTTCACGTTGGCTCTCTTGCCACGGCCGGAGCCGACGTCTTTCACATCAACGCTCGCACCACTTCGCGCTCGGAGGAGATCCGCATCATGTATCTTCGCATTCGCGGTTCTATGCCATGTGGATTGCAGATGTGATTCCGAGACCTCTACTGGTGCAGCACTAGTGACGGCGGCTGCTAGAAGGACAGCCGTCATTGCGATGGCGAGGTAGCGCATAGTCGATTCCAAAGCAAATGCAGGGGTTGCTGAAAGGAGGCGTTCATACGTTATGATGAGGAGGTAAGATAGTGAAAACCAAAAGAGTCGGGAGGGAAACACAGAGAGGAGCTCGTGACCTCTTTAAGTGACTTGCCCTCGTCCACACACCTCTCGCCTAGTCATTCTGTTTGTTTTGCGCACCCTGAGGTGTTGGTGTCTCAGTAGGCCGTGTGGCGTCCTAGAATCAGAAACGGGCTATGCCGTTTCCTCGACTCTAGGGCGGCTTTGCGACCATGCCACAACCTGCTAGCGGCCTCAAGGCCACTACTGGCCAGACGCTGTTGCTGTTGCGGCGCGGGTGCGAGTGCCGCTCAGAGTGAGACCTGCCCCTGAGTCGGAGCGGAGCGGAGCATAGTGCAGTGTCTCAAGGTGAGACGAGGCGGCAGCGCGTGGCTGATCTCCCCGCGGGCGGGCGGGCAGGCGGGCTGTCAGACGCGCGCGTGTCGCGCCACGCCCTGTGCCGGGCGGGCGTCTGTGCAGAGGGCCATTGCAAGGGCAACCTAAGACGTCCATTGGCCCGGCCGAAGGGGGGAGGGGAAAGTGAGACAGAGGAATGCATCGATGCACCACTAATCCGCCGCCCCGCTAAGGGCGTGCAGAGTCTAGAAGTAGAGCATCTCATCCCTGACAGGGAACAGAAGCTTCCATATGTCGTCGTCGGAGGCGGGGAAGAGGTTGTTGTAAAGGTGCGCATCGTCGATACTTCCCGATCGCCCTTGCCCATTCGCTACCTCCGCCGCGGAAGTCAGACCATTGGCATTCAATGCTGCTTCATGAGCTGCACCTGACAATGAGTTGGACTCGTGTCCGCTGATCTGGTCGCGCTGCTGCTGCTGATGCTGATGCTGCCGCGGTGGATGCTGATGATGGCCCTGACCCTGCATGACATTCGTCCAGAGATCATCCTGGATCATGCGCTGAGTGCTGTCGACGGCCATACTCGAGCCTGTCTGATTTGCGACAAGACCAGGGGGAATTAGCACCGTCTTGCTCTGTGGATGCTGCGCAATGCCTTCTCCTCCCGCTATGAACCCTACTTGCTCGGGATCAGCGTCAGGCGAGGGTTCGTCAATCCCAGAGAGAAGATGCTTCAGGAGACGATGCATGTATGCAGGCATATCGTCTGGTGTCTTCGAAGCCTCTTCCGAAGACCTTGCGACGTTGGAAAGGACATCAAAGATCCGAGATCGATCGGCTATGGGCATACTGGCGTAATTCTTGACAAGCCAGATACTGGTCACTGCCAAGCTGACCCACGTGAGATTGAAGCAATAGGTCAGGTGTCCAGGCTGGGCGAAGTCCTCCTGAAAGACGCGAGAAAGAGCAAGCGCAGCATCGGTGCAGTCGCCAAATGCAAAGGCAAGTGGTCTCGCTTCGCCTGGATCAAGGACTTGCTCCGAGGTACGATAGCGTGCAGCATAAAGGAGGCGATATTCGCAAATGTGGAACCGATAGTAGGCGTCGAAGAGCTTCAAGGTAGACATCTGCTGTGGAACAAATCCAAAGCCAATGGGGTGCAGTAGCCATTTTGCTCTCCAGCGCTGCCACTCCTGCTCCACCCACTTGAGCATCCGCAGATTCGAAGCGTCGCCATTCATGCCGGCCAGCATGTCTGCATACAGTCGGCACATTCGACTAAACGCCACCGTCGGAGCTAGCACAATCTCTCCAGGCGTAGAGATCGTAGGATGATCAGAAGTGATCCACTCTGTGGGATCCGCTGCTCCTTCTTCTCCCATCATTCGGGGCAATGAGTGATGGATGGCGAGATGGTAGTCCGCGATGATCAGGTTCAGCCAAGTGCGCTCCTTGTTGAGGACATGCCGAGCCTGAATCTCGTCCGCTGGCAGGGGTCTTGGTGACTTGAGATGCAGCTTGAGCTCCTGAGCCATGCGAATGGCGTAGCCCACCCGGCGCCAGCTTGAAGAGTCGTCAGCCTTCTTCCACTGCGCCAGAATATTCAACGCTTGCACCACTTCGATGTTCGAAACGCCCGACTCAACGGCCTGTGCTACGAGCTTGTTCGCCAAGAGAAGGCAGGACTGATACACCTTTGGCCGCACGGTTCTCGAAGATACTGTCAGGACCGCGGTGAAGAGGAGGGTAGACTTCTGACGACAGTCACGCCAGCCATGAATGGCAGGGTCGAGCATAGCGATGGTGACGTTGAGGTAGCGAAAATAGAAGTCAAAGAGCTCGGCGCATTCTGACTCTGCCAAGAGCCCAACCGCAATTGGATCTGGGCAAGGTGGTTGATACAGCATCTTCTGTAGTATAGTATGCTCTCGAGCAGCTGGAGAGGAGGGAGATACGCCCTGATGGCCCATGTTCTCAGTGTTTCGTGAATGGTTGAGGCTTGATGGCTCCGATTGTCCCGTGATATGGGGCGAACAGGGAGACGCATTCTCGTCGCTGTGGATGATGTGGGAGAAGTGTATGTTGGGCCTGCGTGTAGAGGACGATTGTGGCAAAGATGAACTGGAGAAAGGACCCATCGAGAACGGATTGTAATGGTGAGGGCCTTCGAGAGAATTGGAAGAGGAGGGAGACTGTGGGCTGCGATGAGTTGATACAGACGCGTGCAGTTGCGAGAGAGATGGCAGGCGTGGTCGCACAGTTTGCAGACCCGCAGCTGAAGCCGATTGCGCATTGGTGGTAGCTGGGCGAGTGGGTGAAGCCGAGAGGGCGTCGCTCGCTTCGAGTCTGGGCTCCTTCTCTCTGGGTAGAGGATCAACCCAAGCTGCGTTGACTGCAGAAGTATCCGCTTCTTCATCCTCTCCGGTATCATGCGGTCCCTCTTTCCTCTTCCTCTGGCCCCGACGATGCTCGCGATATTCACAGAGCAGCCGATGGGCATTGCAGCGACGACATATCGTATTCGTATCCGGTGTGTGGCACTTGCGCTTCGCCCTTCGACAGGCTAGACATGACACCTTGCTCGAGTTGTTGGTTGCCGCCGCCGCCGCCGCTGCTGCTGCTGCTGCTGCCGCCGATGCACTCTGCGGCGAATCATTCGCGTCATTGTAGAGAAGCTGCCTTGCGGTTTGAGAATCAGCTGCCTCAATTTCAGAGTGGATCGCATCTGGGTAAGTCATGTGCTGACGGCGAGTCCTAGAGTCGGGAGAATGTGCAGACATGGTCGCTGCCGAGACGAGGTGTCCCAGACCACGAGCGCCTGCGTTCGCCACAGGTGGGGAAAAGGAGGATGTGTGGCGGTAGTAGGGAGGTTGGACGTACTTGGAAGTAGACTGCTGTCCATTGGCAGCCAGCTGAGTCTGCCCAGATGGACGCAGTCGATGCTCGGAAGTCATCCTACATCGGCAAGGGCGGGTAGTGGCATCGATGAGGAGACGAGATCTGCACAGGACCCAAGGCGGAAGCGGAAGCGGAAGGGCAAGGCCACGCCAAGGCGCTGGAGTGCTGAGTGCGGGGAAGAGGCCACACGCTGACGTTGTCATTGCCATCTATGGCGAATGAAAAGACAATCTGATTAAAGGGAAAGATGTACAAAAGGAAGGAACAGCCGTAGCGACCTTGTCTCTAAGCCTTCTTGTCGTCCTCGCTAAAGTTCAACGAGATCGAATTGACACAGTGGCGCTGCAAAAGGGAGAGAGAGAGGTGGCGAACTGAGCACTTTGATCGACCAACTCCCTGAGTAACAGCATGAGACTTTGTCAAGACTACTCACCTCGTCAGTGGGGTTGTTGAATCCCTCTCCCTCAAAGACATGTCCAAGATGACCACCACAGGCCTTGCAAGTAATCTCGGTCCTCTTCATCCCAAAAGTCCGGTCTACATGTCGGTCAATCGCGCCAGGCACAGCATCGAAGAAGGCGGGCCAACCACATCCACTCTTGAACTTCAAATCAGCAGTGTACAATGGACTATCGCAGCCGGCACAGGTGTACACGCCCTTTTTGGGGTAGTGCGAATCGTACTTTCCCGTGAAGCCAGGCTCAGTACCCTTTTGCCTCAGTACACGGAACTGCTCAGGGCTGAGCTGAGCGCGCCACTCTGTGTCGCTCTTGCCCTTGGGAAAGTTGGAGGCAGTGGAAGCGTTTGATCCCATACTGTAGTTGCGGATGTGTGGCGACGAAGGGCTGAGTTGAAGGGGAGATTGCTGATTGTGATTGTGCTGCTGAGCGGCAAGGGCAAAGGAGCCAGTGGCGATTTGAGGAGATGAGAGTCTAAGAGATGCAGAAGCTGCGAGTGCGAGTGTGAGTAAGGGTCGATGAGCGATGGTTGTTGGTCGAAGAAGCATCGGCAGGGAAGATGGGAGGAGGATAGACAAAGGCGAGGCAAAGTCACAGTAATTTGTCGTGTGCAATCATGAGCATGAGAGAACCAGAGAACAGATTTCCGGCCTCCACATTGTGTCAGCCATTTCCGCTCACGGAAACCGTCCAGTATCGTATGTAGCACAAGAAAGGCCACTACCAATGCCACAACTCATGCAAAGGAGAGCAAAACGATTTGTATTGACAATTGCAACGATAACCTCAAAGCTGTTCATCGGAATTCCAGCGCCTTTAGCCGTACATCTGCCAGTCGTACTGCACCGTGCTGCCCCACACGCTACAGGCCTGCAGCCTCTGCTGGCTCGCAATGCCCGACGCTCCATCCGATTTGGCACCCAATTGCAGCACATTGAGCTCAGTGACGCTCTTCGTGGTGCTCCACATTGGGTAGCCATCTGCATTGGGTGTACCTCCTCGCACAAAGGCGCCCCATCTGGCTCGCAGCTCCTTGCTGGCGGCGACGACAGCGGACGTGGCATCGGCAGGGTACGTGCCAAAGACGAGGTAGATGTCGTCTTCGTGGCAGACCTTGCCTGACTCCGTACAGTAGTCAATGTCAGCATTGTCAGGGTAAGTGTAGCCTTGGTGGTGCTCAGCGATGTAGACCTTGTGCCCAGCCGTAGCGAGGGCGAGGGCGGTGTGCTGGGACGAGCAGCGGAAGGTGCCATCAGTGCCCATGCCCTCAAGCAGCGCCCTGAGGCCGTCCTTTTGCCCTACAGAGGTGCTGTTCTGCTCATAAGCTGCATTGGTAGCAAGTTTTGTTCCTCGTCCGCCACTGTAGAAGATGTCAGCGGCGAACTGCAGTGTCACTTTGAACCAGGGAATAGAGGCGAGCGGTAGAAGCTTTGCATTCGCGGCAGTGGCTCCGATATTCGCTCCGACTACCGCGCCGGCCTCGTTCGGGACAGTAGAGAAGATGACCTTCCTCTTGGGACCGGCAGACGCATTCTTCTGCACATCGCCAGAGATGTATGAGCCCAGCATCGGTCTCCATGGTTCGCCGGCGGGAATGTTGCTGTGGAAGGTGTGAGCGGTGGAGAAAGCAATCTCACTGGCCTCGAGGACCTTGCTTGCCGAAGCTTTCCTGGCACAAGAAAGGGTGGAACACCACAATTGTAGAAGCACAGAATCGCCAAGAACGTTCTGTGTCTTGACAGAGCTCGCACCGTAATTCTCGGGGTCGCTTGCTATGATTGCTTGCGAGAAGAGGTCGTCAGCAGCCGGAGTACCAAGGAGGGCCCGGACCATGTGACCACCGCTGGATTGGCCAGCCAAGGTCACTTTGCTCTTGTCTCCACCGAGAGACCCAACATGGTCTTGAATGAAAGTAAGAGCCATCACAACGTCGCGCACAGCCTGGTTGCCCGCGACTGTAGAGCTGCCTGCAGCGCCGCCCTTGGTCTCGTCAAAGGTTGAAGCGGTTTGCAGCCAGCCAAAGACTCCCAGGCGGTATTGCATAATAACGACGATGATGTTCTGCTCTGCAGCCAGGAGGGAGCCGTCCAGCCCTGCGTTGCGAGCTGAGCCTCCGATGAAGGATCCGCCTGGTAGCCAGACAAGGACGGGAAGTGCCGAAGAAGTAGTAGCGTTGGCAGGGACATAGACGCTATTGTCAAAGAAGAAGAGTAGACAGATGAGCAATTACCCCACTGCCATTGAGCTCAGACTTCCTACTCACTCCATGAACAAACAGTCCTCGCTGAAAGATACTCCATCGTCTGTAGAGTCACCACTCTGCATACACCCGCTTGCCTGGACAGCTGCGCTGTAATTGCTAGGCAATGTCCCCAACTTTAGCGTGTTGGCGAAGCGGAGTCCTCCTACAGGAGGTTGAGCATATGGAAGGGTGTAACGCACAGCGTTCGACAGAGTGGCGGGCTTGACTGTGCCAAGGTTGGTGAGCGTTGCAGAGGTGGCTAGCGAGGACTGAGCAGCCGACCTTTGTCGGACCGGTGAAGCGGATGCTGGGCCAGCGAGAATGGCAATGGCGAAGGCCCCAACAAGGAGTAGACTCAGAGAGACGCGGAGAGCGCGAGCGCAGGACATGCCTGAGAATGTCATGAGAGAGTGGTAGAGGGTGCTTGACGGAACTTGATGTGAGTGAGTCTTGAGGGCGGCGACCTGCGCACGTAGAGGTGTGTGACGACTTGTGCTGCGAAGAAGCGTTGACGGCAAGAAATGAAGGATGTTTGACAGCAACCCGGCAAAGGTTCGACGCGGACTTCCGCCTATATAGCATTGTCCGCAAGCATGAAGTACAGGGCAGGAAGCGCAAGGTACAAGACCTTGCACACAACTTCTACTAACGCCCTGGACAGTTCAGGGGCCTCCGTCGTCCGTCGCCTGTTCTTCGTCCCGCATGTTGCTCCTCTGGGCATTGTCATTACTTGCTATTCGTTTTGACATGCGCCGCTCCTACTCATTGTGCTACCCATGTTTATACTTCAGCCGTGCCTGGCGCAGACAAAGGGAGATCGCATGGAGCTCCACCGTCTCAGATAGTGTTCCTGACGTCCCCGAGGTCGTGTCTACCGAGGTTGAGGCGTCCAAGGGCAGCCCCTGAAGGAAGACCTCCTGTTCCTGGGCGTCGAGTGGGCGTCATCAGCAATGCCACCTGCAGACCTCATCACTGGTGAGGGACACACAGAAGGGCGTTGATTGGGCTGAGTGACGCCCTAGAGGCTTGTGCGACCCTCCGATGCTCAAGAGTAGGACAAAGGGACCACCGGCAGGCGTTGCAACCGCGGAGTACCGCATTTCCGGGTCCTTCGGCCGATGGGCAGGACGTGCAAGCCACGCGCTTTTGAGCCTTCCAAAGCCCGGCGGTGTGGAGAAGGATCCCATTCCGGGGAAAGGGGTGGTGGTACACATGACTGCAGGCAGATAGAGCAGTGTTTCACTTCCCTGCTTGCAGACCTTTCATCAATGATCAAAGCTACATCATGACGCTGGTATGTATGGTACAAGGTATGCCAAATGATGGAAGGCAGGCACCTATCTAACACCTCTCATCGTCCACAACTTGCAGACACTGTACTACCTCGACAATTCGCGAGCCTTCAGAGTCCTGTGGACCGCCTTCGAGGTGAGTGGCTACCAGAGCCCAGACTTCGAACGAGTGCCTACACGCTTACTCTGTTCCCGATCCACCAATGGTAGCTGGGCATCGGAGACCAGGTGAAGGTCAAGACATTCCCCCGCGTGAACGGCAAGAAGGCCGTTCCGGAAATGTCTAAGAACTCGGGCTTCTCCCTCGGCAAGTCCCCTTTCATCATCGACGACACAGACGGTGAGGAGGTGCAAGTGTACGAGAGTGTGGCGTGTATAGAGTACCTCATCGAAAGATACGGTAGCGGAAAGGGCATGGAGCTTCTACCGCCCGTAGGCAAGTGGGCAGAACGCAGTCGTGCCTCTGCGCTCCTCTCTTTCTGCGAAACGCCCTTCACGCATGCCCTACCCATCGTCTACTCTCAGTGGTTCATGCCTGAAGGCAATGAAAGGATCCTTAAAACGCTCACTTCCAGCATGGCCGTCAATGTTCAAAAGGACCTCGACTTCTACGAAAGCACGATTGCCTCCAACAAGGACAAGTACGGACCTCAGGACGGTCTCTACCTCGCAAACGGCAAGTTCTCAGCAGCGGACATTGCCAATGCCTTTTCGGCAGAGTACGTTCTGGCCAAGGCGATTGGAACGGAAGACAAGAAGTGGCCCAATGTCGAGGCTTGGCTGAGATTGATTGAGGCGAGACCGGGGTACAAGGAGACGAAGAAGGCTGCGGGTCTGCATGACTTTACGCTGCTGGAGCGGGAGGGCGGGAATTTGTGAATGCATTGCCATAGAGATGCGAGAGGAAGGACAAGGGGTCGGGACCACGGCGATGGCTTAGTTGGTTTGCCCTCCATACCACCGTGCGAAAATAGGACATGAATGAAGTGCGTGCAGATACAGTGTCTTCGTAAGATTCGTCATCGCCGATTCGAGATCGGCATCGTAAAAAAGAGGGGACGTCATCAGAAACAGGACCTGGGACTCAGCAGGCGCGTGCTTTATCACCAATTTCCGGTGGCCCAAAGGATCCAGATGGCGGCGGTGATACCGAAGGTCAGCAGTCTTCCCACCGGACTGCTCCTGGAGATTTCCAAGCCGATACATTGAACGTTGTACGTCAATTTGTTCGACAGGTTGACCCCAATGTCACCCGAAGTCGTCGTCGTAGCAGGAAGCTTCGCATGAGCTCTCTTGGGAATGGTCACCTGGAGATTGAGGGAGACACTGATGGGTATTCTTGGGCCCTTTTGCTTCTTGACTAGCACTTCGTAGCCTGGCCTGCCTTTGCCCGTCACCGAAGAGACTCTGGCGCCGTCTTCCTTGATCTGGCGCTCGATGGCCGTAAGCTTGCCAGGCTTTCGATGACTGGCATTTCTGTCCGTCGATGTAGTCATTTTAGAGTCGGGAAGGAGCTCTTTGGCACCCTCGGTTGTGGGAGGCTCGGCCACCTTTGCTTTTTCCACTCCTTCTGGCCCCACAGCCTTAGACTTTACGTCGTTGACCTCTTCGCTTTGTTCAGCGCTCTCAATGCTCGGAGCCGCACCTGTGAGGGCGGCTGTTACTTTGGCGTCTTCAGCGCTCGGCTCCTGTGCCACTGTTGCCCCTTCCAACGCCCCGGTTGTGTCGCTCTCGGCCTTCACGGGCGCCGAATCAGCGAGAATCGAGGCACCGGATTCGACAGACTCGGCTGGAGCCTGTGAGACTTGAGCGCTTCCGTCCGAGCCATCGTCGTTGCCAGCGTGGATCACCTGCATACTAGGCGGCACAAAGGCATCAAGCGCATCGGCTTGCTCTGGTCCGACAGCACCTCGCGTGTGTCCAATAGCACCAGGTGTCTCTCTGATGGCACCTGGAACATCTCCGGCAACAATTGGTGCCTCCATTATAGCACCTGGCCTGCCCTCGGTAGCACCTGGCGTCTCCTCCGTCACGCTGTCGCTAGCCTGCACAGACTCGACCACGTCTGCTTCTTCCTCTGCATCGGCAGTCATCTGCGAAGCGGAGAAGTTGCGACGTCTGCGTAGTCGAGGTTCAGAAGTCTCAATGAATGGCTTCGCCGATTCAAGGGGGGGACTCAGTCCTGACTGAGACTCTTCATTGCTTGGCTCAATCTGTTCGGCAAGCACACTACGCTCGTTGCGCTGGCTCTGCTCTTGAAAGCTGTCAAGCTCACTCTGGCGCCTTTCCTTGTCTTGCTCGTTGATGAGCTGCTTCTCGGAATGAGCGCGAAGCTCAGCGGTCGCCCTGTCTCTATCCACCTCGGAGAGATTCTCGCTGTGCTTGGTAGCTTGCTCGAGTACTTGAAGGGCCTCTGCCGGCATAGGCAGATCACTGCCTAGTCCTGTGCTTTCCTTCGCAGCTGTAGAAGAGTTGTTGCGACTTTCTATTTCCTTAAGACTTTGGAGAGCTGCACCAAAGGATTCAGTACTGACCTCGCCAAACACTTCAGGCTCTTTGTAATCGCCCCCGACAGGCTCGGCATTCTCGCCTGGCGAAGAAGGAGCTGAGCTTCTACTACCTTGAGTATCGGCCGTGGAGTCAAATGTAACATTTCTGCTTCTTGGTAGAGATTCATCGACACTATTTGTTGTGGCTCTGAGCCTGCGTCCAAGCTGCACAGGGCTAACGCCAGCGTCATGCTGCGGCCCGACTAGTGAGCTCCTCCGTTTAGGAATGCTATAGCTGCCAGCAAAAGAGTCGTCAACGGAGCTACCCTGACCAAGCTCAGCGCTGTTTGGGCTTTGTGGAGCCCGATTGCTGTTGCCAGATTCGCGTAGACGGGCGACAGGGCCTAGCTGTGGTGTCTGGGGCCTCTTGGGAGAGTCTGAGGCGATACTGCTAGCTCTGCTATGAGTGGTACCTCGCTCGGGTGCATTGAATTGGGTGAGGAGTGCCGATACTGATGTAGTGGTGAGTGCGGGGGAGGCAGAAGTTGTCGAAATTGAGGCAGGAAGGGCGTGAGTGGTGCTGGAAGAGGTAATCGCTGCAGGCGCTGAGGGCCTGGGCATATCCAAAGAGATGGGGCGCCCCTTTGATGAAGTCCCTTTTTCCGGCCTCATCGCAGACGAGTCGACTGAGCGACGAGACAGCGGAGCGCCGAGATAGACGATGTTAGATGGAGTAAGGATACGAACGAAGTCTTTTGGGCGATGAGGACCTTGTGGTTCTGGCGGGTGACCAAGGTTCTTGCGTTGCTGAGACCTCTTGGATCGATCTGTCGAAGTGGACGTAGGCATTATGCCATCGTCGACACGATGAGGCGGTGCAGTGACGCTACGTCGACCGAGCAAACCATAGATACGAGGGCAAGGTAGAAGAGGAAGGGGTGTGAGGTGGTCAGCGTGCGAACATTAGCCATCGAGATCAGGCCTGGCCTTCCTGACGCCCGCCGTACCTGCCTTCGCGTGTGGAGCAGTGGTGGCTTGGTCCGACTCCGCTCCCCTTCCGCTCCGACGCAGCCGACGGGAAGAGAAGATCCTCTTCACCCTCTGCACTTCTCGCCGCCTCGAATCCAACACTCACCTCGGTAGATTCACCATAGTCGGCATTCTCAGGTCTGTGGTGCGGCGTGTACATGGCATCGTCTTCGTCCAGGTCAGCATGGCCGCAGCTTCGTCTGGTGAGATCTCATGCCCTCCCACCACGCAGCACGCCCCCGGGCTTGCGTATGCCTAGTACACATAGCCACCGCGGCCCCTCCACGGCGTCTTCTTCTTCTTGGTCTTCCTTCTCATCCTCCGCTCAGTCATCATCCTTTACGGTACACACCCCACCGGCGCCTTCGAAATCATGGTACCAGAATCGCAACCGCAACGGGCAACCCAGACCACCTCGAGCGCAGGGCGACCCCCACAACCAAGCACTTTACGACTTTCGCGTGGCCCTCACTCAGGGTGATCTAGACAAAGCGTGGGATGCTCGACAAAGGTTGGTTGAGCTCGGTACTCTCCAGACCATCGGCGAGGTGGGACGAAGAGATCTTCGAAAGCTCGTGAGGCGAGGCAAAAGCGGAGTAGGGAAGCCCACTACGCTCGATCTGGACGAATGCGCTGCAATTCTCATCAAGGAGGAGACAAGGCTCGCCGTCGAATCGACGAGAGGTACTGAGATTGTCCGATGGATGTTGCAGTACATTCGTATAGGAGAAGATGAAAGGGCAGTAGCAATTGCAAAAGATTATCTGGACCTTTCGGGCTTACGCGAGCTCCCCTTGGACAAGGGAAAGGAGCGCGAGGTCGAGGCTGAAGCAAAAGGAGGCTCAAACGAAGAGTCCGAAGAAGCCGCAAGTATCGCAGCAGAGCTCGACGAGAGCGAAGTTGCTAGGCAGACAGCCTCATCGGACGCTCGCCTGATGCTGCCTACGTTCCTGCCCGACCTGCTAATCCTTTTGGCCCACCTCACTGTCAAAAGGGAGGGCCACGCAAGGAGTATGCTGCCTCTTATGCGCCAATTACCCATGCCCGACCGAACAAAGCTCTGGATCTACAGCAGGGTCAGGATCGAGAAGCTGCTAGCCAATGCTCAGAGAGAAGACGATGAGAACAAGTCGACGTCTCAGCTAGCTGGAGAGCTTGCGCCAATTATCTACGCTCTGGAACTCGCTTGGGGTCTCGATCGGCCGCAAGCACAAGTGCGGAGCAATGCTCTTGCCAGACTGTTCGGCGACCTCTTCGCCAAGGGAAATTTCAATGCTGCCCTGGGTCTGCTCGACGCTCTGATAGACGGAACACGCGGACCGGAAGCTTGGTTGTGGGTCAGTGGCCTACCACGCTCCGACGCTGTGCCAGCTTCGACTCCTAAGCCCGACGTCGATGATTATGTTTGGGCAACATTACTGTCGGGCTCTCTCATGAAGGGCAAGCTGGAAATAGCTTCCAAAGTCTGGTCCCACTTGATCTCTCTCGGCATCAAGCCATCTCAGCAAGTCTACAATGCGCTTCTCAAAGGGTATGCCCAGTTGGGTAATTGGGATGCGCTTGAGAGCGTCTGGAGTGAACTTACGGCTCAGACGGGACCATCTGCTGGGCCGGACATGTACTGCTACACTACCATGATCACTGCACTCTTCCAATCCCGGAGGATTGACGACGCTATGGACCTCTTTGAAGAGTACAAAAACAAAGCTGCCAGCGCTGAGAGAGCCGCCAACAGCCTCTCTCAAAAAAGCACGTCTGTTGTCACGTATAATGCTGTTCTCTTTGGTCTACTCAAGGGTGAGAGGGACGCACAAGCAAAGGCGTTACTCGCAGCGATGCTGTCGCCTACCAAAGCGGCGTCGGTTCCAGGACCCAACACTTCTACGCTCAACACTATGCTTCGAGCCTACGCTCGGGTCGGTAACCTCACAGCGTTGACGGACTTGCTCACGACTTCGCAGAGCTGGAATGTCATTCCGGACGTGATTACCTACACTACCGTTCTGGATGCTCTCATCCGCCATGGAGCTCCAGGCTCCAGCGCTCGGGCGGTGTCTGCAGTGCATGGCATGATGAAGGCAAACAACATCAACATGACTCCAGTGACCTGGACAGTGCTACTGAAGGGCCTGCTAAGGGACAGCAGCACATCAACGAACGAAGTAGGGCAGGACGCTGTGCCATCAGATGTTGCTGCGTTGCGAATGAAGCGGGAACAGATTGCTACCGGTCTCGCCCTGGTGTCAGAGATGGTGGGCACCGGGCATCGCCCCAATGAGGTGACATGGACGGCTTTGATCCAGTCCGGTTGCGATCTGCAGCGCATCATCGATGAAGGCGACTTGGCGAACACCAATGGGAATGGCACGTCACCTGATATCAGCCTACCACAAGGTGCCAATATCGGCGCTGTGCTGACACCAGTTGCACCTCTCAAGGAGAGCAACAGGTCGATTGAGCGTCTTCGTTCCCTTCGACCAGGCACCTTTCTGACTCTGAGCATCCTCGAGTCTATGCGCAGAGACTACATCCAGCCCAACCGCAAGACCTATCACTTCCTGCTCGCCTCTCTCCTCCGAGCCATTCCTGGATCCGCTCCCTCGCAAGAGCATCTCGAAGCTGCTCGTGCTACTTTTACTCGAGGTCTCTCGGTGCTAGATCATTTTTGCGCTCAGCTCTTCACAATGACTACCGCGCCTCCCTCTACTCACAATCCGCTACAGCAGAGGAGCGATTCGGCGCCGATCCGTTTGAGGACCCTGGTGCCTCCTACCGCGACACAGGCGGGCTCGAGGAAGTCGTCGAATCTTCCCCCAGAGCCAAACGATGTGTCGATGAGGATCCTCCTCGAGGCGCTCCTCTGGCGCTTGAACGCTCTTTCCTCCATTGCACAACCTCTGCGTAACCAAGCAGTGAGCGCGAGCGGGAGCGGGAGCTCTTCTGTGACGGTAGCTATGCTGCAGGAGGTGGAGAAGGATCTGGATCTGACAAAGTCGGTAATGCAGGAAGCGCTAGTCAGACTGAAGGTTGTGAATTTACTGCGGGCTAGCAGGAGAGAAGGGATGGGTGGGGATGGAGCGAGTGCTTCCTTGGCGAGGATGAGGGAGAGGGTAGAGGCGATTGTCAGTGCGTGACCCTCAGCACGAGATCAAGCCTTTGTTTTTTCCTGTAGTACAGTAATCTATTCACAGCATCTCCCAATTCTTCTCTTGCTCCTTTTGATATTGGCGACTCGACTCAACTCAGATGGAAAGCTTCCTCTCCGTTCCGACCCCCCGCCCTTCGGACCCTTATACTACGACGACGCGGAGAGAAGGGCCACGCGAGGATGAGGATGCGGAGCCTGGAACTCGACCCCGGTCGGTGGCTGGGGAGCACTTGCCCGCTCTCCTTTCCGCCCCCGGCGGCTTGGAGCTGAGTTGAGCGGAGCGGAGCTTGAATGGCTGCTGCAACCATCTTTTGCTTGGCAATGAGGCTTGGCTTGGCCTTTGAGACTTGGTGGGGGGATATTGGGGGTTGCTGCCCTCTGCCTCTGCTTCTGCCTCTACCTCTGGGAGTTGCTCTTGCTCTGCTACACAGGGTCCTCATGAGCGGAGAGGAGAGGCAGAGCGAGAGCAGAGGAAGAGCAAGAAGAGGACCTCAGATCTGTCAGCCTCTCGGGTGTGTGTGGTGGGCAAAGACCAAGGCCGTCAGTCGTCGGGCGTTGGTCGTCTTTCCTCCGTAGACTCTGCTCCTTTCTCCGCACTCCTCACTCTCCCCACTCCCCACCCAACATCACCTCATCTTTGGAGCCAAGAAGTCGATTGAGAGTGACATTGACGTACGTCTCCCCTCTTCATCGTCATCGTCATCCTTGCTCACCGTCCGGCATTTGGGAAAGAAGCCGCCTGCATCGTCTGATCACCGGCACAGCCACTGCATTCCGTTTTAGTCTATCTCTTCTGACCCCTTCCCTTGCTGGACCCTGTTCGAGACCTCCTCTAGGCATTACGACATACCTCTCTCACCATTCTATTGGTCTCGTAGCGATCTATCATCCTTATCCGTATCTTGCTCTGCTCTGCTCTTGCTCTGCTCTTGCTCTTCCCGTTGAAGCCACTTTACACCCTCAACCTCGGCCTGCCTTGCCCAGACACCGCCCCCCCCCCCTCCCCGTTCCGGCGTCTGTCCATCCATTCACTGCCCACAGCAGGCCACCTTGTCAATCGAGGCAGCAACAACAATAACGACACCTCCTCCTGCTGCCATTCAAGCAATTTTCGCCGCTCTGCAGGACATCTACATCCGAGACTTGTAGCATAGCAGCACACTCCTCAGAGCGAGCGCCGTACAACGAGAGCCAATCTTTCTTCGCTGCTTTGCGAGCCAGAGCCTCGGCGCTCTTGCCCTTCCTTGTAGTGAGATAGCGCTCTTTACTGCCCATCCAGGGCCACCTCAATACCACTTCCCTGTGCAGGCCATGCGGCCTCCCACTGGCTCAGGCCGCAAGCTTTCGGCTCGCCACGTTCTTTCTCTCCTCGGGCTTCTCATTCTCTCTGCAACAACAGTGTTAGGTGAGCTTGGTTTGCGAGGTCGCCTGTGATGGTAGCTAGGCCAGCCCAGTGGCGTCTCATGCTGACCGTGTGCTGACCCTGACCCCGTCTCCTTTGCTGCTCGCCCCTCAGCCTCCTCTTCACGGCCCAATCCCCTAAAGCGCATCAGCTACGCCACCGATGCATGGATTGATGTAGTTTCAAAGCGGATACCCTCTGCTGAGGATAGCTCGCAGCTCCAATGGCCCTCACCACAAGAGGCAATCTCACCGGCCTCTCGGAGACGCTCCCCTACTTCTCAGCCACCGCAAGTGCGATCCTCCGACTCGATCAGACTGAGCGTCCGGAGCTTTGACCAGACCTTCTTTCTCCATCTGGAGCCCAATGATAACATCGTCCCGCCCGAGGGGGCCAAGCTGAAGGTGTGGCGATTCGATGAAGCTACTGGAGAGGATGTTATGGTGAGGGAGGAGACACTACGCAGGCAAGACGTCAGGGCTTACCACGGTGTAGTAGTCCACGAGAGCATCACAACGCAAAGAATGCGCGAGGATGAGCTGGGAGTGAGCAGGACTCGTATGGGAGTAGACGACGTCGGCGTCATGGGCCCTGCCGCCATCCTACTTCACGATGATGGCGCCGTTTCAGGAGTTCCCCGCTTCGAGGGCACATTTGAGTGGAACGGCAACATCCACACGATCCAGTCTGCACAGGGCTACAACAAAGCTCGACAGGCTCTCGATCCTCGCCCACACAAGCGTAGCTTGGACGAGGACCACCTCATCATGCATCGAAGCTCAGACTTCATGACTGAACGTGACATGATGGACTTGGGTCTGCAACCGCGGGCTGAGGAGTCTACTACCGGCGGTTGCTCCTTCAGCGGGCACGACTACAACGCTAACAATCCCTTGATCCTCTCCGAATTCAACAACTTCAACACTAGTCGGTCGCCGATGGACTTCTTCGTCAAGAGGCCCACCGAGTCACCATCGCTCCACTCTATGATGAGGAGGGGATTGTCGTGGTGGGACGCCAGCTCCGAAGATCTCTTTGACCGAAGGGAATTCGACTTTCCCTCCGATCTTGGGTCTCGCTCTTCGCCCTTTTCGTACGAAGTAGAACACGAGAAGCTCCTGGCTAAGAGACAAAGTGACGGTCGTGGCTCCGGCGGCAACACCAGCTACGTCAGCACCATTGGTGACACCAGCGGTTGCCCCAATTCTGCCATGGTTGTATACGTAGGAGTAGCAGCCGACTGCACCTTCACCGCCGACCATAACGGAAACGCGTCTGCCACCAGCTCTGCTGTCCTCAACATTATGAACTCGGTCAGCATCATCTACCGCAACACCTTCAATGTCTCTCTCGGAGTCGTTGAGCTCGATGTTCGCGATTCTACCTGCTCGACCAACAATGGTGACACAACGTGGAATCAGGAATGTGATGCTCTCACCCTCGACGATAGACTTAGCGCCTTTTCCGGATGGAGAGGTAGCCAACCACCAAATGGCATCGGAGTGTGGACTCTTCTCACGTCTTGCAATTCGGGAGCTGAAGTGGGTGTAGCCTGGCTAGGCACCCTTTGTATGGTTGACGCTTCCTCATCTGGGGGAGACACCGTCTCAGGTGCAGCTGTCAGTGCTTCGAGTGTGCGAATCTCTCAAGTCGTAGCGCATGAGATTGGTCATGTCTTTGGTGCGGTGCATGACTGCACCACTGGCTGCTCCATCAGTGGCAACCTAGCTGTGCAGGGAGGATCTTCAACCTGTTGTCCTCAGAGTAGCAACAGCTGCAGCGATGGCGGTGCCCACATCATGTCCCCCGTCGCCTCCCAGTCCACTACAACCTTCTCGCCCTGCTCCATCGGCAACGTCTGCAGTTTGTTGAGCGGTGGGCTCAACACCTCCTGCATCGAGACGCAAGGTCAACGAGAGACCGTCTCTGCTCAGCAGTGCGGTAATGGAATCCTAGAAACTGCGGCTGGAGAAGAGTGCGATGCTGGACCCAACGGCTCTGCCTGCTGCACTACCGACTGCAAGCTGGTCAGTGGAGCAGTGTGCGATCCTTCTTCCAGCGTATGCTGTGAAGACACTTGTCAATTCGCCTCGAATTCGACCGTCTGCCGACCCTCCAAGGACGGTTCAGACTGTGACACGGTAGAGTACTGCTCTGGTACTTCAGATGAATGTCCAGCCGATACCTACCGCGACAACGGCAGCGGGTGCGGGGACGGTCTCTCTTGCGCCAATGGCCGCTGCACATCTCGTGATCAGCAATGCCAGGCTCAGACGGGCGGTTCCGTCTCCTATACCCGCGCCTGCGATGCAGGTGGGGACAATTCGTGCGCGCTGAGCTGTCAAGATCCCTCTAGCTCCCTCGTCTGCACCATCTTCCAAACCAATTTCGTCGATGGAACCAAGTGTGGATCGGGTGGATACTGTCAGTCTGGATCGTGCGAGTACGGTAGTGGATCCAATGCCTTTACCAGGTGGTACAGGAACAACCTGCGGATAGCCATCCCAGTCACCATTGTCATCGGCATCCTCGTACTGCTGATCCTAGCCGCTCTAGTCAGACGATGCTGCTGTCCGACTATCGACTCCAGACGTAAAGGAAGGCGCACCATGGGGGGTGGATTGGTGGGAAATAGACGAGACAACGTCGGCAGACAACAGAGACCCTTTGGCCCTCCTCCTATGAGGCAGATGCCCCCTGGCCACGGACAGGGACAGGGACAGGGACAGGGAGGTCCGCCGTCTGTCCCGCCAAGGGCTTATAGCCAGGCACCCTACGAGAGCTATCAAGCCCCGTCGCAGGGGGCACCTCCCTCCTACGCAGGAGGAGGTGGAGGGTGGGTAGATCCGACGGCTTGGAATGGTCCGAATGGCCGGCGGTAGAGCGACAGTGCTGAGGGGACTGTTCGTCAGTACGCTGGCAGAGAGGGAGGTAGCATCGACTTTTCACTTCTCTTACACATACACAAACACGGACACAGAGACGGACAGACAGAAACAGAGACTTTGCATTTTCATCAACTCTTCGCGGAAGCCTTTCTCACTCCCTCACTTCCCTCCACTCCCTGTCTCTCTCCAGCCCCAGGCCAGACTCACGCATGTCCTGCCTCACAGCGCATCGCTTGGATTCTGCAGCTTCCCCGCCGGCCTTTCTCCTCTTCCCTTTTTCCATTGCTCCATCTCAAAGCGGGGACACTGTACTCTTCCATTCACGCTACATGCTACGCACTCCTCTTCACGCCACGCATGCTACGCACTCTCTCTCTCTCTCAGTCCCGTCTCGTCCCGTCCCACATGGTAACTTGTAAATACGCTGTCATTCCTATTATCGTTGATCAACGTCTTTTGATCATGGCGCGTGTGTCGTGTGTCGTGTGACTTTCGGAATTCGGGCCTCGAGGCTCGAGGCTCGCTGATAGTGGTAGCGATGTCTGCCTAGCGCCAGTCTCTCCCTCCCCTCCTGTCTTCTTCTTCTTCTTCATCCTCAACTTCACCCCCGCCCCCACGACCAGCAGCACCGCCACCGCCAGCACCGCCACCATCAGTGGCAAGCGTCTCCCTCACCACTCCAATCGCCCACTTCAATCGAGCATAGACTACTTCGTCTTCTCCAACTAGCTCCTTTAAACTATCCTTGTCCTTACCCCCCTTCCTACTCTTACTGGTACCACTCCTTGCAGAAGTAGAGGTAGCGGAGGAGGTAGAAGTGGAAGTAGAAGTGGAAGTGGAGCTACTCCACTGTTGAAAGAACCAAGCAAGTCCAACGACCAAGTCTGGATTACGGAGTAAAGAAGGACGGAAGAGATTGCGAAGCGCATGGGGATCGCCTGCTCCCTCTTCTTCTGCCTCTGCTTGTCCGCTGTTGCTCTTCTTGCTACCGCTACCGCTGCGGCGATCGCTGGATTTGGTCTTTCTACGTGGGAGAGTGAGCGAAGGTGAATTGGTTTGCGTGGAGAGGAGGAGGTGAACCATTAGTAGGTGTAGGAAGTGGGTTGAGCGGGGCTTGAGGGTTGAAAAGGAGATGGTCTGATGTGAGGTCATGGCCGAAGGGAGGGGAAGAGGGAAGTCAGTCGCTAGACCCGCCGGCTGTGCACCCACCCACCCGCTTGCTGCTGCTGCTGCTGCTGCTACTCACGCGAAGAACATTGAGTCCCAAGGCACCTTTTGCGATCCACCAACCGTAGCACCTGGCCAAGTGCCACATCTTCTGTCTAGCCAACTCTCCTTTTCTCCCCTCTTCCTCCCCTCCCTCTCCCTCATCACCAAAAGCTCCCTCGTCGTCCTCATCGTCCTCATCCTGATTAGCAATGACGCTTCTTCCTCCTACTCTCTTCTCCCCAATACTCCTCAGATAGTCCCAAAGACAAAATTGCATCGTCACTTTTACACCCGCATCCCTCTTTGCCAATTCCACTCCCACGAGCGAGTAGAAGGGGTTGTACACCTCTTCTCGTTCTAGCACATGCAGAAGCACACGGACGATTTCTCGACGTTGGGTGTCGGAGAGTTTGAGGGTGAGGAGGCATTGAGAAGAGGAGAGGTAGTCTGTTGAAGTGAGGAGGGTGGAGAAGATTTGACGACGAGAGGGCGTGTTCATGCCGTGTTGTCGTGCGAGGGCAAGGAGAGCCGCTTGACTCCCGCTCCCGCTCCCCGAGGAGGTAAGGTCGTCTTCTGCCTCGTCTTCGACTTCGCCGATGCGACGCAAACGGGACTTGGCAGTCACGCCTCTAGCTTCACCGCCGAGAGCTGTTGAGCTCTCTTCGCCCACCAGATCGCCCTCTTGACCCTTCCACCCCGCGCCTACGAGCCACCACTTGCCCCTCTCTCCCGCCTCCTCAAGATCCCTAAGCACGACACGCAGCGCCTCGCGTCCCTTGACTGTGCGCTTTTTTTCCATTCCTGCAAGGTACTTCTTGAGCTGCCCGAGAAGCTGAGTAGAGGCATCATTGGCCTGGGCAGCGGCAGCTTTGGCGCGATTGTTCTTGAGGTCGTTGAGCGTCTCGAGCATGAAGCGGGTGCGGGTGGACGAGGACGAGGTGCTCTTGGCGCACTGCTCCGTCGCGAGCGTAACGATGGACTTTAGGGAGGAGGCATCGTCAGAGCGTAGCTGAGGTCCACAAGTCTTGACCAACTTGAGCAGGAGTTCCACATCCAGCTCGGTCATTGCATTTGTGTTTGGCTTGCGGATCGTAGAGCTGGACCCTGAGCCGAGGAAGAGCTTGATGAGGTCATAGATGAGCGGGCAGGCCACTACCTGGAGATTGTACAGGTGTGCAAGAAGAGTGACGAGGTTGGTCATCTCCTTGCCTACCTCTGCTGGCTCATTGGCTCCACTGCCGTTTGCCGCGCCCTGTTGACCGTTGAGCGCATCTCGGTAGTACTGGCTGACCCTACCGACAAGGTCCTGGATCAACCCAGCGGCAAATTCAATACCGACTACCTTGACCAGTCCAGCGACAAGCCCAGCCTGGATTACGACGAATGTGTCGGTCAGCAGCAGATTGCTGCGAGCTGCAATGGTGTCGAGGATGAGCTTCGTGAGGGTCTGTGAGACTTCTGCTCTCGGATTGGCAGAATAGATTCCCTCGATGGATGTCAGGATCGGATCGAGGTTGGAATCACCTAGACGATTCAAGAGACCTTGGAGCTGGCGGGGCAGATTGGGGTTGCTGGTCGGAAGGGCTGAGGAGGAAGAGGATGCGGCACTTGAGGCTGCAGCGGCGGCGGCGGCAGCTCGTGCTGCTGGAGGGATATAGCGGCCTGTGGCAGGTTTAAGACTGGTCTCCGTGGATGAGGCTGTACCGTTGACAGCTGACTGAGGCGAGGGCACCTCGGCATCAGGCGACGGCACTGCTTGGCCCTCTAAGGCTGCCTCGCTACCCTCCTCGCTATCTTCTTCTTCCTCTGAGAAGCCAGCGAAGTCCTCTTCTTCTTCCTCATCACTCTCCTCTTCGTCTGACTGATCTTCATCGTCTCCGGTAGAGAGCTCCTCGTCTTCGCCTTCGCTTTCCTCTTCGTCTGACTCGTCTTCATCGTCATCGTCGTCTCCTTCCTCGTACATGCCCGGATAGAAGCGGTCTAGCTCGCCAAGCAAAGCTGTCATGGAGGGAGAAGACCAGTTCCGTCAGCGTCCTCGACACATTCAGCCACGCCTCTTGAGATCTACGCGGGGCCACTCACCATCGAGCCCATCCTCATCCTGTCCAGCAGTCTCCTCTTCATCATCATCCCCTCTCTTGCCTTTGCCGCTCTTCTCTTTTTTGCCACGCCCGAGCATAGCCTCCAACCAGGCAATTTCCTGCTCTTCTTCCTTCTCCTGCTGTGTCAAAGGGGCACCTCTGATGCGTTTCGAGCTCGAGCGGCTCCTGCTAGGCGGTGGCCTAGAAGAAGTGGCCGAGGACTTGTCGAGGAGACGTTGTAGAGGCGTCTTCTCGTCTGAGGCGACGTTCCGCCTTTGTTTACTGGGATCACTGCCATTGGTCGCTGTGACCGAAGAGGAGGAAGAAGAGGATGCGTCTACTCTTTGCTTCTTTGACTTGGGCGGCTCCCTGCTTCTCGTCTGCTCCTCTTCGCTAGATGAGGTGACGTCTTCCTCGTCGCTTCCTTCATCATCATCGTCATCATCATACTGGCGTCTCTTTCCTTTGTTGATCTGTGTGGAGCCATTGAGAGGTCTACCAGAGGAGTGATTGCTGCCATAGGGGTCCTGTCGTCTAGGCTGAGTGGAATGAGCAGCATGCTGCCCCTTCGCTGACTTCTTCTCCTGCCTTTCCAACTTCCTCGTCTCTGTCCGTCCTAGTGGTCTGCCCCCACCTCTTCCACCTCTACCATCAAAGCGACCTCCTCTACCCCCACGAGAGAAGCCTCCTCCTCCTCCTCCTCTGCCGCGCCCTTGCGACTGTGCACCGGCATCTCGCGCTGCTGGTCCCGGAAGGCCGAGCTCGTCCCGCAAGAGGGCTGGTAGGCGCGTGGTGCGAGGATCCTTTCGTGACTGACCACGCCCGCGACCTTGCTTGAAAGACGGCATGGCTGGAAGGAGGTAGTGTGTATCAGTCCTCGCCGTGGATGACTGTGTGTGTGTGTGTGTGCGGTGAGAAGAAGCGGTATGGTCTCTATATGCTCCCTGTGTGCGGGCGGTCAGTGCTGCTGCTTCCTTTGCCATTTCCACTTCCGTCTTCCGGTCCTTTGAAATTTTTGGCAGAGACCAAGGCGGGGCGGAGAGTTGGCGGCAACGCACGGCGTCCTTTCCTTCTTGCGTGCGGTACGACTACAGACGAGGGCCATACCAAGACCATCCCTCATCCCCCATCACTCTTTTAAACACCCGCACGCAATGGCGAGCTCAGATCCCTCGTCCAGCAGAGCTCCCGCAGCAAACGGAGGGGGAAAGAAGAAGACCTCTCGCAAGTCCAAAGACGCGGAAGCAGGTCCCTCGGATCAATTGAACAGCATCCGCTCCCACACCCGCCTCCCCACTTCCCTCCAACAATCGGCTCCCCTCGCCGGCGCACGACCTCCCAAATCCCTCTCACAAATACCAGACAAGAAGCTCCGCGCTAACCTCTCCAGTCAAGTACTATCGCAACGTAGAGCAAAGGAGCATGCTTTACAGGCGGATAGACTGCTCCATCAGGGTGCGGTGGGAGAAGAGGCGGGGATGATTGAAACGGAGGGAGTCATGGAGCGGACGGCCAGGTTGACACAGAGGGAGATCAAAGAGGCAGTTGGCATCGAGAGTGCGACAAAGTCATTCTCCCTCGATCTCTCTGGCGGCAGAGGTGGAGTGGGCCTAGGACCTTACCGATGCCACTATACGCCAAATGGCAGGCAACTACTCCTCGCTGGGCGCAGTGGACATTTGGCTTCCTTCGATTGGCAAACAGGCAAGCTAGGCTGTGAGATACAAGTGAGAGAGACGGTCAGAGATGCTACCTGGCTGCACAATTCCAGCTTCTTCGCCACTGCGCAGAAGAAGCACGTCTTCATATACGACTCTTCAGGTGTAGAGGTTCACAGACTGAAGGATCACATCGACGTGAACCGCCTCGAATTCTTGCGGTATCACTTCTTGCTCGCTACAGTGGGCTCGGCGGGTTGGTTGAAGTATCAGGATACCTCGACGGGTCAGCTCGTGACGCAACATCGAACGAAGCTTGGAGCCTGCTCTACCATGGCGCAGAATCCTCTCACGGCAGTGATCCATCTAGGTCATTCGAATGGCACAGTGACCCTCTGGACACCCAACATGTCCACACCCGCACTCACTCTCCTCGCTCACCACTCGCCGCTCCAGTCCATTGCCATTTCCTCCCGCGAAGGAGGCAAAGAGATGTGCACCGCTGGTCTCGACGGAGGGATCAAGGTTTGGGACTGTCGTATGTTGGGCAAAGGTCCAGTGCGAGAGTGGGTCTCGCGCCGGCCAGCAAACGAAGTCAAGTACTCGCAACGTGGTCTCCTCGCCGCCTCCTGGTCCACTCACGTCTCACTGTACAATACAGCTGCGCCTCTATCGGCTAGCACACGTGCCCCACCAGGCCCTTACCTCTCGCACAATTTCCCACAATCAGCTCCCCTGTCCCTCGCCTTTTGCCCATTCGAGGACGTGCTCGGTGTAGGCCACTCCAAGGGCTTCGACTCGTTGCTGATTCCCGGAGCAGGAGAGGCGCGGTACGATAGTATGGAGCTGGATCCCTTCGAAGGCAAGACGGCACGCAGGGAGCGCGAGGTGCGAGGTCTTTTGGACAAGATTCAGCCGGATATGATCAGCGTGGACCCTTCTTTCCTTGGAAAAGTAAACGAAAACGGAACCAAGGGAAGGGTGGAGCCACGCGATGAGGGAGCAGGAGATTTGAAGAAGGCTGGAATTCTGAAAGCGGCAGATGGGACTCCTTTCGCCCGCTTGAGCAGGATGGAGCGATTGCGTCTCGAGGGTAAAGCCGACGAAGGCTCCGACCGTGCATTCAAGATGAGCCACCTCACTTCAGCTTCAGCGGCAGGAGACGGTGCTGGACAAGAGAGCGATGATGATGACGACGACAGCTCTACGGATGGGGAGGGGGTCACGTCGAGTACTGCCCCTGATGGGACGGTTCGGGTTGGTGCGGGAGAGAAGAAGGAGAAGAAGAAGGCGAGGGGAAGAAATAGCACTATGAAGCGGTACCTTCGTAAGAAGAGGGCCAACGTTATTGATCAGAATTCGGTAAGTGGGCGCTGCACAGCAAGAGAGAGAGAGAGGATTAGCACCGGAATGGAGCGTGACATGCTGACCTTCGCGACCCCCTTCTACCTTGCGATCTCACAGATGCAAGCTCAAGCCAAGCTGGCCAAAGCCCGTGCGGAGCACGAGGCGAATCGAGAAAAGGCTCAGCGTCGCAAGCGTGGCGAGGTCGAGGAGGCCGAGAGGGAAGAGAGTGCACTGGACGTCTTTGGTGCTGGTGCTGGGTCGAAGAAGGGTAGGAGAAGATAGATGGGGGGCGAGATCATGTAGATGCAGATGTATTGCGAAGGCTAGGGCAATCGATTTCTACGTTGCTCGCCTTTCTGATGGGACTGAGTATCGTCTTGTCTACAAGCCCTCATCCCACACACTCCTTGGCAAAGGCCCCTCCTTCTCCCCTACCCTCCCACTCACACTTCCACTCCCACTTCCCACACTCCCACCATACCTCTTTTTCAAGACCTCCAATCGACTTCTATAATCATCTCCACTAACATATCCACCACAAAGTCTCCTCTGTCCAACAAATGCACTTCGTCCATGTAATACTCTATGATTATCAAAAATCAAACATCTTCCAGGTGTAAGTTGTTGCCAGTATTCCCCCTCGGAGGAAGTTAGGATAGAGTGCCATTTGTTTAAAGCAGAGTAGAAGGGTTCTACGAGGGATTCGGGAAGGGAGAGGACGGAGCGGTCGTCGTTGTTGTATCGGACCATGACTAGCTTGCCGTGGGAGTGGGGTGGAGCGTGAGATGAAGACGCGGTATGCGTCTGAAGCTGAGCGTCGAGATCCGAAATCGGAGCAGCAGCAGCAGCGGCTGGGTCAAAGTCGTGCTGTAGAATGGGATATCCGGCCTTGAGGAGCGGTGAGACAAACGTGTTCTCATCGCCAGCAGAATGTGTGGAGATGCGTACGGTGCTGAGCACGTCATATGCCTCTGGATGTACATCCTTGAGAACTTTTGCCGCCAGAAACCCATCTACAAGCAGTGATGCTCCACCACTCGGGGCTGCCCCGTCTGTAGAGGCCTCATGGCTGAGCAAATGAAAGAGCTGCAATCCCGCCGGATCTGTAAAATACGTAGTATCCGTGTGAGCACCTAGGGCCAAGTCCGTATAGGCCGTGTCTCCATGGGAGAGGTCAGAAGTGAAATCCCAGAAACCACCATAGTGCGTTTCGCGGATAAAGGCGATGCGACGGATGAGCTCCTCGGTTGCTTCTGGGGTGGGAGGAACATTGTCTACAAAGGAGAAGCCATATTGCGACTGCAAGAAGGGAAGGAGGGAAGAGGTCAGCGAGCCCGTGGGGTGTCTCGTATCGCTCTACCGTGCAACTCACGATCTTCTCCAACCAATTCCATACGCCCCTATCGTCCTTCATCACCTCCTCGTATCCCACACTCGGGGGGTGCGCAGCGATTCCCGATCCCCAAAGTGTCTTTCCCGGCCCAGCAATCTCTTCTTGGTAGGTGATGGACTCGGAGTGGGTCTGATGGAGAGGGGGAGCGTATGAATTCATCCGGAGCCATTTCCAGGGATAGAGGGCGGCGTGAGAGTCATGGGCGGATTCGGAAGAGGATGAGGATGATGAATGCTCGGGATGACTGGGATCTGATGAGTGCTCTAAAGGCCAGAGGATCTGAAGTCCTTCGTTGGTCGCTTCGACTGAGATGGGCCTGATCTTGGGCGAGATCTGCAGGAACAGCATCAAAGTCAGCGAAGTGAGTTGATGATGGCTCTTCCTGAGCTACGTGGTACTCACTGCAAATGTATTCAGTAGCCGCTGTTTCGTCTTGGGGTGGTAGCAGGATGGACACCGGCAGTGATCTCTGAGCCAGATGTTGTGACTGAGGTCGTACTCGGAAGAGATCTGTATCAGCATTGCGGTGCTCCCTCCTCCCATAATAGCCTCTATGACATCTCCCCTGCCACTCACTACCGGCTCTCAATTCCACTAGGCCACGTTACCCTCACCATCCTCTCATCCGCTGCCACTCCCGGCAAGCCCAAGTTGTTGGCATGCGTGCCAGTGCTGCCATGGACATGGGAGCTGCTGGCAGGTTGCTGCTGCTGAGCCGCATAAGCTTGTCGTGGAGCATTGGTACGACTCGTAAACGAGCGAGTAGGCTGCTGGGTAGAGACAAGGGGGCGGGGGGGAGTGCGTGCAAGGGCGGAAGAGGGGCTGCTGGAGTGACGGAGCAGTGCCTGACTTGTTCGCCGTGGAGCGAGTGAGGAGAGGAGGCGAGCAGATGAGGAAGATGATGAAGCCAGCATTGTCCAGACTGGCAGCAGGTGATGTTATGGGCAGCTCGTCGTTGCAATAGAATGGTACCAATACTAGTATCCCTCGTCTTCTTCCGCACTTGTCTCACTCCACCCCGCACCGGCTCCGGGACACGGCAACGCGCAAAGGCCGACGGAGGCCGACGACGATGAGCAAAGGGCCGTGCAGCAGCAGCAGCAGCAGCACATCGCAGCAACAGGCGAGGATGGCTAGACGACAAGACCATGCCGTACCACCACTCGTGAGCTACACTCACACCTCCCTCGAGTCTATGCTATGCTATGTGGATGATAGATGTACGATTCCTCAACGAAGCAAGACAAGACTAGATACAGGCACGACCCAATCAACAACACCGAGCACAGGCATGTAGCCTTTTCCTTTTTTGTTTGGATTGACCCTTCGACTATTCAGGGTATGCGTCTCTTACTTGGCCTTTCGGCACTCTTTGCAAGGGAAGGGCGAGTGCCTCCTCTCCCGACGTCTCTCGGCTACACTATGGCGGTCCACGCTGGGACTCTCGCTCCTTCGAGGCTCCCCGAATTTCTGCAAGTCCAGCGCCTCCCACTCTCCCTGACTCTTCCAGTATCCCAATCGAGCCTGGTTTTCTCGCATCTCCTGCCAAGCATCATCGCCTACAGAGACTTCTGCATTGCTTCCAGCCCATGATATCCACTTCTGCAGGCCTTCCTTGAGGTGTCCCCAACGCGGGTGAAAGGCTGCCTCTTCTCCCTCTTCCACACCCATGTGCTTACGGGCATACCTGGCCAAGTGATCAGGACTCCAGACTGAGCTGTAGACGAATCGGGTGCCGTTGAACCTCAAGTATCGCACACCCCACAATGCCAAGTCTTCTTGAGCCGGGAGGATGACGATGCTGGTCAGTCGAGGAAGATAGCCCTTTTCGATAGACGAGGTCAGGGTGCAGTACTGGGCGTAGTTGGGCTCGAAGATTCGCAGGCGCGTAATGCGATGCTGGAGACCCTTGAAGAAGTTCTTGGACATCAAGTATCCATCGATCTCCACTTCAAGCGGCTCATCGGAGGCGATCAGACCCTCGGCGTCCTTGACCACCGCTTCCGACAGGTCACGGGCTTTGACGGACTTGCATCCTCCAATGTATAGGTGCTTCAAGTGTGCCGCCGGAGGCGACGATAGATAGATGGCGAGTGCTTGACCAGGCACTGGGCATCGACGAAATTCGAGACTATTGAGCTTCAGGTCACCATACTTGAGTGCTTCGGTGCTTGCGGGAGCTGCAGCATCCGTCATCTCCTCGTCTTCCTCTAGGATAGGAGCACCAAGGATGTTCAGGAGTCGACCATTCTCGATCCTGAGAGCTCGGCACGCAGTAAAGGACAAGTTGGTGAGCTTCTGGTGGCCCCTCAGGGCTTTGCCAAGCTTTTCGATGGCTCGCTTGAAGGCTTCTTCGCCCTGGCACTCGCAAGTCTTGAGACCGGATACGTGAAGAGTCTCGAGCGTGTCGAGGTCCAGCAGCAAGGTTGCCATAGCGGTGGTGTCGAAGGCCTTTCCCAAGTAGGTGAACTCGCGGAGCTTGACGCACCAATCCCTCAGGTGGTGAGCCAGGCCTTCCGTGACTGGAATAGCCGTATTGGTCACCTTAAGAACCTCTAGATTAGGGCAGATTGAGACGGTAGCTCCGATGAGATTGCCACCAAAGTCATCTGGGTTCCTGTATAGCTCGCCTTCGTTGTAGCCTACGGGATACATCATCAAGGAGCGGAACATTGCTTGATCCGTGAATTGGTACACCTTCATGCTGGATAGAGCCTGCATATCATTGAGGTGCAGCTGTTGAACCTCTTCAAGTCGAGTACGAGGACTGGAATATTCTCGGTACAAGCAGCTGATACAGAGCTTTTCAGCTCCTTTCGGATTGAACTCAGCAGGTTCGACCATTGGTCGGTAGCAAATGTCGCAGCTTGTGTGCATTCCACGGCGATGACGCTCGAAGAAGCCCAGAGCAGGCCTGCTACCGTCGAAGTAAACTCGCTTTGTAGCGTGGAGCTTGACGACGTTGAAGTGACGCCAGCTGGTGAGGCCGAAGCTGCGAAGGTCATTTCCGGAAAGGTGCCCGGCGATCAAGTCCCTGTGGAGGGAAAAAGCGCGTCCACCAACGCGTCAGTCGGTGTGCTCGCTACTATGGCTCACCTCTGTGGGCCAGTGGTACTCACAGGACTTCGGTAGGGATGTCTTCAAGGCTGTGAGCGGACGGATGGCAAGAAGCAAGGCGCGGAGCCTAGCAAGTCAGCATCAACTTCGCGCATGCATCCATCCACCGCAACTTGGCACTCACGTAGTCATGATGAATATCAAAAGAGGTAAGTAAGTAAAGCAGAGCAGATGAGAGCAGAGGATGGGAAGACAATGAGGTACCGTAGTAGAGGATGTTACGACGGATGTTCTCTGGTTGGATTGTACAGAAGGGAAAGGGGGAAACGGGGGAGAACCAGCCTCCCTCTCCCCTTATCCATCCACGGAGGCAAATTCTTTTCTCCCTCGAGGGTGAAAAAAGGATGACAGCAGCACCTGAAACCTCACAGCACCGAGGTATCTCGAGGAGCGTGTCGCGATCGCTACGCGATTCCGATCATCCACCCTCGATCTTCGCTCACGGAGGTAGTTTGACCAAGTGTCTCGGTGAGCAAGCGGAAAGACGCGGACCCTCTCTAGCCCCCTGCACGGGCTGTGCCTCGAGTGAGCGGGCGAGGGAGCGAGCCAGTGCCCGCCCGAGTGCCCGCCTGAGCGACAGACAGGCAGGACAGGCGGATCTCGCTCAACCTCGGCCTCGAGCTCAGAAAGGTCGGATCTCACTTGGTCGCCTGCAGGAGAACAGCCACTGGGGTCGCGCTTGGCACTAGACCCTAGTGAGGTCAGCCATTGGAAAACGGAGGCGGAGGCGAGGGGGCTGCCTCGTCGGATCGGAGGGACCGTACAAGACCTTGCGCCTCGGCTGTAGGTCAGAGGCGGTCAGAGATGGCTGACGGCATCCACGAATGGTGAGTGATCAATGACTCATGAGTCATGAAGGGCCAAGGACTTGTTGCGCTGTGACTGGACGGGGACTGTAGAGAGGGCAGGAGGGGAAAAGTACTCGCTGCCTTGTTCAAAGAGAGGCGACAGGCAGAGAGTCGATGGAACGGGAGCGGGCAGACGCCAGTCAGTCTGCCGCCGATGATCCCTCGTCGGAGTGTGGCCGAGCTGTGTAGGAGCAAGAAGAAGGTGGCTAAGGCGCAGGGGATGGATGCAAGAATGGTTGGCTCTCAGCTCCACGCAGGTTCAAGGCATCAGGCAGGGATCAGCCAGAGGCAGCCCCAGTGAGTACGATCCCTCGTATGTACTTCAACTTGAGCGGTCGTGCCCTGTCAATGAATACTTTATTGGACGCACAACTACATGGAGTGATCAGTAACGCCCAGCCTGCTGCCTGAGGCTGCAACTTCCAGCCTCTAGTCCCTCGACTACTGAATAACGAACTATACTGGATTCTCTACGGGTTGCTGGACGAGAGGCAAGGCTCGGGGCCGGGCAGGGCACCCTAGAGGCGGCAGGAGGCTTCTGACAGGCGGGGCAGGGCAGGATAAGTCAGGGCGAAGGTGGATGCAGCACGCATACGTTAGAGGACAGGCGGGCTGTATATTGCTATGAAGGGCCGGCATAGGTGCTCATCGCGACTGGGCACGCTGACACGGTAAAGTTCAGTCCACTCCAGTCAGCTCGGCCCGTGTGGAGGGCGATGGGGATGATGGTGTAGCAACGTGTCCATATTCGTGGTTTTCAATTCAATTACAATAGTAGTACGAGGTGACAGGAAGAAGTGAGGGTGGGTCAAGCAGTCGTGGTAATGACGTATGAGGGATATAGAGTAAAGGACATTTGTGGGCCAAATTCCATCATCCATCCAAAGGCATACCCTGCCACTTTCGAATCGACCGACCCTTGGCAAGGAAGAGGGTGCAGAGGACGGCGCCAATAGCAAATGCCAATGCTCCCTGAATGCAATACTCGGTAAGGAAGCCATCATTGTCTCCCCAAACGGAGATGAAGAAAGGAATCACAAATCCCCAAATGGATTTGAAAAAGACGAATACGGCTTGAGCGTCCATTGGCTTGGTGATGTAGCACTCGGAGACGTACGTCTGTAAGAGTCCAGTGGTGGCGGAGAAGCAGAAGTAGTAGACACCACCGGCTACGAGGAGAGCAGCCCAGTGCCATTCCTTTTCGATGGAAGCACCAACCACGCAGAGGGCAGCCATAAGGAAAGGTAGGAGAGGGAGTACACCCCAAAGACGGTATTCGGGTGAACGGACACCGTACTTTGCAGTGAGACGGTTGACAATGATGTCTCCGACGACACCACCTGACCACTTGCCGAGGACAGCTCCAATACCAAAGGCCAGGAAGGCACAACCGAGGGCAATCTCGCTGAAGCTGTAGGGTGGCTGAGCGAAGAGTTGTGGCATGACAATGGTGATGCCGACGGACCAGGCAAAGAGCATACCGTAGTAGATGGAGACGGTGACAATGGGGATGTACTGAGCCATGATGACTGGCGATGCCATGACGTGGAAGAACTCTCCAGGACGCTGCCATGGCATCCAAGCAGCACCAACGTGGCCATGGTGAGGACGAGCGCCACCAGCAGCAGTGTCGTAACCAGAGGTGTAGTCTGTCAGACGGAGAGCCAAGGGGGGCATGTTCCTGTGGGTCTCCCCCTTCTCGCTCTCATTGCCATCCGTGTTTGCCGCGGCAGAGTCAAGAGCGGCAGACTCGTTCTCCTTTACCCAAAGTGTCTCGGGGACCAGGAAGAAGAAGAGGAGGAACTGCAGAGCGGCCATGCCTAGGATGATCCAGAAGAGTACGTGCCAAGAGTTGCCCTGAGAGATGACGGCCGAGCAGATCAGTGGGGCCAGCACGGGAGCAATGACGACGGCGACTGTGAAGGCCGACATCTTCGATCCTCGTACCGAGGGGACAAAGATGTCGGCAATGGTAGCGGGGGGGACAGTCTGACTGAAGGCAGTGAAGAAGCTAGCGAAGAATCGAGCGGCGGAGAAGCAGTTGTAGGAAGGGGAGAGGGCGAGCCAGATGGCGCAAGGGATTTGAAGGAAGGAACCAATAACGTAGACCGGTCGTCGTCCAACAGTCTATGAGACAGGCATGGGATGGATGGAAAGGAGGGTCAGTATCTGTCTCGTGTGAATTGTGTGTGCTGTACTCACCCTAGAGAGTGGGTTCCAGATGAGAGGTCCGATGGCGAAACCGAGCAAACTGTATCCGATGGTGTTGGGGATCGTTCCGGGGGATACGCCAAATGCTTCACCAAGTTGAGGGAAGGCAGTCAGAACAATGGCGATGCTGAAGTTGGGTACGAATCCGGTGTAGGCCAAGATGCAGAGGATGATAAACTTGCGCGTTGCGGTGAGGGCATTGATTGGGTGGTTGGGCGGGAGGGAAGCATCCTTGTCATCGGAGAAGAAGCCCTTCTTGACAGGCTGCCTGGGAGGCGGTGCCTTTCCCAGGCCCTGGGAAGTCTCGACGTCAGTCATAGGTTGGATGAAGTTGGAGGGATGAGCAAGGTGTAGGGAGGGAGATGCGAACGCGTGGCGGCCGAGAAGAAGAACGGCCCGGGAAGGGAGTGCGGGGGCGGGACGAGTGAAGTGACTGGCACTAGGCTGGTCGAAGGCAGGAGGAGGGGAGGTGACAATGGATTGCGATTGTGGAGAGATTGTGGGGAGAGATTGTGGGGAAGAGGAGCAAAGAGGGGCGTCGTCTTTATAATTCTGGGGGCCAGCACCTCATTCCTCCCGACGGTATGGCGATTTCTGCGTGGGGCCCCATCTGGCAGTGTTGACTCCCCGATCGGCATCAATGGGGCAAGACCAAGGGCAGTGAAGCTCAGTCTTAGAAGAGGTAGACGGACCCCTTACCTTCGCTAATCTCGTACTGAAGAAGTGGCAGCGAGGCGATGCTGTTGTGCGATTCCCGGAGTCCGTGGTGCCGCCACGGTCCCTGACACCCGTACGCCACTGTGCGCCACTGATGTGCGACACGTCTGCCATCTGCCACTTTACTGCCGTTCATCTGCCGTTGGTACACCATGACCGCACTTGACCGCACCTCGCCGCAAGGTACCATAGTTTGCCGCTCAGGGCAAAGTGCAGCTCGGCACGGCGGAGATGACCCTGTCAAGGAACTTTGCCGTCACTTTTCCACGGCCGGCAAACACGGGAGACTCGGCAGGACGCGGCATGGCCACGCGGCGTGCGGCGTGTCAGGTCGCGGAGTGCACAGACCCTCGGGAGCAGACGGCGTATTCCCCGCTCTGGCCATTGCGGGGACGGAAGCCAAAAGTGTCGGGCCCCCACCATCGCCGCACTTCAAACGCGACGACGAGGCAGCCCCGGGAAATTCTTCATCGATATAACAATGCCAAGTGACTTTGATTGCGGTTGATTCGATCGCCCTCTGCTACCCCACATACATCAGTTCCACCCCGCCTCGATAGATCTGCCAGTAACATGACGATCCCAAACGGTACTACTCGCCCAGCGCTGGCGGACAGCCTCAACATTCACATGTGAGTGTGACCAGATATGCCTGATCCCTTGGAGCACTGGCTGACAGAGGAGTCTCTTATGCCCTTCTCTCACACAGCATTGGCGCTGGTATGGGCGGAACTGCTGCCGCCCTCGCCCTTGCCAAGAAGGGCTACACCAACATCACCGTCTGGGAATATGCCTCTACGCTCGGCGAAGTTGGTGCAGGAATCAACATTACCCCCAACATGAGCCGCATTCTCGAGCGATGGGGCGTGCTGGACATTGCCAGCAACGAGGGAACAGCACTTGATGGTGCTAGCGTCCTCAGTGAGTCACCCGTCATCGATCAGTAGAAGACAAGAGCGCTTTGACGCTCACCTAATCTTCTCCATCCATGCCACCTCAGACTGCAGCTCCGACGAAGTCCTGACCAAGGTCGACTTTTCCTACATTGAGCAAGAATTTGGCTACCCATTCTACACCGTGCACCGTGCCTCTCTACAAAAAGCCCTCGTCACCGGTGCTCAGGACAGCGGTGTAGTCAAATTCAACCTAGGCAAGCAGGTCGTCTCTTACGACTTTGACCAAACAAGATTCCTCGTGGAGGACCGCAAGAGCAAAGAGCAGGAGTGGGTGCAGGCAGATGTACTGCTATGCTCGGATGGTGTCAAGTCCAAGGCACGCGGGGAGATGATGAAGCGGAGGGGAGAGGAGGATCATGTCGAGGACACGGGGCAGGCCGCTTACCGTATCCTGGTCAAGAGGGAGATGATCAATGAAGATCCGGACTTAGTGCCGTTCTTTGAGGGTTCCCACAGCTACAGATGGATCGGCGAGAAGCGCCACATCATCGTGAGTGCTGACCGGAAAGAGTACGATCTTCGGAGACGCATAGCTGACACTACGAATCGCTTCGCCCTGGCTTCCCTTGACAGGCATACCCCATTTCTTCACACAATGTCTTCAACATGTCTACCGCTCACCCTGATCGCCGCTTCGTGGAAGCCGACACCTGGACCGCATCTGGATCCAAGGAGGAGATGCTCGACATGTTCCACGACTTCTGTCCTCGAGTTCAAAAGCTCCTCCGTCTAGTACCCGAAGGTGAAGTCCTAGAATGGAAGCTGCGAGTGCATGCCCCGATCCCCAACTGGATTGATGGAGCTGCTGCTCTCCTTGGTGATGCCTGCCACCCCACTCTACCCCATCTTGCTCAAGGTGCCGCTCAGGCTGTAGAGGACGGTGCGGTGCTAGGCTCCGTCCTTGCTCGTCTGACGGATAAGAAGGATATCAACAAGGCGCTCAGGGTGTACCAGGAGCTGCGAAAGCCCCACGCTGATTGGGCTGTTGCCACCGCTGCTAGTAATGGAAAGGGACTGCATCTCGCTAAGGGCTCAGCTGCAGCTGAAGAGAGGGATAAGCTTTTCAAGGAGGCTAGCGCAAGTGGTGGCTCAAATCCCGACAAAGCCATTGACAAGTGAGTACCACTCGCCTGCCGCTACATGTCTTCTCTGCAACTGTTCCTGACTCTTCTCTTCCCTTTCCTTCCCTCTCTTTCTCTCGCCTAGGGTCACCCAATCTAAGCTCTACTCACACGACTGCGTAGGAAACGCAGAGGCAAAGTACGACGAGCTCTTTGCGCAGATGACTTAGCCATGTCGGGTTGCTTCCCCAAGATCCTCACTTGCATGCCTAGACCCCCCATTCCGTGTTCATATCACAAGTCACCTTACATTCCGCTTCTTGCTTGAAAGTCATGTTCCTTGATCCAGGCCTCTGCAATGTCATGCCGTGAGCAATACTGATATAGAGTGGTGCAGCGGACTGGTGTTCTGCGTCGATCAGCTGTTGCAGGGAATCTCGACACTCTGAGGTCTCAACGCGGTGGCGCCGTAGTGACACGATCACTCAGCGTCACGCAATTTGAGGACTGGAAATTGAAATGTAGGCGCGATCTATTCCGGAATGACACCACAAGAAGTACACGTAGAGGTGGTAAAGATCGTCTGGTCCGCGAAAAAGATACCATTCTAACACCTCCGCCTCCTTCAGGCCTGACCCTGCTCCGACTTCCACTGGCGAATCAGAGCTTTTCCATAGTCACCGATGTTGGGGAAGCGGTTGACAGTGTGGATGTGACATTTGGCTGGACGTGTGTTGGTGAGGAAGACTGTCGATGGTGGCGAGCAAGAGGTAGAAGAACAAGAGTGAGTATCATTCTCGCCGTCTTAACCCATCGACCATTATGCCCGTCCAACCATGCAAACTCACTACCACAGTGAAAGTCAAACTCGCAAAAGGTGACCGGTGAGTGGATACGGTAGTAGTAGGGATCCCTATCCCCAAATTTGCCGATCCAGGCAAAGTACATTTGGTCCTCGTACTGCTTCAGTCTAGCCAGTTGAGCCTCGAGAGGCTTGGCGGGGAGGTAAGCGTTGAATGCCTTGAGCACCTCGTAAAGCACGGTCTTTTGCTCCGGGGAGAAGGAGGAGACTGGGCAGCCCTCTGATTGGCGGTGGAAGGAGGGACGGGTCAAATGAGCGGCTCAGGTCTTTTGGTTGTAGGGCTGCAAGGTGGTTACTCACCGTATGGAACTGTCCGGTTGTCCTGTCGGGCTCCTCCCAGATGTCTCTCGTCGAATGGATTCCAGCGATCCTCCGCTAGTCCTTCTTGTGCAGTCATCCCTTCATTCAGCTGTGCTTTCTTCTGATTTTCCGGACTCAAGCTTTGCATGAGCTTGAGCGAGTACTCCTCTTCCTCCTTGAAGAGTCTAAGACCAGCATGCGGGCCTGCATCGATCGAGTCTGGTTCAGCACCGCTGAATGTGGGGGCAATGACCATTCTCCGCCCGACGAACATGACATTGAGACACAAGTGGTGTCCGAAGAAACTCCAGCCCCAAGGTGCAGTCGAGGAGGGCGTCCTGGATTCGTGCTGTCCAACTTCAGGGAGGAAGAGACGGAAATTGTAGGAGTGCTTGTTGAGGACCTTGAGACCATTCACGAGCTCTCCCAGGAAATGATTGGTGAGAGTGCAGCCGAGGGCCTTTTCGTAGCCCTGGGGTGAGAGACAGGCTCGCAGGACATCATGTACGGCATCTTGTACCTCTGCACGAGTCTCATCTAGGCGTATGCCGCCTGGGGTGAAAACGAAGAGGTCCGCTGTCAGTATAGACGCGCAAGGTAAGACCGCTGCTATAGCCACTCACCAGGATTCATGTAGAGCTCAGGATTCGACCAGGCCCTGAACTCGTCATCTACAGCTACGTCGCCTTTGATGACCTCCTTCTTCTCCTCGGTGCTCAAGACAGCCAGTAGCTTGTTCGTGGCCTCCATAGCCGCCTCGATTGGGGCTCCTTCGTCTTGTTCGTATTTCCACACACTGCCGTCCGGCTTGCCATCAACGGAAAAGCCCTTGTATGGTTTCTCCAAATTCTCAAGGTCCAGACGACTGATCAGCCATGCAGGTGCTGGCACTTGGCGACGAGAGCCGCACCAAGTGTGGGCATCGTGCGTTTCAATTCCTGCGATTCTTGGATGGTCAGGCTTGGGGAGTAGAGACCGGAAGGGAATCGTGGCATCGGCTGTAGCGCCCGTGGGGTCGTCTTGCTGCAGAAACCCAGAGTCGGCGGGGAGAGCGGTTGCAGTAGCTGTCATGACGGTAGTCTTTTGCTGAAATGCTGAGCCAGGTACTTCGTATGCGTTATAGCTACAATGGAGTACGATGGTGGCAAGGTAAATCTTTAAGAGATGGTCTCCACTGCCAATGATTTCTGCCGGTGCTTCTCGGCCATTCCCCCGCGGCTAGGACCAAGATGCACGGCCCCCCATGGCGGCGATGCGGGGAAGAGGTCGCCGCCACTTGGCCGCACGTCTGCATGTCTTCCCCACATTTCCACCCCGCGACGCCGATCTTATTCTTGCCCGCCCTTTATCCCCGCAGAAGCCCGCCCACCCCTGCCTCCATGGTCTGGCCACTGCCGGTATGAGAAGCTCAGACATACCAGTCGGCACCTACTTACTTGCTCCCGTACGAGTTGGAAATGGCTCACATCACATGACCTTGGCCGGAAATCTCGCCTGGCGTGGCTCAGAAGCTCTATCAGAGACATCGTCCACGAGGTCAGGTCGATACCCACCTGACCTTTGTGGATGCTCTTGGATGGGTTGGATTCTTCACTCGCACGGGACACCAGATTTGCACCAAATTTAGATCCCACGCTGTCTGGCCCAAAGAGCTCACGAGCGACCACGATGGGCAATCCTACTTTGAGGCACGTGGTACGGGGTACTAGGCTTTCTCGCTCGAGGCTATCTGAGTCCCTGCGTCGTCAGCCCGTGAACCACTTACTTTCCTTGTGAATCGCTGTGGGCAATGTAGCCGTGCATTCCGTCCAATCCACGGGTGGACAACGAACTCTAGGGGAACCCCTGCGCATCGTTCTTATGGGTCGTGTCAGACCCTGCAGTCAATCAGAAGGTCACAGAAGATTCGGACTGCGAGCGATATATGCTATGTGGTGACTGCATGATATTGCGTAGCTATTGTCATGAACGGAAACGACTAATGCATCTGCGCACTTACGGATCCTCCCTCCCTCATCTATCTACCTGATTGCATACCCCTCCCCCTCTCTAGTCCTTCATGATGATATCGATCCTCTCCATCAGATGGTCAACAATTCCCTGTGGTCCCACCTTGACCTGCAGGCCAGTAGGGATGGCATACGTCTTGATTCCCGGAATGGTGTCACGTGCAATCTTCTGGATCTGCTCTTGCTGCTCGGGTGTCCACATGGAGGCACAGAAGAGGATACCTGGAGCTGGTTGGACGGAGCGCAGGAGCGGCTCGACACCCTCGATGGCTGTGAGAAGAGGTAAGAGGGGAAGCGCAATGCTCAGGTCAGTTCCTGTGCTTCGCACTCTTGGCTGGCCTTGTGACTCAGCCTGGTCAGACCATGAGGGACAGTCCGAACTCACTCTCGGTGTTGCCAGCGTGGATAATGTTATACCTGTCCTTCACATTCTCAATGACTTGTCCGATGACCACCTTGGCACGATCAGGTGCGGTGTTGACTGACACGAGCCTTACGGTTGGGAGAGCTTGGGAGGAGGCCATTCTGATGGACTTGGAATTGAAGAAAGGAGTGGGTTGCTGTCGTAGAGTGAGACGGCCCAGAGTTCGGGAAGAAGCTAGGATCATTCAACTGGCACGGAAGAAGGGAACTGTTTGATACCAAGAAGAAGTTGAGCAAGAAGGAATAGGAGATGCAAGAAAGTGTTACTTAGTCTACCACGCTGCGCTTCGCTTCTTCTTTTCCCCTCACGCGGGGAGGTGCCGAGGGGCCTTGTGCGGCGCGGCGGTGTCTTCGGCGCGAGATCTGGCGGGCAGGTGTGCGGTTGTCAGGGCGGCTGCAAGGGTGCGGGCATTGTGGGGGGGCTGCCCGCGTGTGTGTGGTGTGTGCGGGGAAGAAGTCTACGCAGGCGCACCACACCACCCGCCAAAAGTTGCAAGCCGAAGAAGAGGCAATGCCAGAATCGACTGGCTGACTCGCTCTGGAGGAGCTGTTGTACATATAATTTACATTTCTCAACACATTGAGATCGCAGAGCTTCTTGTCTCCCCACTCAAAGTGCTCCATTCGGCTGAAATCATGTCCTCCTTCGCCCGCCTCATTCGCTTCATTCCTTCTGGCGCTTCGCGTCCCCTCATCGGCGAGCCTGTCGATGCAGCGCTGGACGTGGGTCTTGCCTCGCTCAGCTCAAGCAGCGCCATCAAGGTCGAAGTCTTCTCGGGCTCTTCGGTGCTGAACCCGGGAAAGAAGACGGGACAAATTGAGACGGTACAGAGGTTGTTGAGTCCGCTGGCTATGGAGGAGGTGGGATCGATTCGCTGCATTGGTACCAACGTGAGCAGACGGTGAAGGCAGGATGAGTTAGTCCGGTACGGCACAGCGGAAGAATGTCGAGCTGAAACGTGCGAGATGTCTCTCTTCTTATTTTAGTACCGGAAACACGCCGAGGAGGTGAAGCTGCCGATGCCGAAAGTCCCCATCTTGTTCCTGTAAGTCACCGGGGCCCTTGGCACCCTGCTTTACTCACTCTGAGAAAGCAGCAGCTGACCGACGTCCACAAACTCCATGTTTCATCCATCACAGCAAGCCTGAAACCTCGCTCAACGACCCAGCACCAGCCAAGGTGGTCATTCCGAAGGACTTTGTCAAGGACGATGCTGCTGACTGGGAGTCTGAGCTGGTAAGTACTGTCCCAGCCCTATTGGCGCTGATACTCGACCTTCAAACGTCTGCTCACACTGTAGAGCCTCCCCATCCCTTGCAGGCAATCGTCATCGGTAAAACATGCAAGGACGTGCCCGAGTCCTCCGCCCTAGACTACCTTCTCGGCTATACTGCCGCCAACGACATTTCATCACGAGCAGCCCAATTCGAGCAGAGCCAGTGGTGCTACTCCAAGGGCTTCGATGGCGCTTGTCCGATCGGACCTGCATTGGTGCACAAGGACCAAGTTAAGGACATCGGTGATCTGAGAGTTCGTGGACTGCTGAATGGAAATGTTGTGCAGGATGGCACGCTTGAGTGAGTACTAGAGCCGGGGTTGAGGATCAGGAGCGGCCGCTCGAGTCTCAGAGAAGCTTTCAGAGAAGCTCAGCGTCTGATCCTTTCCTCCACCTCTCCTCCACAGTGACCTCATCTTCTCGGTGCCCAGAATCATCTCGTTCCTGTCACGAGGTACCACATTGAGGCCAGGCACCGTAATTCTTACCGGGTGAGTGTGTGGTGGTATAACCCTCGTTCTATGGTCACAGACTGACCCATCTCACTTTCCCTACTTGCTTTCCTCCCTCAGTACTCCCGCAGGTGTAGGCTGGAGCATGAGCCCGAGGACAACGATGAAGGACGGCGATGAGTTCCGTGTGGAGATCAGTCACGGCGTCGGCACTCTGGTCAGCCCAATTGTTGCAGAGAAGTGAGCTTGGGTAGGTCATGGAATACCATAGATGAGGCTCTCCGATGCTTACAGGATGCTTTGGTAGTGATGTTATGAGCGGAAATGTTGTTTTGTGTGGCAGCTGCGCTGGACTGTGCTGTCCTCCTATCGATGCTGTTATGCTGAGAGACATATGGTCCCGCATTATGACTCTCTTCCCCTCTTTCTCTCTCTGGACCAGCGCCCCTCAGCCCTTCAGAGCTCCCAAGATCATTTCGCCCCATAGAGCGCTCTCCCTCTTTCGCCTCTCGCTCGTCACACGAGCAAGTTGTAACGCTTCCGTATCAGCAGCTCCGGCTCCGGCTCCCGGTGCAGCTGCTGCTGGTCCCTCGCTGAGTGTTGCAGCTGGGCCAGAAGCAGGGAAGCTCAATTGCTCGGAGATGCGCTTCCACTCGAGTTCTCCGTGGAAGGAGGAGAGACGGGCTAGGGTAGTGCCTGACTGCTGCAGAAGGGAGTGAAGAGCGGCTGATAGCGCTGGGAGCGGCTGGATCTATTGGCGATGAGTAGGTCGAGGGAGGAGCAGGTCGCTCAGGTGTGTCAGTGCAAGGCAGACAGGGCTACGAGTCAGGCAGGGAGTCACTCACGTCGCTACTGCTGCCACTACTGGCAAGGCGGTCGATATCCACATCCCCGTAACCTCCACTCTGCCACAGCGCCCTGCCTTTATTCCTTGAATTGCCCAGCGAGGAGAGAACACCGTCCAGCGCCTTGAGAATACGCACATTCGACTCCCTCCACCTGTTCAGCCTCTCGGCAGCGAGCTTGACGCCTCCGGCATCGATAGCGTTCGCGGCAGCTGGTTGCGCAGCGTCCGCTCTGATCCAGCCGCGCACGTCAGCCTCGTACGAGGACCAGACTGTCAGGTCGGGCAAGGCCGATTTACGTGGCGGCGGGATGAGCGGAGACGTTTCCAAGGGTGACTGAGAGGCAAGCGAGCTCAAGAAGGGCGGAAGAACACTCTTGACTGTGAATTCGAGAGAGCTGGCGCTTGTGAGACCACCGTGTGGGAACTGATGCAGGAGTAGGTCTTGCGAGGGCAGGTAACAGTACGTCCCCAATGTGAGGCCGTCGCCTCTTCCTGGATGCTTCAGAGCCCTTCCCCACGGATGGGCGGCATCTACAGCACCTCGTGTACCGCCGAGGATATCGCACAGTCCCATCAATCGCCGTCTGGTAGGCTCCAAGTCGCTAATGATCAGGACCGTCTTGTTCTTCAGATGATCCGCACCCGAAAGTACGTTGCTGGCATCGAAGGCGTGCGCATGGAGATCCGCCACAAGCCTCGAGGTAGCACAAGCGCTGTCTGTCTGATCAAAGGTATTCCACACCGGCAGCTCCGTCTTTGCATCGATGCTTAGCCAGCCAGGTTGCGAGATGGGCACGCAGCCTTTCCCTCCTCGCACTCGATCGCTGACCATTCCAGCATACTTTGTCAATCTCCCAGAGCCTCCCAAGAAGACTTCGTCTTGTGAGGTTGATCGAACGGTGAAGAGAAGTGAGAAAAAGAGGAAGATCGAGGAGAAGATAGTCAGGACACGGCCGGCCCGTAGGACGAGGGAGGAGGCGGAGATGAAGGTACCGGCTTTATGCCTCGGGCGTGTCAGGGAGCGACTGGGGAATTGATTTGACGGCATCGCGAATGGGAAAAATGAGGTAGAGGAAGTATGAATACCTCTGTACTGCTCCTACAAAGTCTGAATACCTAGAGGAGAATGACGAGGGCAAGGAAGAAGTCAAAGGACAAGGTGCTGATGGCCGTCGAGTGTGGAGCGCGTGCGGAAGTGTGACGTGAATTGAATCTCCGCCTTCCTTCGCTCGATCGTCTGCCTCGGTTCTTCTCTCGGCGATTTTTGGGTTCGTAGCGGCCAACGAAGGTGTTGCGTCCCTCCTTACCGATTCATATCTCTCCTCTTCTGAAGTTCACCTCGCCATGTCTGCCTTGCCAATGTCGTCCCTGCGGCGGGCACTCGCTCAAGCGGCGCCTCGTGCCTCCTTACGCCTCAACACCCCTCCTTGCCGTATGGTTCTGCCCGCCTCTCGAGTGCAGGTTCGAGGTCTGCGCTCCCTCTCCGAGCTGGACGCCCCGATCCAATCACAAAAGCAAGCAACGGCCGCGGCAAGGAAGGAGGCAGAGCAAACTGAAGGAGACTCTGCCTCGAGCAGCTCTACCCACGCATCCTCTACTCGGCCGCCGGCTGCCTCGGCTTCTACCACGACGACTGCCGCTCTGTATGGCAAGGAGGCCGTCCCCGCTTCCTCAAGCAGCAGTGGCGGCAAGAAGTCGACCAAGCCTGCGCGCCAGTCCCTGATCATCACTCTCTCCTGCCCTGACTCTCAGGGCATCGTGCACCTCGTCACCGGCTGGCTCGCCTCGCGGTCGTACGATATCCGTGATTCGGCACAGTATGGTGACCCGCAGACGAATACCTTCTTCATGCGGGTGCACGCCTTGGGCCCCGAGGGCAGGGAGGTGGATGTAGCCGGATTGAGAGAGGAGTTCGGGAGAGATGTGGCGGGGAGGATGGGAGGGGAGAGGATGAAGTGGGAGATGGAGGAGGAGGACAAGAAGGTCAAGGTCATGCTAATGGTCAGCAAGATTGGACGTGAGTAGGCGGGCGTGGGCTGTGCGGCAGCAGCCCCCTTCACACTACTGATGCCTCATTTCCTTTTGTTTTTATTCCTACGTAGACTGCATTCACGACCTCCTCTACCGGCACTCAGTCGGTGTCCTGCCCATCGACATCCCCTGCATCGTCTCCAACCACCCCACCTTTGCCTCTCTAGCCGCTCAGCACAATATTCCCTTCCACCACCTCCCCATCGACGCTTCTCACACAAAAGAGTGGCAAGAAGAGCAGATCCTACAACTTATTTCTCAGCACGAGATTGATCTGGTGGTGCTCGCGAGATACATGCAGATCCTCTCGCCCAAGCTGTGCGAAGTCATGTCCTCGCGCATTATCAACATCCACCACTCTTTCCTCCCCTCCTTCAAAGGAGCAAAGCCCTACCACCAAGCTCACTCGCGCGGAGTCAAGCTCATCGGAGCTACTGCCCATCTGGTCACCAGTGCGCTAGACGAAGGACCGATCATTGAGCAGGATGTGGAACGGGTAGACCATTCGAGCACTCCGGAGGAATTGGTGAGAAAGGGAGCAGAGATTGAACAGAGGGTACTGGCTAGGGCGGTGAGGTGGAAGGCAGAAAGGAGGATCCTGGAGAATGGCGCAAAGACGGTGGTCTTCGGCTCGTGAGAGATGGATGGCAATGCCAAGGGATGTCACGGTAGATCGACCCGGGGTATCTTAATTGCATATACGGAAATCACAGCGGCCCGTCTCTCGTGATGTGAGCTCACTTGCACTTCAAGCTCAAGATGACGTACCCCTTCCTCTCTTCTGCCTTTGTGCCTATCTCATCCTCCTCATCCTCCTCCACACTTCTAGGGCTAATGCCATCCACCTCCCAACCTTTGCACTTTTGCAAATAGAAGCGCAGCGCACCCGTATTGCATCTCCAGCAGGTGAGCATGACTTTGCGCATGCCTGTTTGGGTGGACAGGAGGGAGAGGGAAGAGAGTAGGGCAAATCCCAGGCCGGTGGAGGAGTAGGAGGGTGAGATGGCGAGCTCGTAGCTGCGAGCAGTGAAGAGTGGCAGAGACTAGACGTAAAGGGTCAGGATATCGGGATGGATCGCAACTGATCAGGGGTACGCTGACTCACCAGTATCCTACGGGCAGAACACGCTCCACTTTTGTCCTCTTCACGACCAGTCTACCCTTTCCACCAGGACCTCGCTTGGCGCCAGGCAGAGGGAGCACCCGCTTCTGCGGTGGAGCTGGAGCTGGAGATGATGCGTCCCTCTGGCGAAGCGCTTCCCACTCTGTCCAATCCTCCTTTGTACACTCCTCGGTATCGAACCGCCAGAGGATAAAACCGACGAGGGTCCGATCATCTGCTTCTTCCTTCCCCTGCTCAACCTGAGAAGCCTCAGAGGAAAGCTCCCAGAGTAGGATCCACCTACCCTCTCCTTGGAGATCAAACATTTCCTCCTTCTTCTGCGCAGGACTCCAGGCATCGTTGAGCTCGTAGCTGGACTGCAGATTCCGCTGGAAGAGGTCGAAGATGCGCGTGCGGGTAGAGGCGGAAAGGAGGGCGGGGGAGGTGATGAGGGTCGCATGGAATGAGGTGGACGAGGGGAGTTGCTGATCGCTACTGGGGGCTATGGTGGAGATGGTGCCTTCGACTGCTCCGGGTGCGGATGACTGTTCAGGCTCCTGCGGTGGAAAGGTCCACGTCCAGAGGCCGGTAGTGACTCCATGGAGGTGAGCTGCGAGGGTGGGCGCGTGGAGCTGTGCGAGTTGTGTCACAGGGATGGTCAGCAAATGCGATGTACCGCGATGTATTGTATTCTCCTCTGTGTACTGACCAGCGCAGCCTGCCGTGCTACGGCTCTGGCTGGATGTCCATCGCTCTGGCCTTGACCATTGCCGAGGGCCATCGAGTACGAGGCGAGGCTGGGCAGTCTTGACCTCGATTCGATCGACGGAGTGGAGGAAGGACCGGCGGACGGCAAGAGCGGCGCACGCACACGGCGAGATTTGTCTGGGTGGGTGGCTCGAGCGCGGGCGCTCGCGGGTCGCGTCTGGCGTGGCGGCGGATGTGCCTGAAGGAAGAAAATTGCCGTTTGCCCCAACGCAAAGGCGCAGGGCGTAGCGCGGGCAGAGGGACAGAGGACGCCTACGCGGGCGGACTGACGTTCTAATCTCTGGGCGGGCGCACATCTCCAGCGTCACAGGAAAAAATGCAAGGGCAGCCAGGAAGAACAGCCGTGCGCCAAAGTGGGCGGGCCATGCTGTCTGTCTCTTCTCTCCCCCTTCCTTCTGCTTCCCGTCTTCTGCACCCACACCATCATCTACCCTTTGTTCGAAGCATTCGCCTTGAGCAGACCATCGAGTGTCACTCCATCACCACCACTCTTCGCCTTATACACTCTCCCTGTTCACTTAGGAAGAGCAGCCCGCGCATATCAGACGCAGCATAGATCAAACCTCCATTATCAGCTAGCTCAACTTCACTCCTGTTGCTAATCCCAGCGCATATAACCACCTCTGTACACCTCGCCCACCTCACCTTACACCTCCTCCACCCCTTCACAACATGCTCTACCAGCCCATCGCCAGTGAGTAGCTTTATCTGCACCGCCTGCTTCATGCCATATCAATCGACGCTTGAACTGCAAGCTGATCACTTCTTCCTCACCACCCGCCCTTTTCTCTTCACCCTCGCGCAGAGTCCCAGCTCGAGTGGTATGCCTCCCTCAACCCACTCGAGCACTCCATCAGTGCTACCAACAAGTACTTCCGTAAGACGTGAGTGTCCACAGCCTGGGCAACGGGCATCATCACCCCAGCGACCCACCGAGATAAGGATACGAGCGCAGCACTAACGCGGGTACCCTCGATTGATCGTTTCCCCTCTACCAGCTCCATCATTGCCACCATTGGTCCCAAGACCATGAGCGTGGAGATGCTGGGCAACCTCCGCAAGGCCGGTATGAACATTGGTGAGTTGTCAACTGCCACTCCTAGTCCCCAAGAGAAGGCTCACCTGCCCAAGGACATCCGCTAACCATCTACCCTGCTGCTCCGCCTTGCGCTGCTCTCCCTCTCAGTCCGACTGAATGCATCTCACGGTTCTCACGAGTACTTCAAGACCGTAGTGGACAACGCCCGTGCCGCCGTCGCCGCTGCTCAGGGTCGTCCCCTGGCCATCGCCCTTGACACCAAGGGACCCGAGATGCGAACCGGTGTCATGACGAACGGCGAGGATGTCAAGATCACCATCGGTCACGAGTTCTACGTCACCATGGACGAGAAGTATGCCGAGAGCTGCTCCGCCGAGTACCTCTACATTGACTACAAGAACCTCGCCAAGAAGGTCGAGGTAGGAAGGATCATCTACATCGATGATGGTATCCTCGCTCTCGAGGTCATTGCCATCGAGTCTGACCTCCTGGTCAAGGTACGAGCCGTCAACAACGGTACCCTCTCCAACAAGAAGGGTGTCAACTTGCCGCTCACCGACGTCGATCTTCCCGCCATCTCCGAGAAGGACAAGAAAGATCTGCTCTGGGCTGTCGACAACAACCTCGACATGGTCTTTGCCTCGTTCATTCGAAGGGGTTCCGATGTCCGAACCATCCGTGAGATTTTGGGAGAGAAGGGAGCTCACATCAAGATCATCTCCAAGGTCGAGAACCACCAGGGTGTCCTCAACTTCGACGAGATTCTGCGAGAGTCGGACGGTATCATGGTTGCCCGAGGTGACCTGGGTATCGAGATCCCAGCCCCTCAGGTCTTTATGGCCCAGAAGATGATGATCGCAAAGTGCAACATTGCCGGCAAGCCATCCATCTGTGCCACCCAGATGCTGGAGTCGATGATTGTCAACAACCGACCCACTCGTGCCGAGGTGTCGGATGTAGCCAACGCCGTCCTGGACGGAGCTGACTGTGTCATGCTGTCGGGAGAGACTGCAAAGGGAGCCTACCCTCTCGAGGCTGTTCGCATGATGGCCGAGACTGCCTTCCTGGCTGAGCAGTCCATCTCGTACGTTCCCCTCTTCAACGAGATGCGTACTCTGACTCAGGTGCCCACTGAGACTTCCGAGACTGTGGCCATGGCTGCCGTCGCTGCCTCCCTGGAGCAGCAGGCACACGCCATCCTGCTCATGTCTACTTCGGGTAACACTGCCAGGCTGGTGTCCAAGTACCGCCCACGATGCCCAATTCTGACTATTACCCGTGACGAGCACACTGAGAGGGACGTGCACCTGTACCGAGGATGCTACGGTATGTTCTTCCCTTACCCTCGTCCCGCAGACGAGTCTGGCTGGCAGAAGGATGTGGACAACCGAATCAAGTACGGACTCAGCGAGGCCCTGAGGCTGGGCATTGTTGAGAAGGGTGGAGTGTGCATCGTCCTGCAGGGCTGGAGGGGCGGAACAGGTAACACCAACTCGCTGCGCGTCCTCAACGTGCCCGATGCTGCTGCCGACTTCCAGATGGAGACTCTCAAGTAGAAGAGCAATAAATGATGCCCTTGTCCTTGCTCGAGGAAAGGGGTGGGGAGGATGGGAGCGGAGCAGGGCCGGGGTTGCAGCGTTGGTCCCCGGCTCCATAGAGCGCCATCCCTTTTCTTTGTGCCCAGTTCCCTTCTTGTCGCAAAAGTCTTTCCTTTCTTGTCGTGCCCTTCCTCTTTCGATACACAATGTAAAGTGAATTTCCTCGGATGCCATCGTGCCCATTGTCTCGCAGCCGCCGGTGAGCGATTATTGGGAGCCTTGGAATTCAGGAAAGCGGCAATTTTGAGGCTGAGCACGCTCTCGCACAGACCTCAATCTCACGGGCGGAACGAGGGGGATCGGGCATTTCCCCGCTTGGCAGGTTGCAATTGTGCTTCCTACTCACGCTCTCACCGGCTTCCATACCCGCACTCCCAGGGGGGCATCAGCGGTCATGGTAGAGCCTCGTCCACGCCTGAGCATCGATGGTGTTGCTCCTCGCGCCCAGAGCTATGCTGGCTACTCGACTCTGCACCCTCTACAGGAGGCCTCCTCCTCGCGGCTTCCCACCACGGGTACAAGTGCAGGTACAAGTGCAGGAGCACAGCGTCCCCAGCGACCGCAAACCCTCTTCCTCTCCCCCTCTTACTCTCACCCTTCCTCTTCCTACGCCACCGATGCCCCCTCCTGGCCTAGCCGCTCCAAGATGATCCGTAGCGTCTCGGCCGTCGGTGCTCCCTCGCTCGCAATGGAGAGCGAGCCGGCCACTTGGCGCGCTACAGCGCAGGGGGAGACTCCGTTGGATAAGACGATCAACTCGATCGGCATGGGAAGGTACCAGTGGGCTCTTCTCCTTCTTACTGGGTGTGGGTATGCAGCGGATAATGCGTGGCTGCAGGGAGTAGCGATCATCCTTCCTCGGGTGCAGAAGGATTTCGCCGTCCCAGACGGACAGATTGGACTGCTCAGCTCGTGTACTTTTGCAGGGATGATGCTGGGAGCATTCGCCTGGGGTACCTGGTCCGATGCAAATGGACGCAAGCTAGCATTCGACGGGACGCTCCTCCTCGTGACCGTCTTCGGCTTCCTATCAGCCTTCGCAGGCTCCTTTCCCACACTCTGTCTCGGACTCTTCTGTCTGGGTCTCGGACTGGGGGGATCTATGCCGACGGACGGATTAGTCTTTGTGGAGAATCTGCCCACGTCGAAACAGTACCTGCTGACGTTTCTGAGCGTGTTCTTCAGTATGGGATCAGTGGCCAGCTCGGTGTTGGGTCTACTCATCATACCGGGACCGGTGGAGAGGTGGAGGTGGTTCTTGGGAAGTTTGGCGGCATTGGTGAGTATAGCAGGGCAGGTTTTAGTGACAGTAACGGAGCAAACACTCAACTTCCGTCCTAATTCGCTCCCGAAAGACGACTTTCTTCTTGAGCCTGCGCATCGTCTTCTTTCGGCTAATCGAATCGCCCAGGTATCTGGCCTCTTCGGGACGATACGAAGAGGCAAGGGTCGCTCTGCAGAAGATTGCAGCATATAATGGAGCCCCCCTACCTGTGGCTCTGAGCGACGTTCATGACCAGGCAGAAGGCGCTAGCGAAGCAGGAGGGGGAAGCTCTGTGCAAGGGAAGGCTACACGGCATCGCCAGCCAGACTCTAGAGGTGGATACTCGGCTGTAGCCAGCAGCGACCCCGTGGAAGCTTCAGAAGGGGCAGAGGAAGTCACAGAGGAGCAAGAGGGGCCGACGTCACGAAGACCTCCAAAACGGACAGAGGAGTGGCTGCCAGCTGCTGTGAGCGAGGCACTTGCGCCTCTATTAGCAAAGTACGGCGCTTTGTTTGACGATGAATGGCGGTTGACGACTGTGCTCGTCTGGGGCATCTGGACTAGCGTATCCCTCGCCTATACAGTGAGTGATGACGCGACGCAGGGGCATGCCCTTAGTCGGCGCTGACCTGTCCACGCCTGACCTCCCGCCACAGATGTTCAACGTCTTCCTCCCCAAGTTCCTCGAATCACGCCTCTCTACCCCCACGGGTCCGTCCGACCCAAGCGCAGTCATGCGCGACTACCTCCTCTATGCCACTGCCTCTCTTCCGGGCTCTCTCCTCGGCGCATGGTCAGTCGAAACCCGTCTGGGTCGAAAAGGGACCATGGCTCTCAGTCTCTTTCTCACGGCTGTGGGGATGTTGAGCTTTATTCAAGCGGCTAAAAGGTGGCAGATCATACTTAGCTCGATGACCATTTCGCTCACGGCGACGACGGCGTATGCGGCGCTTTATGGATACACACCGGAGGTGTTTGAGACTGAGGTCAGGGGAACCGCTTCCGGGGTGAGCAGTCTTTTGAAAACAAAAGACACCCTTTGCTCTGCCGAGACTACTTCGCTGACCTCCTCCCTCCTCCGTCGCTCTGCTGATCAGACCGCTTCCGGTCTCTCGCGCCTCGCAGGGATCATTGCGCCCGTCCTCGCCGGCTGGCTCTTCTCCATCTCGATAAATGTACCCCTGGTACTGTCTGTGATTCTCTTCGTCACGGCTGCCGCCATGTGTCTGGCTTTGCCCATTGAGACGCGGCGTGAGAGAGAGAGGGATGGGGAGCTGCAAGAAGGTGAGGGTGGGGCGGGAGACGGAGAGCGGAGATGTGATGTGACATGAGCTGGTGGTCGTCAGTGGGGTGCGCTGCACATGAGCAATATCACACATTCAATCTTTACACCGCTGAATTTGATATTGAGGGTATACCCGCGATGTCGTCGTGTGTCGTGTGTCGACGCCCAGCTGCTGCTGCTGCTGTCTCTACTCACCTTCGGCTCCGGCTCCGGCTCGAATCCACTTCTTGCTCCCTGTCCGTCTTGCCGAGCGAGTCGAGGCAACTTCCGGCAGGCCCAGGCGAGCGGGCCACCCTCATTTCTTTCCGCCGGAGCTCATCGTCGTCGTCGTCGTCTTACAGCACACATCCTGATCCCCACTACCTTTTGCTACATCGACAGATCTTCACATCAGAAGGCTGTATCACTCTGACCGCTGCCCCCAGTCATCACATCAGGGATGAGTCGCCAGACCGTCACGGCGTCTCCCGAGCCCGAGTCCGGGCCAAGTCACGATCGCGGACAGGCAGACGACGACAAGGAGCAAGGAAATCAGGTCACCGTATCAGAGGAGCCGGCCTCCATGTCCTCGTCACCATCGTCTTCCAATCACTCTCTTGTAGCCTCGCCGTCTCGATCTCCGAAGGCTTCGACGGACTCTCGGCCTACTTCCCCTTCTCCATCTCGACCTCGTCGGCCTGCACTGGACGGGGAGGGGGAGGGAGAGCAGCAACAGGACCAGCAGCAACAGCAAACGCGGACGTCCTCACCGCCCCCTTCCTCCTCACCCGTACAAGCAGATGGTGACCAAGGAGAGGGAGATAGCGCCTCTCCTCTTGCCGCATCGCCCACCTCCGAGAAAGCCGATCCTTTCTCTACGTTGAAACCTGGAGGCAGTTCCACGACAGATTCTAGTGAGACAGAACCCCAAGAGGGAAGGCAGGAGGAGAGTTCAGCCGGAACTCGGACACGGCAGACTAGCAGGGAGTATAAAGAGACGCTCGATGCCAAGACCAAAGATGAGAAGGTAGGTCCTCTGTATCAGAGGTAGGAAGGCTGTGGGAGTCTAAGTACTGACAGCTTACCTCGCAAATCTACTCAAACACAAAGGATGGTACTCGCATGCTCAATCAGTATCACCTCACCCGAGTCATCGGGCAAGGCGCCTATGGTGTCGTCTTCGAGGGACGTCTCCGAGACAATGCCTCTGAAATCTTTGCCGTCAAGGAGCTCTCCAAGACTCGACTGAAGAAGTCACGTCGGAGCGAACAGCTCCGGCGGCCGGGTGCAGCTCGAGGTGGACTGAGAGGCAGAGGGCTACAAAGAGGACCTTCAAGAGGAACTTCTTCGGACAGGGAGGAGGACAAGGATCCGCTAGAGCTGATACGGAGAGAGATCGCGATCATGAAGAAACTTAATCATCCGAATATCATCTCGCTGCACGAGGTGCTGGACGATCCTTCGAGGGACGAGCTGTACATGGTCGTGGAATACTGTCCGTGAGTAGCTCCACCGATAAGACATCATGAGCTCTCAGTGATGCATATTGATCCCTCTTCTTCCTGCCAATCTTCTTACAGAGGTGGAGTTATCATCGATGTCAAGCTGCACGAGCGGACCACACCGCTGAAAGAAGAGGTCGCACGCTCCTACTTTGTGCAAATCCTCCTGGGCATCGAGTACCTCCATTCCAGCGACATTGTCCATCGAGACATCAAGCCCGCCAATATACTCCTCGCCGAAGATGGAAAGACGTGCAAGATTGTAGATTTTGGAGTCTCGGAGCTCTTTGCTCCCTCGGAAAAGCCAGCTGATGCAGTCTCTACTGCCAGAGGGCAGGGTACACCGGCGTTCCTCAGTCCGGAGATCTGCTCGGCTCGAGCTCCCTCCTCCCGTAAATCGACAGACGAGAGGAGACCTTCCCAGGGGGAGGGAGCGGGGTCAGAGAAAGCCGGGGTCAAGTCGGAGCGGGAGACTTCAGGATATCGGGACGATCTCTGGGCTCTCGGAGTGACCCTCTACTGCATGGTCGTAGGTCATCTCCCCTTTGACAAGTCTGGCTTCATGGATCTCTATGAAGCCATCTGCCATGAAGAGCCCGAGTACCCGTCACACTTGTCTCTGGAATGCGTCGATCTCCTGCAAAAGTTCCTGATGAAGGATGCCGAGAAGCGCATCACCATTGAGGACGCACGAGAGCATCAGTGGGTCACTCTGGCTGGCACCGCGCCCATCCCTTCGGCAGCCAAGAATCTCAGCTCTGTGGTCAGCGAGATCACCGAAGACGAGCTTCGCAAAGCCATCCGCAGAGTCTCTGGTGTGTTTGCGGTAGCAAGAGCTGTGACAAAGTTCAAGAGGCGCAAGAGTACAGCGAGGTCCACCGGCAGCAGTGCGAATGGAGAAGGAGGCCAGAGCAGCAACGAGCGCCAAGGGTCTATGCTCTGGCCGTCTTCTTCGAACCCTTCCTCGCCGCAAGTGCAACAGGGACCATATGACTCCCCTGAAGCATCGCCTTCTGTCTCTCGGGCCGGGTCGATGTTCTCTTCACTGACTGGCGGGGAGTCGGGTCTGGGTCTGACCTCGACAATGACCAGCTTAAAAGCTATCGGCACGAGCGGTGGGCAAAGTGGGCCGTCGAATGAACGTGCTCGATCTTCCTCGGAGCAATCACAGAAGAGTGCTGACGGTGCAGAGACAGACTCGAGGGAGCCGGAACAGACAGCGTCCTCATCTCTCTCCCCCATGTCCTGGGCAAGGTCGGCAGCATCTTCTGCGAGCTTGAGAAGTGGAGCCGCGGGTCTCACCTCGGCAATCAATACCGCGGCCAGTGCTGGCGCAAGTACAATCGGTCTTGGAACGATCGCCGAAGTGAATACGCCCGGATCTCCGGACAACAAGTCTGGCTGGTCGCTCTTCAAGGGTTCGAGGGAAGCAGCAGCCCAAGAGAACCACAAGGACGACTCTGGCTCTGTTGATATTGTGCAGTCCCCTCGTGCGGAGGGTGGTCAGGAGGGGTCAGACACGCCTACCAAAGTCGAATCGCCTTCTAGCGAGGACATAAAGGACAGTCCATTCGCGCCCTCTGGGGATGGCGAGCGTCGCCAAACCCAAACGGATCGCCTACACGCATCGCTGCAAGCTCTTGAGACCCGTTTAGAGGCTCTTATGAGAAAGTCGGACCCTACGGCTGCTAAAAAGCATCTCAGCAATCGACTACAGCAGGCTGGTCCGCTGGATCGCCTCTCGGCAGGTCTCAAGAGCTTCGGTCTTGATAAGATTGCGGCTGCGCTCGGCAGCCTTACTGGGCACGATGCAGGGTCTCCGAGCAAGGGCGAGGAAGCAGGCAAAGAAGATGCAGATCAAAGCCAAGAGGACGAAGATGAAGGCAGCGACGAGCGGCCAGTACCTCATCGACCTGACTCCCTTATCGAGCCAGACCATCTACAAGAGGACAAGGAAGGGCATAATGTGCACACTGGCCGCAAGACTTCTCGAGGTACTGCCTCTTCGGGAGTGAAAGTCGACCGCTTCTCCGAGCAGCAAGAACACTGGGGTCGGGCGCGCGGCGAGCGCTCATCGTCTGCGCTCGGGGACGAGCGACCGCACCTCTTCGGCGGACCTGTCGTGGAGAGCCCCTTGCGCGAGGAGGTACCTATGCACCAGGCCGTGCAGACACTCAGTGCCCTTGTGCCGGAAGGGGACGACCGGCAGGAGCAAGGGGAAGGGATAAAGACGGATGTTGGATCTGCGGGCGAGGGTATGGGCAGCAGCAAGGGTAGCGGTAGTGGCAAGAACAGCGGCAGCGGCGATTACTTTACCTCTTCCCTCGGACCCAAGTCCAAAGCTGCCGCGAAGCAAGGGGAGCGCCAGGACCACCAGCAGCAGCAACCAGACGAAGAGGGGGGAGCTCTCCCCTCTGCTGCAACATCAGTCTCTCCAGGCGCAATCGATCCTCACTCGGGTCGCATAGATGGGGAGGTGCCGGCAGGTGAGGACGGGGAAAAGCGCCATATTGAGCGACCGGCTGTGGGAGAGCCCAGAGAGGAGGACAAGCATGAGCCGCCCGTTGAGCCGGAGTCGGGTGCGGAGAAGGGGGATCAAGTCAGCAGGGGCGGCGACAGCAGCAGCAGCAAGAAGGACCCTGGTGAGCGTACTGCCTCTCCCGAGACCAGGAAGAAGGGTGGCGCAGCAACGGACGCAGATACACGACCGCGGGAAGACACGCAAACGCAAACAAGCTCGAAGAGACAACCAGCCACCATTGATAGTGAAGCTGCAGCAGGTCCAATCTCTGCCGAGGATTCTCTCCCTGCATCTGGATTCGGAGACAATGATCAGGCGGGACAGGGTGATGAGGGCCAAGAGGGCGAAGTGAAGGACCGTAAGAAGGGCGGACAGGGGGCGGCTGTCCTCTGATGTGCCGATCTGCAGTGGTGAGAGCGACTGATGGGGGAGGAGAAGAGGTGGGAATCGCCCTTGTCCGTACGCACGAGGTACAATTTCCTGGTTCGATTCCCCACAATTATGTATACTAGCAAAGTGCGCTTGGTTACTCTGAGCGCCTTTTATCTTTGATCTCCCTTTACATTGTGCGGCGCTGCGCTCGCCCATCCGTCCGCTCACTCGAAGTGTAGTCTAGAGAGCCAATCAGTCAAGAACAAACAGAACGTAATCTTCTCGCTTCTCGTTGTGCTTCAATTGACAGGAGGGGGAGGGTGTGGAGGAATGGAGAACACAAATTGCGAAGACACAAACAAAGAGTAAAGGCGAGAGTTACGACACGGTCGAGGACTGGCGGGAGTGTGAGCGGAGGGAAGCGAGCATGTGTGCGATGAGAGGTGGCGCTCGTAGATATGTGTGGGTAGAGCAGAGGGAGCCCTCGCAGATACAAGAAGAGTCTCATGGGTGGTTGTAGAGGAGTGCATTTCGCATCAAGCGTATTCGACCATGAGTGTGCAGCGGGGCTTGAGGCTTGCTGAGCTCACCTCTGTGGGCCATTGCCGCCACCGCCGCCGTAGTAGGGCATCCCGCCCATCATTCCAGGGGGTGGAGGCGGCATTCCCTGACCGCCCGGCGAGCTGGCTCCTGCAGCACCAGAGCCTCCACCATAGGGACCCAAGTGCTGAGGGGAGCCCGCTGCGCCTGGTCCAGGCCCGTACAGCATCTGCTGGTGGAAGTAAGGCGAGTGAGGAGGCGGGGGAGGAGGTCCAGGGGGCATTCCGCGCATGGGGCCCATACCTGGCGGCATGCCTTGCGGACCCGGACCGCCGCCAGTGAGGTAGGAGTGCTGTACATGAGGCGGTAAGGCCATGAATTGGTGCTGCAAGTGGGGCGGGAACCCGGCGAGCAGGTTGCCCAGATTGGGACCTGGGCCTTCTCGAGCATTGCCACCTCCGCCGCCTCGCATTGCAGGATGGTTGTTGCCGTTGATGCCAGGTGGAGGAGGGCCTTGAAGACCAGGAGGTGGGCGAGCCAGCAGACGTGGGTCGAAGGGAGGTCGGCCTGTACCACCAGGGGACTGGGCAGGCCCACCACCGTTACCAGAGAAGCCAGGAGGCAGTGAGCCGAATTGCTGCATACCGCCCTGATGCGAACCCATTCGCTGATGTTGACCTTGCTGGTGGCTTTGTTGCTGTTGAGGATGATCGAAGAACCCTACACCGGGGCTCTGAGATCGATGCTGCTGCTGCTGTTGAGCGCCAAAGCTCATGTTGGGACTCTGGGCTCGAGGCGGAATGCCCATGGGAGGAGCAGGCGACGCTCGACCTGTGACACCTGGAGGTGGATGAGCGTGAGCATTGAACCTTGCTGCTTCAAGCCCGGGTGGAAGCCCTTGACCTTGCTGAGGATGGCGCTGCTGTTGAGGTGAAGGAGCGCGCTGACCACCAGAAGAAGATACTGATGGTGAAGGCTGGGCTCCTCCAGAGAGCATTGCCATCAAACCAGCTGCTGCTGCACTGCTGACACCATCGCCACCGCCTCGACCCGATGCCTGCTGGGAAGGAGTGCGGGAGCCATCGCCCTTGCCACTGTCCGGTCCTCCACCGCCTCCTCGAAGGAGCGCCATAATCTTCTGCATACTCTCGGCATCGGCATCACTGGGTTTTCCATCGCTGCTACCACCTCCAGCTCCAGCCTGCGGGGATTTGACAGTCTCTCCACGATGCTGAGATTGTTGTTGTTCCGAGGAGGATTGCTGAGGCTGGGAGTGATTCATCATCATGTTCTGGAACAAAGCTTCCATTCCGGCACTAGCATTGGAAGGCGTTGAAGTGCCACCCGGCGTGGAAGCGGCGAGGCTGGGACTGCTCGTAGAGTTGATACCTTGGGTATGGGCAGCCAGAGCCTTTTCCTGGGCTTCTTTAGCCTTATTCGTAGCAGCAGCGCCATCAAAGAATCTGGCAAAGCGACTCGACCCCCGGCCTCCTGCGGGAGTGGCCGCGGCGGCTGAAGGTGTAGATGCGGCCGAAGCAGAAGCAGTCGATGACGTAGGGGCACTGGATGCACCTGCCAAGCCAGGAGGTGGACCCGATGCTGTCGGAGGCTTACTATCTCCAGATTCGATGTGTCCGTCTGTACCCTCGTCCGCCTTCTTCTGAGAGGTTGCGGATGCATCCGTTGGCTTCGAGAGACCAGGTGGTGCAGATGGCCGAGCAGCGGGCGCGGGCTGCGAAGTGGCATCACGATCGGTTGTTGTGCCATCGCCGCTCTCTTTCTCCCTTGCTCTCCTTTCTCGCTCCTTCATCTCTCTCTTAAATGCCTGTATGCTGTCTTCACCTGCAAGTGGTGTAGCATGGATTTCGGATCCCTGGAAAGCATCGAACTTGAGCTTGCCCCTCTCCTTCTTCTCTCCTTGTGCTGGGTGTGAAGGGGTTGAAGCATTGTCGTCCATCCAACTCGGCGATTCCGCTTCCTCGGCCATCCAAGCGGGGAAGGCGGCAGAGCCACCTGCCCCACCTCTCCTGGAATCTTCGCCCCTTGCACCTCTAGCTCCCACCGCTCCCCTTCCACCGATTGCTTCAGAGTTTCGCTTGGGCAGTCCAGCAGCTCCAGGACCTCTCCTCCAATCAGATGCTGCGTCCGCCAGTGCTCCAGCTCGCACCATCTTGCGCTCAGCATCCGGTGAGCGAGGGACCGTCTCCCACTCGCCATCTTCTTCTTCTCCACCGCCTCCCCTGGAGCTGGCACCACCGTCTTCGCGTCGAGAGTCTCCTCGGTTGAAGTCCTTGCCCATACCACCGCTGCGAGGCATCCGAATGGGCTTGCCTGCCTCATCGAAGGCGACAGGCTCTCGTTGTTCTCGATCACGGCCATACGAGGACATCCGTCCCATTGGGAACTAGAGCAAGAAGGAAGCAGAGGAAGATTCAGCTCAAATCGCTCGGGGAGGTATACGCCTTCAATAGAGGACTTACCCTGCCTTCGCCGTCTTTGCCTGCTGGCTTGAAAGTGCCGCTTGCAGAGACTTGACCAAAAGGATTCTTGCCTGTAAGAGAGAATCGGGAGTTCGCACCTCGTGGGTCTGGCAGACGCAGGGTACCTCGTCAGGCGGAGATATCAACACGCATGACTTTCCGCGGCGACTCACCGTTTGCGTATCTTGGAACAGCGCCATCGCCTCCTGCCTCCCGATCTTCATATCGTTTGTTGTAGGGCGCTCTGCCCTCCCCTCTGTCACCGCCCCTCTCTCTGTCATGTCGTTCCGGGCGATCACCACCTCGCTCTGACCTCTCCCCAGGAGGTCCGCCTTCCCTCCTCCTCACGCCTTGGAAGCCGGGAAGGTAGCCGTCTCTGCCATTGGCATGCGTGGACTGTTGAGCATCTCCTTTGCTGTGTGAGAATTCGCCCATTGGGCCGGATGCATCATCGTGTTGCATACGTCCGTAATGTCTGCCGTGTCCACCTGCCTCTCTGTCACCTCCCCGGTTATTGTATCTCCCGCCCTGCTGCTCTGAGTCGCCTCGGTGCTGATATTGATTCGAGTGCGACGTATGGCCTTGGCGTGGTGTATACGATTCCCAGTCACTATGAGAAGAATGAAATGGATGAGTGAGCATTCATATCAGATGGCAACGCCCGCGTCTGAGTCGCATCGGCAAGGAACTCACCCGAACCACTGCTGGAACGGAGGCATCTCTGGTTGCTGTACCAACGGACTACCCGACAGCTTCAGTAGGAAAGCGCGGGAATACTTGACCCTGCTGTCGTGCACGGCAGTCTGTGCAGCTTGGCCATTCCCATTGCCGGTGGACGGTCGAGAAGCAGGGCCTAGCCCTGGAGGAGGCCCGACTGCGAGATAGCGATGGTAAGACATGTCAGTAGCTGGTACCACAAGCACAGGTCACCAGAAGGGTCTCTCTTCGCCCCTTCGCTCTTTCTTGCCGAATTATCTGCTGTCGCTTGTACTCACCCACTGCTGCTGACGCCATGCTGATTCAGTGATTCGATATGCAGCGAGTCAAATCAACTTGAATGTCTGAGGCGTTGAGGGGGTTTCACTTGTAGGTTGTGGATGTCTCAGTGAGGCACGGAGAGAGCCGAGAAGAGAAGGCAAGTGAAGAGAAATCGTCCGCGAGAGAGGCTCAATGGTATCAATGAGAGACTAGGTTCGATTGGGACTCGCTGAGAAGGATGACGAGGTGTGCGTCCGAGACACTCTCAGTGGGGACGGCGAAGGTGTTGATAGGATGTGTTGATGGAGGTGATGGACCCGGTCCCTACACTTTTGGACGAGCGGCCTGCAGACGGGGACGATGCTCCATCGAGGAGCCTTGGGCATTGGCCAGTCCGCACCGCGCGCTCGGAGCCGAGGCCGCCATGGCCAAAGGAAGGACAGACGTGAGACGCAGGGTGACACACACACGCAGAAGGGACTCACGCTTACAGTCACACTCGAGCTCCACTCACTCAGCATTAGAGACCTTCCCTTCCTGCGTAGTCTTCCATGCTCATCCTTGAACACGTCACCACAATGCTCCCACGCTCACTCGCCATGCGCTCGATGCGCTCCGCTCTCCGTCCCTACTCCACCACCCCTCGCCTCCTCGTAGCTTCCAAGAAGCCCGCCGCAACCTCAGCGGCAGACCTGCACGACCTTCCATCGTCGGTAAAGCAAGCTGGCAAGCCCTCTTCGTCTTCTTCCTCCTCGTCCTATGCTCCCTCGGGCAACTCGACTTCAGCAGCAGACATCTCCTCGCGTCCTTCCGCGCCGGGACCCAGTGGACCTGAAGTGGACGCTTCGGTTGCTGCGCCTGGACAAGCTGCCGCTGCCAGGTCTGGTGGTGGAGCAGGAGGAGTTAGCAATGGAGAGCAGCAGGAGAACTGGACGACGAGCTTTGCTGGAATGAGCGAGAAGCCATTCGGTGGAAAGGCGGCAGAAGTGCTGGGAGAGGAGATCAATGCAGAGGATGTGGAGATCAAGCCTGGTGAGTAGTGGTTGCAGAATGACATTGCTGAGTCGTGGATTAGGGCAGTGGCAGGCCGTACGGTCCATACAGCCGTATGAGGGCGATGTGAGCGGCGGTATGAGCGTTCCGTCTTCGTCACCGCCAATTGCCGCATACCACCCTACTTCTGTTGACGCCCCATTGGGAAGAGGGATCACAAGCTTACTCCTAAGCTTTTCCCGATCAACAAATGGCAGAGTGTTCTCCCAAGTCTGAAGGAAAGCCAGGCGCAGCCATGAGGCGGGCCATGGAGGGGCACGAGACCAGGAAGAAGAGGAGCAACCCCCGGTCCGCTGGCGGATGGAGTTGAATGTACAGAAGAGAAAGGGTACGGCCTACAAGGGGCGGATGTTCCCTGCATACACAGCTTCTCATTGTACAATGCAACAGTCATACAGCACTTTATCCTTCCATCTCCGTCACGATAATGTCCTCATTGATTGTGGGAAGCAATTTCATCTGACCCTTCTCAACTCCTATTCCCCTATCGCCTGACGGTTCCACTACAGACGGACTCCTCTACCTACCCGAGATCAAGTACAGGAGGGTCCTCACACGTGCATTCGGAGCCGGCGGCTGGGCCATGGCTCCTCGGGGAGAGACGAACGTGGGACCAAAGGTGGTCTCGAGGGAATGGGTACTGGTGTGTCTCGGTCGGTAAGTACAAAACAGGCTTCACACGCTGCACCTTCGACCAGAGAGTCAACCCCTCTGATCTTCACCCCTCCCTATTTCCCCCTTTGGCTCTCCTCTTCAGCTTCGTCTCCACCGCCCGCGGCGAGCAAGAGTACTTTGATCCAAATGGCATCGCAACTGCCTCTGAAGCAGCCAAGTCCAATGCCCTAATGCGGTGCTGTAAAGACTTGGGCATCGCTAGCGAGCTCTGGGATCCGCGGTTCATCAGGGAGTTCAAGAAGAAGTACTGCATGGAGGTCTTTGTCGAAGATGCTAGGACGGGAAGGAAGTGAGTAGAAGCTGAAGTGGCAGAAGGACAGGAGGGACTCTTGGTGAAGAAAGAGACGAGGAAGCTGACGACTGATTGTCTTCTCGCTTTTCATCGCCCCTCTACAGGCGTAAGCTCTGGAGGAGGAAAGATGCTGGTCCCTTCGAGTATCCGCTCAAGGAAGTCAAGTAAAGGCGACATTGTAGGGTCTCGCGATAGGGTCATGTAGATTGCACTCGTCACCACTTTCAGCTTTCTATGCATACATTGAAGACTGGTACGACTATGACAAGGAAGGAACGCCGTCCTTCGACGTGATGATCCTGACGCTCCGCTGCTCGTCGAGACTGACACGGCCGGCATTGAGGATCGCAGTGGTGTAGACGGTGTCTTTAATCTTTGGGTGGTGAAGTGGAAGAGGAGGTAAAGACCGTCAGTCCACTGCTGCCGCTGCCGCTCCTCCGCTCTACTCCTCCCCCGCCTACTCACAGTCGGCAAGACCCCCTCGTACGACTCTGCTGTCCTCTCCCCCTTGTTGATCGCCGTGCAAGCCCTGGTAAAGAGTTCCAGAGAGCGGTACCCATAACCATTCTGGCCAGCAAAATGTCCGTCTAGATCGGCCGAGTAGAGCATGTAGAAGGGATTGATGTCTGCCGAAGCGCCCTGACCTTGCCCGTCTTCTTTGACGAGGGTGTATCCTCTCCGGGATTGGTTGACCTTGGCTTCGCCCTTGGTGCCGACGTAGTGGAAACCTTGCTCGCTATGCACACCTGCACCTGAAGGAGCCGTCCAGCTGGCGGTGAAGATGGCCGTGGCGCGCTGACCTGACAGTGGGGAGCCAGTCGACTCATCGAGCAATTCGCACTCGACGAGGAGGGTGATTGTGTCTTCTGTACCCGCCTGGCAGCCGAGGCTCTCGGCGATGCCCTCTGATGCGGAAGCGGTTACCTTGACGGGTCTTGCCCGACCTCGGACATACCAGTCGAAGATGTCCACGTGGTGTGAGTTCTGTAAGAACAACAAAAGGTCATGGCAAGAGTCAATAACCCCATCTTGATCTCTGTTGGGCCTTCTTGCTGTGCAGACTCACCAGGTAGTAGGAAATATCGCTATCCTTGCCTGCCCAGCTAGCAAAGGTCGCCAGCTGCTGCTTTGGCTGTGACATGTACGAGTAGAAGTAATTCGGCGACCCCAACTCCATCCTCGCCTTCTCCCTCGCATCCGAGTAGGCCGGATCGAAGCGCTTGTGGTGCTCTACATAGCACAGTACACCTTCTTCCTGAGCTATCTCAGCCAGACGCAAATGGTCGGTGAGCTTCTGTACGGCGGGCTTGGTCACCAAGACGTGAATCTTGCGACGCAATGCGTATTCGGCAATGGCAAAGTGGGTGGAGTCAGGAGTGAAGATGGTGATGGCGTCGCCCGGGGAGAGTGCGTCGATGGCCGTCTTGTCTGTGGGAGGGAGAGAGTGAAGGCCGGCAGGCTGTCAGCGTGATGCCGTGGGCAAGGCTGCGCAGCACTAGACTACACTCACAAGCATCGGCGTCCTTGACACCCGGTGCAGGGTATCCAGTATAGGTAGTGTCCATGTCCTTGTATCTGGCCTCGATGTTCTTCTTGAAGTGCGCCTTGATCTGGGCATGCTTGTCTCCCGATGTTCCCACCATGCTTAGCTCGGGTCCACACAGACCTCTTCTCCGTAGGTCAAAGTAGACTAGACCAACAACGCCGACCTGAGAGGCGTACGAAGAGACTGAAGTGAGCCGATGCGGCCGCTTGGCTGCGTGCGGTAGCTGGCTCCACTCACCTTCTTGTCGGAAGGACTGCTCTCGCTCCCGCCTCCCACCATTCCACTTGTGTACTCGCCGCTGCCCACCCAAGTCACATTCGGAAGATGATCTGCAGTCGGCATGGCAGTAGCCGTGTGTAGCAATCTGGCTAGTGAGGGGGAGAAACAGGCAAGCTGGCAAGGTGCAATGGAAATGCGGGGTAGCTTCTTATACTCTACTTGTCCGAGCCCCGGACTCACCCCGGCCGTTGCTTCCGTCTTCGGCCTCTTCGCGGCGTCCTCCAGCTGTAGTCAAGCAGGCAAGAGGTCCTGACGAGGAAGAAGTCACGCCCATACTCTGGGCCAGTCACGCCGATATATCATTACTTGCCAAGCTAGCACGCTCGTGGTCTCTAGCAGTACCAGTGAAATGAGCATTCATGGCGTACCGGTAGCGTGGTAGGGGAGTGGGCAGGACCGGCGGCAAGTTGCGTCGGATCGGAAGGGAGCATGGGGTGAGCCGCGGGAGAGCCGCGGGCCATCCGTGCATTTGTCGCGTGGCTGCTCTGCCGAGTTGTCGGTTGCCCGTGCTTTGCTCTCTTGGCGCGCGGGGTGACTGTCCGGGCAAAATAGTCTTGTAAGGGCGGGCGAGGGCTGCGAGTGCACTTGGACGGCGGCGTGAGTCAGTCTGCCTGTTTGTCTCTCCTTGCAGCGGAACCGACGGCGACAACGACGACGACTGATCTCACACGCCACTCCTACGCCGTTCCGTTGCCATGAAGCGAATTTGAAGGTAGCAGCGGTGACTCCCGTGTCCATCGTCAGCCATCGCTCACCCTCTAGCGATTTCACCCGCACTCCCTGACTCAGACCCACACCTTGCCTTCTCCTTCCCTCTTCCCTCTGCATCCTACCTCGACGTCGCATTCATACCACTGTTCACATGCCTTGCTAGCCGCCTCCATCCTCCCACCCGCTCGACGGACGTACCCCTCGCCTAGCACTGTACACGAGCTCATCCATCTCGCCTTGCCTGTGCTTACGTCCTCATGGGCGTGTTGCTAGACCAGCCTCAGCGTCAAGGCTCGGTCAACCCCACACCACACTCCCATCAACGAAATCAGACGTCTGGACGCCATGACCAACCTGCCGCCGACGTCGTCAAGCAGCCATGGTACCGCATACAGACGCGCTACCGGTGGGGCTGGTGCTTTCTCTGTATCATGATCTGGGGCAGCATCCTCTCCCTGGATCGCCTCGTCACCTACTCCTTTCAGACCCTCGCAGCCAATTCCTTTCAGAAACATTCCTCCCTCACCTTCATCTCTGTGGTGCGGTCAGTGATCGCCGCTCTCGCTGGCCCGCCCTTTGCCATTCTCGAGCAACTGGCAGGGAGCCAGATTGCCTGGCTCGTCGCCCTTGCTTGCTACGTAGCAGGTCATGGCGCTACTGCTGGTTCCACATCCGTCGCAACCTACACAGCAGGCATTACCTTCTACGAGCTCGGTGCAAATGGCTGTGTCATCTTGCAGCAAATTCTCGTAGCCCGCGTCACCTCCTCGAGGGATCGACAGCTGTTCCTTATCCTACCACAGCTCAGCTTCCTCGTTTGGGCCTTTATTTCATCTAGCATCTTCAGCGCATTGTCGACTCATTGGAGGTGGGGCATTGCCTTGTTTTCCATACTCGGACCCATCGCATTGCTGCCCTTGGTGGGACTGCTGCACTACACTCCATCACCAACTCGAGAGACGGGCACACTGTCAGACGCAGACCCGATTCCGTCTGACAAGGTCCTGACAAAGGGGAGACAGTGGTCCTCTACCTTCAAGACCACCTGCTCGAAGGCAGACGTGATTGGCCTGGCCCTTCTTGGGAGCGGCACTGCCGGCGTCCTGGTACCACTCATCCTCGCCGGTCCTGCACTAGCCTGGGCTAAACCAAGATGCTTGGCGCCCCTCCTCGTATCTGGTGTGCTGATCCTACCAACCTTTTTGGTCTGGCAACTCAAGTACGCACCGTACCCACTGATTCCGAGATCGCTCTTCCGCTCAAGAACCTTCATCTTTGGATCCATGGCCGAGATCCTCTTCCAGGCATCCTTTGCCGGAGCTGCGGCCTACCTTCCCACCTATCTCTACGTAGTCATGGGCACCTCGGCCGACGCGCAGCAGAATGTGTCCTCGGTCTTCAGCTTCTCGTACGCACTGGGGTGCCTGCCCATCGCACTCGTTGTCCGCTACGCACGCAAAGTCAAGTACTTCGTCGTATTCGGTGCAGTGCTCTTCACTATTGGTGCAGGCGTGATGATCCTTCGCGGGCCGAACGACACACCTAGTCTCTTTAGGATCGTCGTCTCGCAGGTGTTGATGGGATTTGGAGCAAGCGCGAGCATGGCAGTGATCCCTTCGATGGTACAAATCGATGCTCAGCGGCGCTGGGCAGGCTCGCCAAACAAGACCGTTGGCGGAGCATCTTGGGAAGACCAAAGCGGTAGCAGCGTTGATGCTCAGGTGACGAGGGACGAGTCAGACGACGCCATCACCGTCGTTGCCACACTGAGAGCCGACACTCAGCCTCGAGGTACTTACACACGCTCTCCGGGTCCGCTGAACTTGCTGGACAGCGATGTAGGCAAAGCGATTGCGGCGCTCAACATCTGCCAGAGTATCGGTGCTGCCATTGGAAATGCCCTCAGCGGCACACTATGGTCTACATTTGTCCCCCGCTACCTCAATGAAGAGCTCGCCGCCATCGGAGTCGCAGATCAGGTCGGGGCGGTCTTCTCCGCTCCACTCACGTGGATCGTAGACTACCCTATTGGGACAGAGGAGAGAGACGCAGTGATCAAGGGTTATAACAAGGTGTGGAGACTAATTATGATCCTCTTCACTGCCCTGCTCGCTTGCTCGGTGCTGGTCGCTCTGCTGATGGAAAATCTCCGACTCGATGACGGGATTGGCCAGTCGGCTGAAGCAGCAGAGGGAAAGACGGGTCTCAAAGACTCCAATGGCCCCGCACAATCTGTCGCCGGGGACCAAGAGCTCGGATCGGGTCGCGAGGAAGGCTTCGTGAGCGATCTCCTCGGCCAGACCTTCTTCCTGCGAGTTGAAGCATGGTTTTGCAGAAACTTCCCACGTCGCAGCAGCAGCAGCGGCAGTGCTAAGATGGTCGCACCCCGCTTCGTGAGACGGATCACTGCAAGTCCAGAGCCCGAAGCCACACACGTCCAGGGCGTCCCTGATGCGCTCCAACGTAGCATTGCTCAAGATCGAGAGCGCGAGACTGGATCTCATCTTCAGGAGCGAAGACCCAGCAAGCAGGACGGTGCGGATGCGGTTCAAGTCTAGTGCTATTGCACTTGTTTATATAGGTATACTTTCTTCGAAATATTTCCCCCGTCGTGTTGTACATACAGGTATCGTCGTCACCATCCATCCACCCATCCATCCATCCATCCCGTCTCTTTCCTTGCCCACATATCCGATAGGCGCTGGTTCGCCTCTGTCCATAGTACCTGCTCCACCCACCGTGTTGATTATATTATACTTGGTGTGCCGTAACTCATAATTCGTGTGACAGAGTGTTTTGGCTGAAGCGGCTCTGCGAGGGGTCTGTTGCAGCATGTGACTGCTAGGGCGACTGGCGATGGCGGCCGTGACCGTGACCGTGCTCGACCTTTGACAGTCCAACACGGCCCTTTTTGGATGAGGCTCTAGTGTCGATGAGCTCATCGAGTCGTAGCCCAATCCGAACGAGACGCTCGAGATCAATCTTGAGGTAGAGGCAGACGCCTCTGTTGGTTGTGTCTTCTTGCCCTTCTTGTCTCAGCTTGTGGGGATAGCCGTTGCAGCTGAAGCATCTCTCTCACCCGCCAGTAGAGAATCCTCTGTTTCGCCCTGCACAGCGACCTCTTGCGCCTTTTCCAGCTTCTTATGCCTATCCACTGCATTAGACCAGTAAAGTCTCTGTTCACAGTCCTCTACGACCCACTGCAATCCCTCCTGGTATCCCATCTCCTTGACCGCCGAGCAAGGTAGGATCCTCCCTTCTCCTCCTCCCCTCACTCTCAATAGCTCTTCCAATCCCAACACTTCTCGAATCTCTTCACTGCTCATTGCTCCTGGTAAGTCTTGCTTGTTGGCTAGAACCAAGAGAGAGCAAGTGGCCAGCCGTTCCTCACGCACCATGAGCTCCCACAGCTCCTCCCTGCACTCTTTCATGCGTGTTCGATCACCCGAATCCACAACCCAGACGAGGGCGTCTGTTCGCTCAAAGTAGTTTCTCCAGTAAGGCCGCAGGGTTCTCTGTCCTCCAATATCCCAGATATTCAGCGTGTAAGGCGGGTGGGAGAGGGAGACAATGTCAAAGCCTAGTGTAGGGGAGAGACGATCCCAGTCGGGGGAGTGAAGGAGACGTTTGAGGATGGTCGATTTGCCCGAATTGTCCAGACCGAGGAAGAGGAGACGGAGCTGCCGCTCGCGATGTGCGGATTTGCGAATGATCGTCAGCAGACCCATTGCGGGCGCAGCAGAGGAGTACGAGATGACAAGATCAAGATGTGGTACCAGAGACGATGGTCATGGTCATGGTGTCAGTCTTGTGTCGATCTTCTCACCAATTCCTGATTGAAGTAGTCTGGGTCGCAGCTGGCGGAGTTGGAATAGTGTTGCTCTCCACACGGCAGCCACTGCCTTCTTCCCGATGGACAGACGACCCCACACAACACCAATCATCTCCCATTTGCGAGCCTATATACCCAACCTCAGTCATCCTCGGCTTTGACAGAGTCTTCCCATGAGTATCAGTAGACCATGCTCCTCATGTTGCGCAGGGAACAGTAGCATGTTGAATGGCAGCAGCTCTTGGCTCCGGATGGCCTCGACCAGCTCTAATGGAGCCGCTATCACTCCTCTCCCTCGTCCACGGCTGCCTCCCTCCTCGAGATCAAGATGCAGACCGCCCTCAAAGCGCTACATTTCCAACAAATCTCGGAGGTGCTTCTCATCTGCGTCTTCCTCAGGAGCAGAGCAGCAGTCTCGAGAGCCATCAAAGGACGTCGCAGCGCAGATCCGCGCTCTCATGCGGCAGTCCGCTCAGCCGGTAGCGATCATCACTGCTTTCCTCCCACCTGCCTCTGCCTCCAAATCAAAAGGCTCAGCCAGTGAGGGTAGTAGCACGATTGTTGGAGAAGAGGAAGAAGCAGATAGAGGGGAGGCCTTGCTGGTGCACGGAGCCACACTCTCCTCTCTAACGACCGTCTCCCTTGACCCTCCTCGAGTGGCCTTTTCCCTCAAGCTGCCCAGTCGCATGGCCGACGCCCTGCTCCACCATCAGCGTCACTCTCAGAGGATACGGGCAGCGAAGTACCCTTCAAGCCACCTCTCTCCTCGCCCGCATTTCATCATCAATCTTCTCTCCAGCACACAGGCACGCATAGCTGCCTCTCTTGCCCGACCAGGCACTGCTCCCCTCGACCCCGCAACGCACCCCACGCTCCTCTGGAGTAGCGCTAGTAAGGCTGCAGCGGCAGCAGCAGCGGTGACACAGGGGGAGCTGGGCTCGGCAGAGCAGGTCATGGGAGGGGATGCACATCCACTGCACATGGAGGATCTAGTGATGAGTGCACATGCGTTCTCTTCCCGTAGTAGTACGGCAGGCGGGAGTGTAGGGACGGACAAAGGGCAGAGAGAAGTAGAGGAGGAAGGGGAAGGGGAAGGAGTGCCCCTCTTGCGAGATTCACTCGGTGCGCTGGCTTGCACCCTCGAGACAAGCCTGGATCTCGGCTCAGAAGTCATCACAATGGACTCGTCTGCTCATGACCGAGGAGAGGGCGAGGGGCAAGGCAAGGTGGATGAAGCGGAAGAAGCGGGCAGCAGGCTCTTCATTGCTAGGGTAGATGCTGTCGAGGGCGTGCAGCAGGCAAACTGCTCTACCGGTGCCGGTGGTGGAGTGGAGTCCGACGAGGAGAGCAAGCTGCCGTTGCTGTATTGGCGGTTAGGCTTTACGACCGTCAAGCAGGAGAGCTAGCAGCCGCAGAGGCAGACGCGAGCAGTCAGAACCATCATAGACGATGGAAGTATCACACAAGAGTGTCAGATTGTTGACGAATGAATGACTCTCTAGCTCGAACAGATGTTGTTGACGAGGCTCTCTACTTTGGGTTCCACTGTGGACATTGAACAGCAGAGCACCGCGAGGACAACGGTCAGCAACCGGTGCCTGTCTGTCTAGCTCCCTCTCTCCCATCTTCAGCGGCTACTCACCAGTTTCAGAGCTCCATCACTACCCAAGGTAGCCACCTCTCCACTGCCGCCCTCCTCGTCCAACCAGCCAGCCCAGCCCACTCCGCCCGCATGCGCATTTCTCTTCTCCACCTTGCTCATTGGCCTCTCCGTACTCCATACATATACGCTACAGTCCAGTCCGCCGCTGATGGCCTTTTTGCCATCGGCAGAGAAGCACAGTGATGTGATGCGGGAGGTGTGGAAGACCCACTGGGAGAATTTGAGGTCCAGAGATGGCAGGGACACCACGGGAATCTTGCCCGTCGAGTCGGCGCTGGCGAGGTAGGATTCGTCGCGCGAGATGGCAAGAGCGGTAACGGCGGAGCGGTTGCGCTCGCTGATCTGGGGAGCCTTGTCCAGGGCTGACGTCGAGTAGAGGTAGACCTTGCCTTGCTCAGAGCCGATGGCGAGGTGGTTCATTGAGGCGAAAAGGGCTGAGGGTGCTGGGGTGGGAAGGCTGGAAAGGGGAGTGCTGAAAGAGCTGGAACCGGCAGGGAGAAGTACTACGGAGGTCGCTGTGAGGACATACACGTCGCCTTTGGGAGAGACGCTCAGACCCTTAGCAGCCGATGGCAAGGGCAGTGACAGCGAGCTGAGAGGATGCCTGTCGTCAGCCTCTGGCCTTTGCAGCACTCGATGAGCAGCATCACGACTACTCACTCTGTCTTGCCTCCAACAATCCGTCTCAAAACATCGTCCAGTCCCACGGCGTATACCTCCTCCGGCTTCCCGTCGGCCGACTGCAAGAAGGTCACGACGGGCCCTCCGATCTTGAAGCCCGCGACTGTGCTGACCTGCCAGTCCGCCTCTCCTGCCTTGCTGCGCTGATACCGGTAGACATTTCCATCCCACGAAGCAGCCAGGATCTCCTTTGCGCTGACCCGAACAGCGGTAGTGATGCCCTTTGTAGGGTTCAGGTACCTCCCCTTGATCGAGCCCGGTTGAGTGACGTCGAAGGTGACGAACTCCCCGAGAAGATTGAGAGCCACACCCGTCTCACCATTCGCGACGACTATCGCTACGAGCTGGTCTCCTGCATTGGCATGTCCAGCTTTGAGATCCCATTCTCCAATCTTCTCGCCTGCCGGGACACTCCACAGCTTTGCCAAGCCGTCCGCTGCCACGCTCACCATCTTCGAGTCGTCGGATCCCACAAAGGCAATATCGAAGACGGTTCCCCCTCCGCCGGCCGAGTCGATTGTGCTGACCACTTCTCCCGAGGAGCCATCGTAGAGGATCACCTTGGAGTCCGAGGCGCAGGAAGCAAAGTACTTGCCCGAGGGCGAGTAGACAAGGGACTGCAGGAAGCGGGTGTGCGAAGAGAGGGTCGAGGCGTACTATCCCAAGAGCGAGGGACGAGACGCTGCGTGAATATTGGTTTACCCACTTCGTCGCTCTTGCGGTCACTCGTATTCTCGCGTCAGTCTCACCTTGTACGGCACCCCAGCAAAGAAGACGACCTTGGTATCGTCTCCACCACTGACCGCCTTGAAAGGTCTGGCCCCTTTAAGGGCCACACAGCTCACGACTTTCCCGTGTCCTCCCAGCTCACCACAGGAGCTCCCACTATCTACGAGGAAGAATGCACCGAACTTCTCTCTCCCTTCCCCCACGACTGCAATGCGCTTGCTCTCACCATCCCATGCCAGATCCCGCACTACGCCGGAAAAGGGACGATACTCTGCTTTCAGGATCTGCTCTGAGCCGAGAATGTCCCAGATGCGAACCAGGCCAGAGCTGTCGGCCGAGGCGATGTAGGCGCCCGAGGGTGAGAAGCGGGCAACGCTGACTGGGTGTGGGTGCTGAGAGTAGATGATGGTGGCAGAGGGGGTGTTCAGTCCGGGCAGGGAGGTGACAATGACGGATCGGCCGTTGCAGTAGGCTAGGCGGTCGCCCTTTGGGGAGAGGGAGATCTTGGCCGCTTGACCGCGCACGGTGGTGGGGTTGGGCGGGATGACCGTGCTGAGGTTGAGCGTCGGAGGAGCGGTCATGATGTGACTAGGGATGGAGGTTGTGGTATGAGGGAGTAGTGAGGTGAGGCTGAGTGTATGCTGCTCTGATTGCACCCTCTTGTGTTGCTGTGCTGCCACTTGTTCTTGTGCACGGCGCGTCTCCAGCAACGGAAAGAGACACAGGGCGCATCCTGCTCCACTTGTCACACACGCAGCATGGCAAGCATTCAGGGCATACCATGGCGGCAAGGCTCCAGAGAGACCATTATCAGGCTCACAGACACACAGTACAGTGCTGATGCAGTAGCATATTGATTTCATACGGCATCTGCACACATGTCCGCGCCGCCAGCTACTCGCCTCATGCTGGAGCAAAGTGCACCCGCACCTCCTTGACACCCTTGTGAGCTTCAATCAATGCCTCCCGCACCCTGTCTTCCACCACGCGTGCCTCGTTCAGAGTGGTCTGGCCGCCCAAAACCAGTGTCACATCGACGAATGTACTGACGCCGCTCTTGACAGCTCTCAGATCCCGCCACTCGACCAGACCGAGCTTCTCGTCACCCTGCAGGGCACTCATGGCCGACTCGAAGCCCTCCAGCACTTCCAAGTCCACCCCCCTATCTGACAGCTCCGACAGAGCGGACCAAAGGAGGTCAAAGCCCTGCTTGCCGATGAGAGCTGCTACAAGCAGACCACCCAGAGGATCCAGAATGGGGAATCCTAGCCATGACCCCCCGATCGCAAGAAAGGTGACGCCAGAAGAGAGGGAGTCGGAGCGGTGGTGAATGGCATTGGCCTCGAGCACACTGCTGTTCTCCTCCTTTGCAATCTTCAACGTGGCGCGGTAGAGCCACTCCTTGACCAGCACACTGGCCAGGGCGAACCACATTGCATTTGGGTCCAGGAGTCCTGCTACTCCATCGGCCGTGTGTGACACTTCGGCCCCGTGGCTGTGCCCACCCCATTGAGCCAGAGCGCCGGACCAGCTACCTAGAGTCTTGATCCAGACGGGAGCAGTCTCTAGCATGGGACCAATGGCTTCCAAAAGGAGTCCCCAAGAGTGCAGTCCGATCCCTGCCGCTCCTCCTACTAGCACCACAGAGACTCCCAGCCCGCCCATCGTCTCGTACTTTCCATAGCCAAGAGGATGAGTCCGAGACGGAGGCTTCTGAGACATCTTCCAGCAGAAGAGCGTCACCATGTCCGAGAACATGTCCGAAAGAGAATGCGCTGCATCAGCTACGAGAGAAGCGGAGTTGAGGAAGACACCTGCCACGCCCTTTGAGATGCAGAGGACAATGTTAGAAAAGAGCCCCAGGAGTGTAATGTTGCTGCCTCGGTCACCTAGGGAGTGGGTGTGAGAAGAGGATGGTCAGTAATCGGCGCGGGACACTGTATCGTATTTGTATCTCTTGCTCGTTTCAGCGACTTACCTTTGCCTTTGAGAGCTGCAATTAGCCGATCAGCCTCCTCGGGGCTCCCATGGTCATGCGAATGAGAATGGGAGTGCCCAAAGAGGCCGTGTGTGTGACCATGACTATGCTCATGCTCATGCGACTTCTCTGGAGCATGTGTGGCAGTTGGCCTCTGTCTCACACTCCCTTCTCCATTAACATTGGCCGGCAAAGCAGTCGAATGCTGTGTCATACTGTTCTGTTCCGTAGGAGGAACTACAGGCACTTGATCGTCGTGTCTGACCTGATGTACCCCGATATCCGTCTGCTGACTACCAGGAAGACTTCCCTGCCGCTGCTGTCGGAGAGCCTCGTTGTTGCTCTGCTTCGTAGACTGCCAAGTCAGGGGATTCTGCTGAGCCGCCCAGCCGACGGGTGAATCAAAGTCGACTTCTGCTAGGGAGCTCCTGAACTGGAAGAAGGGCAGGACAGGGATACGTGATCCTCTACGTCTTGCAGCGGCAGCTCGATGCTTTGCTATAAGGGCTGATGCGCCAAGAGGTGAAGGGGGAGTATAGTAGTGTGGGGCCGGATAGTAATCGGGAGGAAGCAAGGTCTGAGGGTGTGGACGTGGAGGGTACCTGATCAGGCGGGGAGGTCCGGTGGAGGGAGGAGGCTGGGCTGCGTGTAGTCGATTCTGCGAGGTCGATGGTGATGAAGAAGGTGGCTTCTTGGCAGAGGATGCTAGGCGACGGGATATGAGTGGAATAGGTACAGCCTGTGGACGTCCGAAGCTCGGGCTAAGGGCCTGTGTTGGGGTCTGTACTCCTCGAAGGCAGACCGAGATTCCTCGCCGCGGCATCAAAGTACACCTCTACCCAGCCTCAGAAGACGGAGCGGGCCAGCGGCGGAACAGGATTGGGTGACGAGGCACAGAGCGCTGCTTGTTCTTGAGGTGCAATGGGGATACGAAAGGCAAGGCACGGGATCGCGAGGCAAAGGCACAAAGGGGGCGGAGGCAATTACTTCGCTCGCAGCCGTGGACCGGAATCTCCTCTGCGCCTTTGGCTGCAACCAACACGTTGCACGCGGCGCCAAAATTGACGCGGGGCAGGCGGCACAGGCCAGGGCGAGCCTCTAGACGAATGGTCATATTGTTCACGATGATGACTAATGTACATGCTACAGGGCGAGGCGATTCAGTCTTCGCCATAGGCTGCTTGGATCGCTGCGAGCGCAACCAGGTGTTGCTCTGCCTCTCTTCTCATCTCTTCCGTCTCTAAAACCCCTCCCTCACCTTCTTCGTTTTCCCCCTCGGGCGGCCGCGCAAGGATGCCATCGAACAGTCGATTGAAGCACGGCGAGCCGGGCGTGTTGAAATGCTGATAGGGATGCGCAGCATTCAGCCTACTTCCACAAAGGTAGCAAAAATGCGACTGACAGTGCTGACAAGTCATGTGGTTGCATCCGAGTGACTTTTCGATGCGAGAGGAACAGTGTGGACATGCTTGCGTCTTGCCCTTGAGCCACTCCTGATTCGCCTTTTCCTCCTCATATTGCGCTTTCAACCGTAGAAGATTCTTGCGACCATATCGTGCTTCGAGAGCTCTGCGAACCTCCGGTGTAGCAGCAGCGTACTTGTCCAGAAGTGAGCTCGTAGAAGGGAGTGAGCACGGGGATGGCGCATGCCATGTCTTACGGCACCATACGCAGAACGAGTACGAGCAAGTACGGCACTGTCGAAATGCCTCCCATCGTGAGCTATTGTCGTTACTTGCGTCCTTCGGCGTCAGTGTTTGGCAGTCCGGGCGAGGACAAGGTACGGCGGTAGGATCGGCCTCGGCTGCTTCCTTTTCTTCAAGGAAGCGAAGACGAGTGAGAAGGCTTGGCGTCTCCTTCAGAAAGTCCGAGAGCTCGGAAACACTGATTGAACCGGCTTTGAGGACTTCAGAATCAGCTGCACTGCCCTCGCTGTTAGGTCCCTGATTGGTACGAGCTTTTGAAGAGACGCACGAGGCATCCGGACAGGACAAAGCTAGTCTCAGCGAGCCCTCAGTAAGATGCAAGGTGAGGTAGTCCAGCAGACACTCTCTACAGAAGACGTGACCACAAGCTTCAATTCTTGTGCAGGCCTCGCCTCTCTTTGCTTCTAAGCAGATGGAGCATAGGAAGCGTTCCTTGCCGAAGGCAGATTGGCGAGCCAGGCGGTCGTACGCTGACAGGGTGTCCCCCAGAGGCCGAGTGAGAGGGGTCCCGGTCTTTGATGGAGCAGTGTTGTGGTTCGAATGTTGAAAGTACAGACCTTTAGAAGTCTTACCATTCGAGAAGGGTGAATTGGACCGAGAGCGCAAGGTCTCGTCTACCCATCCTTCGCGAGCCCATTCGCCATATGTCCAAAGAACCTCGCCCTGTACCTCTTGCCACTGCTCCAACAGCCTCTGTCTGACCCACTGTGCCCGAGAAGAGCTGACGTCTGAGATCCATGGGGCAGCTAGCCTTACGATGCGCGGCGGCTCTTGGAGTGGGTATAAAGGAGGTAGCGAGACCGTAAGGGCCAGTGGCGGTAGGTGCAGCAAGCGTAGTGGCGGCAGATCCTCCCCTGGCTTCCCATCGACTTGTATATACACATCCGTCTCTTTGTGAAGAGAGACAGGAACATTGAAGGTGACCTCTGTCTGCCGTTCGCCACTCTTCCGAACGATTCTCAGCTGCTCAGGAGGGTAGATTGCCTCGAGCGCCACCAGCTCGTCGTCTTGGAGGGCGGCGCACTCTCGCTGCATCGCTACCGCCGCGTCTTCCATGATGTCTGCAGCGGGGCTGATGCCGAGGGGATCATAGGGTGACGAGGACGGTGAAGTGGTGCTCAGAGTTGCTGATCGTGCAATGCTAAGGAGGAGTATGGCTATGGCAACCGGAAAGGAGAGGAAGCGGAGAACTCGGTCTGACCTGAGAAGTTCCCGCTCCACCTGCAGCCCCGCAGACGGTTCGGCCCGGACTTAACAGCCTGGACAGCATTCGACGGTACGACGCAAAGCTTGTGATGTATTAGCAGTGTGCCCTGACGCTCATGCTTGTGGTCACAATTTGCTTTTCAGGTTGTCCTCCTCGACCTCAAGCCCATCACCGCTGATCGCTCTGCTGCGCGCCAAGGCCGTCATCTCATCCTCGCCGAGACCCACCCACTCCTTTAGCACTTCCCTCGTGTGCTCCCCACACGGTAGCAACGCTTCGTACTCTCCTTCGTCTTCACCAGCTTCAGGGCTTCCAGCGGCTACCTTAGCCGGCGTCCGTGCCAATCTCGGCGCAGGAGAGGGCACCACGGTTTCTCCACCATCGACGAGGTCCTGCGACCGACCGGGCGTGATGCCCGAGACGGCGGCCTCGTCCCGGGTGAGCACCGGAACACAGCAGGCGTCGGTGTTGACAAAGATGTTCTCCCACTCCGACCGAGACTTCGATAGGAATGCGTCCGTGAGGTACTGTGTCAGCGCAGGCCAGCCGTCCTTCTTGTGTTGGTCAGCCGGGGAAGGGTGAGACAGTGAGGAGGAAGAGAGAGATTCCTTGAGGATCGACAGAAGCGCAGAATAGAATTGCGGCTCGATGGCGCCGCTAGGGATATTCCAACAAGAGATCTGCCTGTCAGTAGCAGGTCACACTTTGGGCCAAGCAGGATGTCATACTCACACGCTCATCCAGCCGCCGTCTTTGCAGCGATAGACGCCATACCAAGGTGCTCCCCCATCCAGCATTCCCGTTCCCCTCTCCTCATCTGTCCCATTATTCACCACTTTCCCCCAAGAAGGGTGCTCCAAGTACGATGTCAGAAGGAGAAAACTAGCCACGTATCTCGCCCCAGTGACCATGTCGGCTTCGACGACCTGACCTTTGCCAGACTTTGATCGCTCGAGCAATGCGAGAAGGATGCCAATCAGACAGATGAGGGAGCCTCCGGCGAAGTCGCCCAGAAGGTTTATCGGAGGTTGAGGAGCGCCGCCGCGGGGCCCCAGCATCGAGAGAAGGCCGGAGAGGGCAATGTAATTGATGTCGTGGCCAGCCATGTTTGCATATGGCCCTGTTGAACATGAAGAAGGGGTACCACATCAGCCTCTGTACTCTCATCCTCTCGTTATGCAGCTGAGAGCGACGACATACCCGTCCGCTGGAAACCGGTCAAGCGTGCGTATACGAGCCTCGCATTGCCCTCAATCCCCTCTTCCTTCCAGCCCTTCTCGACCTCAGCCGGACCCAGACCCAGCCTCTCCAGTACATTCGGCCTGAATGGATCAATCAGCACGTCCGCTTTCGCAATCAGCCTCCTCAGCGTCCTCAGTCCTTCCCCTGTCTTGGGATCCACTGCAATGCTGCGTTTCCCTCTGCAGAGCCCATCGGCGTTGAGAGCTGCACCGACCTTGTCGATGCGGATCACGTCTGCTCCAAAGTCGGCTAGGACGAGGCCGACCATGGGACCTGGAGCTAGACCGGCGAACTCGACGACCTTGAGACCTGTGAGGGGTAGGCTGGATGAGGGGGAGGAAGAAGAGGAAGAGGAAGAGGAAACCATGGCGCCTTTGAGAGCGGGAGGGCTCTAAGACTTAGCGTAGAAGCCTTGTCTTAAGGGTCAATAAGGACAGATGAAGCAAGAATCAACTTTAGACAGGGAGATGAAGAGGAGACAACCCTTCAAGAGTCACCCCTTCATATCTACCTAGCAAAGGAGCAGTAGAGGCATCGATGCCCCGCTTCCTCGCTTGTTCGTGGTGATCCTCTTTCCGCACCCCGCACCCTCCGGCTTGGGCGTGCATCAAGTCTTGGCTGCTGCGAGGCCCGAGACCCGAGATCCGGTCCCATCGGACTGCACCGAGGCAGGCAGCCACGCTTGGCGTAGTCTCAGCACTCTGTCAAACAACAACGTTGCCAGACAGATGCTGACTGGATCAATGGAACACACAAGTCGCAGCAGTACACACAGTCTGATGATGAGAAAGATGATAGATTTCAAGGTGACAAAGAGGCCAATCAAAGTTGGGGCTTCAAAGACAATCTGTATCTGCAGGGTCAGCCTGCTACGACGCCATGATGTTCTGTGAGTGAATGTGCGATGGCCGCTGCCCGAGTCACGGCGGGATAAGAAGTCGAAAAGAGGGTATAGCCTCAGAGGCTCGGACGCAGTATGGCGCCTGTATGGTGTGACAAGTCTGAGGTGTTGATTAAGTCGAAAGGATTGCGCTCGCTGGTATGAATCGTCAGCTGCGAAGAGTGGATGTTTCTCAGCCAGGACCGGTGAATTCGCCAAGAATAGCTCGGGCGCTCAGGTCGATTAAGAAGAAGGAGAAGGAGTTCCGGCACAGGTCCAGGTGGAGTCCCTCTTGCCAGGTGTAGCCTTGACCTTGTAGGGGCTGCCGGAAGCGCCGATGCAGTCGTGTACCGTCTGCGACTTGATACCCTGGTTCTTGAAACGAGCAATGGCCGTGTCTGCGACGGTGTGGGATGCAGACTTGTGGGTCTCATGGTTGAGGATGAGGTGCCTCTGGCCCGAGGTGTAGCTGTTGTAAGTTGCCCTCTGTTTGGCTGCCGAGACTCCATCAGCATCTCCAATGTCGTCGCTCCATTGCACAACGGTCAGACCGTGCTTGTTCTGCAGACGGGAGATGACGTTGGCGTCGTATTCACCGTATGGGCATCGGAAGTACTTGGGGACGACACCGACAGTCTTCAGGAGCATGGTCTCCATCAGGTTGACCTGCTCGTCAATCTCAGCATCCGTGAGCTGTGTCAGGTGAGGATGAGACCACGAGTGCGAGGCGAGCAGGTGTCTACGGGGAGGCAGGGGAATGATTGTAGTGGTGATAGGCAATTGTTGTCAGAATCTCTCCTGACCGTCGTCTATCCCTCCGGATGGAGCTCCCATACTCACCCCGCAGCAACAGAGTGTCGGAGGTAGGTAACCCAAGGTTCGTCGTAGGCGCAGTCGTAGTTGTAACCGTTCACAAAGAAGGTGACTTGCTGACCTGCATCGGACCACTTCTGGTTGAGGAGCTCGTGGTACTTGTACGGTCCGTCGTCGTAGGTGACGGCTACGCGGCCCTTCTTGCAGTTGTAGATGACACCGTTGTCCTTGGTCACCTGGCGACGCTGCAGCTCTGCCTCATCAGGAATGTCGATCTCGTAGTCTCGTGGGTCGAGAGTCTCGAGGTACTGTAAGGAAAGACAAAGGAAAGCCGAGAGAGGGCTTGAGCGTCAGTGGATCCTCGGGCAGGAAGACAAAAGGGGACCGTGCGCAAGGGCGGTCACTTACAGCTCGAACACCAGGGCTGAGGTTGTTGAAGGCTTCGCTTCGCCTGACGGCGAGGTTAGCATCCTGGCTGTCCGACGACAAAGGGCTTGCAAAGGTAGAAGCGGCGCCAAGGGCGAGGGCGACGAGGGCAGTTGAGAGTCGGACCATGTTGAGGAGTAGGAGCTGGAAGATGTAGGTGTGATGGTTTGTTGAAGGTTGAGGAGGGAAGGGACACTCAAAGGTTCTTTGATGAGGTTGCTTTAAAGCAGAATGGATTAGGTTGCTTTTGCTTCGAGAGGAGGGTCTCGAGGGGAAAGAGGAGGTCAGTCGAGGGGCTGGTTGCTTGCTTGATGAAGTCTTGAGGGGTGGATGAGACCCTGAGTTGCTTCTGAGGGGTAAAGGCCGAATAGGGGTCTTGAGAAGGCAAGGACGAAGCTGCAAGTGTTAGGAGGAGCAAAAGGACAGTGGGGTGCAGCGGGGGAGGATGAGGTTGGGAGTTGTTCGAGGGTTTAAGAAGTGGGGAAGGAGTGGTGGGTGTTGTTGCTTCGACGATCGAAGAGCACAGCAGGCGCACACACACACACACACACATGGCCGTGAGACATCCGAGGCCGGAGCTCAGACGACGACGACTGGGCGCTACGGCGGGCGCTCAGGGCAGCACTACATTGCATTGGTGCAAGCAATGCGGGCCGATAGGCGAGGCGAGGTGCGAGCGTGAAGCTGTTTGCTTCCATGAGAATCAACTTCTATCCGCCAATCAGGGCCCGGAGCACGGCCCAGCAACCAAAGTTCCATCGACCCGCTCAGGGCCACGGCCACGGTGCGTCAATACACCAGTGTCTCACACCTCACACCAGCCATATTCAGCTCAGACCTTGGCCAGACCCGTGGGCGTGAGGAGGGATCAGAGGCAGCCAGAGTGCAAAGGCAGCCAGCCACTCGACGGAGCTTTCTCCGACCACCCTCCCCCGCCCAGCTTGTGTCTCACCGCTCCCCACACCACCGTCATTGAAGCTCCGACAAGCCACGCCAACTTCGCCACACCCACCAAGGCAGAGTCAGAGTGATCATATTGATTCACCTTTACGCATCGCATCGGCGGCCTCTTACATCTAGCACTCCAGACCCTCTCCTCTTGCGCTTACAATCCGCTCCAAGCATGTGTTCGTTCATACAACAGCGACGAATCTACAACTCTACCCGAGATCAGCCCGCTCCCTGCTCAGCGTGTCTGTGATTGCGCCTCCTATACCCGATCTCCGCCCTGCTCCACCCTCTCTCCATCCGCCGTCGAGCGGCCTTCACCGCCAAGACCAGATACCTCTGCCGCCGGAGCCGCACTTCCAGCGTCGGTCTGCTCACCGCTTGCTGCCGGTAGATCGAGCAGATGACCCATGCGTTCAATCTTTGTCCGTAGGTATCGCTCCAATTCCACGCCGCGCGCAGCTGCACCGCCTATCAGCGTAGCCCCCGAAGAGCGGAGCATGTGTTGCTGGTAGTCGTCGCTGTCCCCATCGTCTTCCTCTTCCTCGTCGTCCTCGTCATTGCTGCTTGCCGACTCTTGTGTGCCTTCGCCCTCCGCTCCCTCTAGGTCCGAGCCCTGATGTCGCCGGCCGAAATGGGATGGCTCGTCATCGTCCTCTGCTTGAGAGAGGATGGAGCGGGATAGGCCCTCATCGGAGACTTGGGAGGAAGCAAGAGCAGCAACTCGACGATCTCGCTTCGGGCCGGCGGCAGGCCTCCTGACCCTTTGCGACTTCTTCTTGCCCTTTCGAGCCGATCCGCTTTTGCCGCCCTTTGAGCGCTTCACCTCCTGAGTCCAGGCCCTGGGAACCATACCCACACGCTCCTTGACCTTGATGCCCTCTGCCTCTAGCGCTTCCATCTTCTCTGGATTGTTAGTCAGCAAGCGACAGCTAGAGACGCCCAGATCCTCCAAGATCGCTCCGGCTGCTGCGTAGCTCCTCGCATCAGGGAGATGGCCCAAGAGGACATTGGCACTGACAGTATCGTGGCCCATGTCTTGCAGATTGTAGGCCATGAGCTTGTCCAGCAGTCCGATTCCTCGTCCCTCTTGGCGCAGGTAGACGACAACACCACGAGGCAAACGGGGCCTCTTCGCTTCGCGGGAAGGGTCGCGTGACGGTTCGGTACCGGAGCCGGATTGAAGGATGAGGCGCAGAGCTTCATCGAGTTGCTCACCACAGTCGCAGCGCTGTGAACCGATTGTCTCGCCGGTGTAACACTCCGAGTGGATTCTGACCAGGGGTGCCTCCCAGTCCACATCGCCTTCGCTAGCATGTGCAGGATGTTCTCTGCCCCGTCGTATACCGGCGCTTGCGACTTGGCAATGTGGGCCTAGCCTACCGACATACGCGCCGCGGACGATGCGCTCCATCTCAGTCTCTTCAGAACTCCAGACCTCATCGAGCGTTCGACTACGAAGTGAGGGCGGGCCGGCAGGCTTCGACAACTCATCTACGTTTACGTCTGGTTCATTCTGAGCAGGATCGATGACTAGGGCAAGATGCTCCTTGTTGTCTCGATTGTTGCGGTAGAGATGGCAAAAGATTTCGCCATGAGGCGTTGGTATCCTCGTGCGGGCATAGCAGCGAATCTGAAGTGGCGGTGGGCGGACGATGGAGGACAGGCGAGAAAGTTGAGGTATCGCAGTGGCGGGTGAAGCTGATATTGACCCTTGGCTGAGCTCCCTCGGCGTGGAAGGCAGAGCCGGTGTAGTCGGGGCGGAGGCGATTGCTTTTCTCTCTGACAAAGCCTGCTGGATAAGAGCAGCGGTGCCTTGCGGTCGCTGAGAAGTCTGACCGTCGTCTCCAGGTGGTGCGGTAGGAGCGCTGGTCCCCGGCGCAGAAGAGGAGCCCTCCTCCTCGCTAGCGCGGATACCCACAGATGAGGCCACTTGAGCTACACGCGCAGCCTCAAGCTTTCGCTCTTGATTTCCTTGATTAGATTCTCGACTTTGGCTCTCCCTTTGCTTTAGTGCTTCTGTACGCAGCTTCTTCGCCTCCTCTTCCAGCTCGATACGAACGCTGCGAGGCGCTTGCCGACTGGCGTACATGGCTCTTTCAGAGTCTGTTACTTCGGGTACAGGTTCGATTTCTCTGATCAACTCCTCGGCTTGAAGTTCACTGTCGTCCATGTCGCAGTTGGCATAGGAGCCGAAGCTTGTGGACTGAGAGCGAGACGTGCGAGTTCTGGCAGCCGGCGCGGGAGCTTGCTGGGATTGGGCTGCCTTGACAGCTTGTCTCTGGCTGGCTGGCATTTGACGTGAGGGACCATGCGCCGTCTCTCCATATGTATGGTGGAAATGATGTCTCGTGACCTGGGGCCCAGACGAGAGACTGGCTGCGAGAATGATTGGGTCGATTGGTGGTCTTCGCAGTGCACTCAGCGTCGCAAGCGGCCGACGTCTCCCTGCAACGGGTTGTCCAGATGCCTGACTCGACGAAGGAGAAGAAGATGAGACCTGAGAATGGGGAAAAGAGGAAGGCATGGAGGTCAAGAGGTCGAGGAGCTCCTTCTCCGAGGCAGCATTGGCGGCGGCATGGTGCGAGTGGTACCCGGCTACCGGTGACCTGGAGGGCATCGCTGGGCTCGAGGACGAGGACGAAGATGCCCTACGAGGATGAGTGTCGGCCATGGCGCAGGCCCAAGAGCTACACAGGAATGCGTCTACAGACACTAAGACCCGAAAGAAGGAGGCGAATGAAGAAGAGGGAGTCGGCAAGTCGGCAATGCGGAATGGTCGAAGGGGCACCGTCGGGTTTAGTCTGCGAAGCTGACTCTTCCCGCTCTCCGCTTTGCCGTGCTTGCTTCCGTTCCGGCGTGCTTCAAGTCACATGTGATTCAAACTTGCGCCTGTGTGTCCATCCAACACCTCGCCCCGCCTTCCCCTTCGCTCTGCCACCCCCACACCATCGCAAACGCCCTTCCTACTCTTCACCGAGTCGAGCAACCCAGACACCCACGTCTCGGCCACAGCTACAGACATAGACACACAGCAGCACACTCATCTCACCACCTTGACACTCGTCTTTTACTAGACTGCTGCTGCTGACTGCACCTCCCTGCCAAGAAGATTCCTATCGCCATCTTCCATTAGCAATCTCTGTCACCCACACACCTGCACCATGTCGACCAATCGTCGTCAAGACGCCTATAAGAACAAGGGACAGTTCAAGGCAGATGAGTTGCGCCGAAGGAGAGAGGAGGCTCAGGTCGAGATCAGGAAGCAGAAGAGGGAGGAGAGCATGGCAAAGAGGAGGAATCTCGACGCAGCCGCCCTCAGCGATGCAGAGACCGACGATGAGGAGGCCGTCGGAGCCATGCTCGACAAGGACGTGAGTCAACCTTCTCAAAGAAGCGTGAGAGGTGGTATTATGCATGCTAACGACGCCCACGCCGACATCACTGCATCTCACACAGCTTTCTGAGCAACTGCCGATCATGATCCAAGGCGTTATGTCCGAAAATCTCGATGCTCAGCTGGACTGCACCACCAAATTCAGGAAGCTTCTTTCCAAGGAGAGGAGTCCTCCCATTGACAAAGTCATTGGATGCGGTGTCGTACCTCGATTCGTTGAATTCCTTCGTAGCCCACACAGCCCCCTCCAGGTGAGTAAGCAAACTGTGGAAACGCATAGAGACGTAGCCAGCGCTGACTTGACCTGCTTTTGACACTTGCTTGACAGTTCGAAGCTGCGTGGGCCCTCACTAACATTGCTTCGGGCACATCAGACCACACTCAAGTTGTGATCAGCGAGGGTGCTGTTCCAATCTTCATTGAGCTCCTATCTTCCCAGGTCTTTGACGTTCGAGAGCAAGCAGTATGGGCACTGGGAAACATTGCAGGAGACAGTCCCAAGTGCCGTGACTTTGTCCTGGGAGCAGGGGCCATGCGACCCCTTATCGCCCTGCTGAACGAGAATCATAGGCTCAGCATGCTGCGTAACGCGACTTGGACATTGAGCAACTTTTGCCGAGGGAAGAACCCCCAACCCGAGTGGGAGCTGGTGAGTGGCACTGGCATTCTACTGTACTGAAATTCTCGGACTTGTTTTGACATCTTTGCCTCCACTTGTCCCTCTGATGACAGGTCGCCCCCGCCCTGACGGTCTTGACGAAGCTGATCTACTCCTCGGACGATGAGGTACTCATTGACGCTTGCTGGGCCGTCTCCTACCTCTCCGATGGAGCCAACGAGAAGATTCAGGCTGTCATTGAGGCAGGCCTCTGCCGCCGTCTCGTAGATCTACTTGTCCACAATTCGACAGCAGTCCAGACTCCTGCGCTTCGATCAGTCGGCAACATCGTCACAGGAGATGACTTGCAGACACAAGTGGTGATCGCCTCTGGCGCATTGCCCCCGCTGCTCTCTCTGTTGTCTTCTCCCAAGGACGGAATCAAGAAGGAGGCTTGCTGGACCATTTCCAACGTTACTGCCGGCTCTAGCCACCAGATTCAGGCCGTCATCGACAACAACATCATCCCGCCTCTGATCGACATTCTTGCCCACGCTGATTTCAAGACTAGGAAGGAGGCGTGCTGGGCCATCTCAAATGCCACTTCTGGAGGGCTGAACGAGCCCAGCCAGATCCGTTACCTCGTCAGTCAGGGATGCATCAAGCCTTTGTGCGACATCCTCAAGTCTATGGACAACCGGATCATTCAGGTTGCCCTTGACGGACTGGAGAACATTCTGAAGGTCGGTGATCAAGACAAGGAGGCAAATGGAGCCGGAGCAGTCAACCAATACGCACTTCACATTGAAGAGTGCGGTGGAATGGTTACTATCCACCAGCTGCAACATCACGAGAACCTTGAGATCTACAAGAAGTGTTTCTTCATCATGGACAAGTACTTCCCTGACGAGGAGGATGCTGGAGCGGATACTGGAGTCGATGCGCCTCAAGTGGATGCTTCGGGAGCATTCGCCTTCCAGCCCACTCTGGCAGCACCAAGCGGTGGTTTCAGCTTCGCATCGAACGGTCAGCAGTAAGCCGCTTCTCGTTATGTGCGGCAATAGAAAATGGTACATTACTTGCATTGTCCGCTATTAGCGTAGCCATGAGACTGCTCGACGTCCCATACTGTACGGTCAGGAGCGGCAAGACAGTGGCAGCTCTGGTCCCTGTTCAATGGGACTTAGACTCCTTGCCTGAATGCTGCAAGCTGTTCAAACCACAGGCCCTTTCTCATCCACAATCTGGACACCCGCCGCACCTTCTTCGCGGTAGCACGCCAGTCGCCGTGTCCCTTCAGAGCTCATACCTCTACAAGACCACTATCACCTACCGAGTTCCAGCCACCCCCTCTCTTTCCATCACTCTCTCTTCTCGCATCCATCTCAGCGGCAATCGCTCGCTCGCTGCTGTCGTCGTTGTCGTCGTCGTCGTGTCTGTGTTCCCCAGCCTCTTGTCACACATCAATCACGCCTGTCTCCTTGCCGTGGGTCATGCTCTAAAGGAGTATCTCGACTCCCCCGCAAAGAATCTCTTCAATCAATGTACTTTCGCCAATACACTCCACTACCTGTCCCATGCACCTTTCCACCAAAGGTCTGCCGAGATGTTTGTTCTTGCGTGAGCGTGCCTCGGCGATGGGACCTCGTAAGCTCACCGTCGACAAGTCGGTCGTTGACCATTGACCCTCTCGTCTTGTGGCCTCAGACTCTCAACTTTTCGATGGCTTAGCCAGCACATTCACACCCAATATAGTGTAGCTTCCAATGTATCTATAGTATAGAAGGGCGAGACAACAAGGCAGAGACGAGGACATCGAGAGAGAGATTTTCGTCATTTGGTTTGGATAAAGTAGAAACGGGCGAAGAGTACAGGTATAGGACACAACAGACTTCGGCTTTAGGAAGCGAGAGAAGAGGAAAAAGGGGAAAAAGGCGTAGCGTAGGCGTCAAGTGCGTGTCCAGAGGAGAGAAGGAAAGTACGTTGGACTTGCGCGGGATTCGTCAAAGAGGGAGGTGGCGGAGGAGGAGCGTATTCTTGCGTACACTAAGATAGTGATGGACTTTGCGCGACCAGAAGCACGTGTTGGGAAGCGTTTTGAAAGCACAGTCATGATAGCAGCGATCTAGGTGTGTGCAAGTAGAGGACGACCCATTGGTGCAAAGGCGTCGTCGCTAGAGGGACCCAACATTTACCAGGGGTTGTTTCGGACGGTTCGCTTCCAGGGAGCGTTGCGGACGGTGCGCTCTTCGACGTCCTCGTC